TTATATGTTGATAAGCCCGCCAATTCCACGTGCTTAGCACCCCCAAATGCATACCATTCTCTTGGCTTACAAGTAGATAACCAACGAGGCTATGTGCTACCCGATCATGTAATGATAATATATCCATCGTCGCACACAGCTTACTTAGAGCGGCTCGGAGCACTTAATACCCAGAATATTCTCGCATTAGACAGTCAACACGTGATATCTGAAGGGCAACGACAGGTGGATGTGCCCATGGTCCACAATTGCTTCTTAATTCGAAAAGTTCACTAGATTAGAGAAAATCATATATCCATCCATTAGAAGAGTCAGTCGTGTATGGCTAACGGGAGCAAATTGGAACAGCAAATAGACGATTACGTTAGATATAGAACAACTTGTACTTAAGAAACAATTATAGAACGTGTGTTTAGAAGCCCCTAAATAATAGAGCTCTAATAAATGCCTACCAATGACATAATTATCATACGCCCTAGCGCTTTTTCTAGTAATAACACATGTAATAATAAGAATCTATCTCCTCCATTTCGTCTCACGCTATAGATGAGTCTTCAAGAGTCATATATTCTTCTAACGAGCGAGATCTAGGGCCGGCCTTAAGCTATCAACTCCGCCCGGTAGTAAGACCTACCTAGTCATTTCGAATATTCTTTAGTTTTCTCCTGAAAATATGTAGTTCAAAAGTAGTAAGGAGACTATTGTCCGCACGGTATATTAATCTTAACTTAATAGGTATTCCAGCGATGACTGAAGTTTTATATCACCGTTAGGGCACGGTACTATTGCCCATGCCGACTGGATATCTAGGTAGATAGTATTTCATTAGCGAGGGGGCTCGATACATATTACAAAGTGGATCACTTTAATCATTATTCATAATGTTCACTTATTAAGGGTTCGCAAGGAATTCAGTGGTGGTTTATTACTCTATCCTATACGACGCGATGAAGCATTACTAGATTATCGCAGCTGTTGTTAGCGTTATGAGACAATAGGGCTACTACCCTCGTAGAGTAGCCGCTAGATATTAGGCCGATTCTATATAAGGAGGGTATCCCTCTATCCTTAGAAGGGGCATGGGTCAAAACGGTCATCAAGATACCTATATACTACAAGCTAAGCCACTACCTCTACTCTGTGTGTCCGTAATCCTCGATTGTTAACTCTTTACCATCCTCTACAAGCTAATCGTTGATTTAGAGCCCGCTGTAGTAGGCCTAAGCAATTAGCTTAAGGCTCTTAAGTTCATATAACCTACTAGACATGGGGATATGGACAGTTGGAGTTGGGATAGAAATGTAAGGTATAACAGATGCAGGTACTAATCCAAAGCCTCCATGGGTTCATCTTTATAGGTATGTCATACCTTGCTTATCACCCCCTAGCAAATAGAAGTGTTCTTACGTTGCTGGTCTTCTTCTTCTTTCTTTTGTTTTTTTTTTTCCTCTCCTTGAGCATAGTCTTGGTTCGAGGGGGTTGAGCGTGGGAAATGTATTATATGGAAGGCGGGAATTCGGGGATAGAGACCCCCCAAAGGAAGTAGATGAATAATATTCTTTAGTTACTATAGCTTCGATCAATTAGGATAGCTTAACGTATGACGGCACAATCCGATTACAATCCTTCGACATAAAGAGTTTATAATCACACAATGAGCTAGAATAGCCCTTAAGCACACTGGAACTCGTCTGTTAATTTGAGCCAGCTGGGTTGGTCCAACACTCATGGGGGGTCCCTATACTAGGTGCTATTTGAATTGCGGATGACAACAGCTCGATTCCGTTTAGTATGTAGCTCGTACACCTTACTGCAGACTCTATCATAAGAGTAGATCACCAGCTCATCGGCGTTATTGTTATTTAATTCAAGATATCCATGATGTGGGCGGCCACATCCAATTTATTGCGACTCGCCTTCTGGGACACATGATTTGGTACTCCAGTAGCCAAAGTAGCCTACGTCTAAACTGCACATTCGTGGCGCCATGTAGCATTATACGGGTTGCCATAGCACCATACATATCTGAGAGGCATAGGTTGACCCTTTACTCTCTAGGTTAATGGGGTTTGCCTCGTTCTTTATGGCGGTAATTATGACGCTTTGAAGTGGCGTAGAATACTTAAATATTTCCAACAGTCAAAAGCCGTATATTGGCAAGGGATGAATCATGTGCTCCAAACCCATATGAGTAAACTCATCCACTTCTTGCCGGGATTCTAGATAAGACATCTATAACAAAGAATACTGCTCGTATGTATAACGGTAGGCTACCGTAGCTAGCTCAGAGTTCTTCGCGGAGCAACAGAGTTGCTTCCTAGCTTCTTGGTCCATGTCATGACACTTCTTTGGGCATGTATTCTAGCCTCCCATTACCCGAGTCACTCGCCATCTTAGATATTCCTTCGTATGTCTTGGATAGGGCATTATAAGCGCAAAGAAGAGTTCGTCCCAAGTCCTGTTAAATATCGGGATGCTCGGTCTTGATTCCTAACCTTGATCGAATCGCCACTAACATGCACCTGGCCGGCCACTTGCCCTTGTTGCGATGCGAACCTTACGTAGGCCATTTGGATACGTACTATCGGAACGTTACATATAGGTAGCCTACTACACTAATTAACGACATTGCCATAGGACGACCCTGGTTCCAGCCCTAGGATAGAGATCTCATTTGACAAGCCTAGATGGCTCCCGGGGCTTACTGCAGACCCGAGAAAGAATGGGCGGATCGATTCCCATTGATTACTTCGATCAAGGTATGTTTGCCCTACAGAGATCTAGATGCTTATTTGTTAGTTATACAATTTCAATGATACTTTGCGAGCATGATAGGCAAAATGGCATACCGTCTATTTGGGATCACCGCCCCTCGGTTTCCTACTTGGGGGTTATATGGTACATAGTAGGCCTCCGTTTATATTAACTTGGGGATATGAGGGTGTAATTTTAGAATCCTTCGTGGAGATGGTTCTCTGTGGGTATCGGCCGATATGGAGGAACTAACTACCTTCTATAATGGAGCCGAAGAGCCATATCTGAGATCTGTCGGATGAGAGGCCGCCTCCCGAGAGATTCCTCCTACACCGAGTCGGCGACCACCTTATTGAAAAGGGCCCGAATAGGTAGTATCGTCGGTTTTAGGCCTTATAGGAAAGACAAAAACCGATGCTTGTCGTGGGATGTATGGTAATGAACCCGCGCGCGCCTGTTGCATCCCAGGGTAGTTAGTTGGAGTCCTACAGGGGTACTGAGCCACGGGGGTAGATACATATCAGAGAGCTCGATCGACCCAGTCTAGTCATGTTGGTTGATGGCACGGCCGTACGTGTTCCGTATTACAAGTGGACCGATGTAAATGAATTTACTTCCTTGAGCCGCAATGCCGAGCTGCGGCGCACTGCATGAACTCTGCATATTACTTTCGGGGGATCATCATGTTGTAAACTCTCGTCCCGCATGATCAACTTGAAGCTTATACAACAGTTACAACAGCATACTTATTTTACACCGAAGTTGCAGTAGAACGAATCTTCGGTCGTGTCCGTCCTAAAGAAGATCTCTTTACTTTCCGTAGTAACAAAGGATTTCGGGCTCTTGCTTTACATAGCTCTGGTTGTATGGTCCAAGCTTTTATCTAAGATCTTGGGTGACAACCGTATGGTCAATCTTCCTCCTAAGACCGGAGTCATCCCATATGGAAGGTGGGCGGGTACCGCATTGTGTACGAAGTAAACCCTTGCTTGGATCCTGGAGATATGTAATGTAATATGACGTGAGATCCCTCGGTCAACCAGGCGAAATCCTCCTCGGTCGTGACAGGGTAATGGTCCGTCGCCAAGGCCAGGCCGTGGAGTTTAATGGTGTAGGTAGTAGCCAGAAGGGTCAACATATTTCCTTATTTGAGTGACAAGAGACCGGAAGAGACTAACATGATCAACGCAGGGTTTTATGTACTTCTGAGACTTCCAAGCACAGCGATGCAAGGGGGCTTCCGGGTCCTGTGCAGACGTTACATGCCTAAGATTCAGCCCTAAACCCGTTGGGAAGCACGACGCGGGGACATGGGGCTGGCCTATTCCCCTGTTCGCCTGTTCCCCTATTCCTTATTTGGACGATCGGTGAGCGGTCACATTTTCGTCAAGCAGAGCTTAGGCCTGTTTGTCCTTTGCGTATTTCGGACAGATGGGATTGCTTCACAACGCACCTCCTGGCAAATCGGCTTTTCTTATCGACATGTTTACGGGCCGATCGTCTTGCACTGAAAATCGGCGTGCGCGATGTCATTCGGAGAATACGTCCCTCTCAAATAGAGTCGTGTGAATAATGTATCTGCCTAGAGTAAGCACATACTGGCACGACGACCGGGTTTCTCATGACTCATGAGGACCCAAAGATTAGGGGTTCGCATGATGGATTTGTATGAAGAAGAAAAAAAAAAAAAAAGGAAAAGAGAAAGGGTCTTTGCATTTCGCCGAGCTAATATAAGTGACGTCAACATTGTTAACACTGACCAAGTAGCATAGAGGACTTCGCATAAATGAAATTATTTCGATGTTGATGCAAAGGTGGCTGAGCCCTATCCTGAACACCAACACAGCCGTTCTCTTCGCGAACAAATAACGCGCCGCGGCACTAAGCTCAGAACACCCGGCATGACCGAAGCCACTCCACGCAGTAAGCGAGGGATTAAAAAACATATTTTTTTTCTTAACAATTCGGCAACATGTGGAGGAGGCAATAGCAAAACTAGACGAAAAGGGATAATGGTACTTTTATCGACGTGGGAGATGGTTGCAAGCTGACGATGACTCTAAACAACGCGGAGTTGCGGAGTTGATCTGTCGGGAGATGTGGAAGTATATACATGGACAGGAGAAAAGAACAAAGAAATGGTCATAACAGACGTAAGTAAAATAATACCGTTCTCCCCAACCCCAGTAACCAGTGTTGCAAAACAGGTATATCAGGTATATCCTTTTCTCCCCTAAAAAGTATAGCCGCCCTAAGTAGAGAAAAATGATACGTCAAAATCACTTCGGAAGTGTGTAGAAAAGCTGTCCGGGCGGTTTTAGGGAATGAATATCTCAGTCTTAGCTCGGGGTAGACGCGTCGTAATTCCTAGCGTGGCCGCCGACTAAAAAAGAAATAAAAATAAAAAAGCATCGAAACTCCTCCGGCTCCTCCGGGATGCTGCTCACATCTTGATATTCTAGGACGAGTCAAGTCTTTGGCCGTTCCTTCTTTGTTGGGAACCCAAATCCAACCCACCCTATTTTCCCGTCGGAGGCCCCGATGGTTAACGGCGATGCTCGAGGGGAACATTATCGCCATAGAATCCTCCCTGGCTCCCAGAGGCCAGGCAAGCTAAGCAAACACCTCCGCCGTATACTCGCGTATGCCGCTTCCAACCGGCGCCTGAATCGTCCATTACTGAGATAATCTCGCCCTTGACATCGATCTCCCTAGAATCGAGCGATTCATGTGGCGCAAGGGGTAAGATTGGGCTCGAGGATGGGAATGAGCTGGGGGAGAAAGCTGCCTCATCGTGCCCCGAGTCTGTATGCGCTGGGCTCAGAGGCAACATCTTTGTGTAAGACCTTCTCCTTGGAATAGAGGGAGAATCTTGACCGCCGTGGGCCAACGCAGTTGTGCTGGACTCTGGCGGCGAAGGTGATAATGTGTAATCCGGATTCGGCTGCTGGAAGAAGCTCGTATCCAGATCGCCCATGCTAGAAGCCGCGATGCTTAGCCGGCGGTCCTGAAAACTAAAAACCCCTGTCAAGAGAGTAGGTGGTGTTAGCGGCGGCGGCGGCGGTGGACCAGATTTAAGGATCAGTGGCATGCCTGCGTCTATGCTCATGGAAGCTGTCATATCTCCCTGATGCCCCTCGCTGCTTTCTCGGTCATTGGACCTATGCTGATGTTTCTTTTCCCCTTCGCTTATGCCCCCGGCTGAGGACAGCTGGGAGACTCCTGAGGGCTGATTCACTGACATGATGTCGTTCTGGAAGACGATTCCGCGTGACTTCTCTGAAATCCAAAGTTTCTGAAGAGTAGCAGGGCTGGCATTTAGCTGGCCAGTGTAGGGTGGGGAACGTAACTTATATCTCTTGAACACTAGTAGCAATACACCGAGGGAAGTGAATCCTAAGAAGGTGAACAAGAGCCGCAGATGGGTCCCCGGTACCGTATATAAGGTGCCGTGGGTCTGCTGTAGAGGGAGATTGACAGCGGGCATGTTTTCTTATTAGGGAAACTAATAATCAGATGCGTGTTCTGTGCCGTCTGGGGTCGGGCCTTCACCGATGTATGTATCTTGTACCAGTAGGTAGAAGCTCGGAGAGTGGACCGGGATGTCGATCGGGACAACCCAAGGACTGAGCAAGGATCCTCGCTCTACTCGGCGGGTTTGACCTCGATATAGCAAACACACACCATGAAATATGCGCGGGTGACATAAAGCGGCCCGGCTCGCAGATCAGGGGAGGAGGGAGTGTGCGTATGCGCAGAAGTGCAGATGTAGGAACTTGATGACTTCGTAAGTAGATGATGGATAAGTCGCGGTCGCTCGGTAGGTCAAGATGTCCAATAAACAAGGTTCGACCGGCGGCTTACAAGTTGGGGTCCTAAAAGGCTAAAAGGAGGGCTGGGGAGATAAGATCACTCGCGTCTGGATACGGCAGAGAGAAAGCGCTCGGGTGGAGGTAAGTCTTTATAGTCAATCTCGAGCTTACAAGCACGACACAACCAAACTATTGCGGAGCTACCTAGTTGATAGTCCAGGCGTGGAAATAGACGTAATATAAGCGCCCTTGATGCCGTTGAAGGATCTAAAGAAGCTAGAGAGGCGGGAGACGACGGGAGATTTATACGGGCGTTAACCAGAGCTGGTACTACTACATCGAGTCAAGGTCCCATTACCAAGGCACAACCTGACGAGACTAAGTGACAAGGGCTATCTACAGAGGAAGTACAATCATGAAAATAAACAGCCCGAGCGTCTGGGGAGGGTGTGAGTGTGAGTGGAGAGGGAGTGAATGTGTGAGTGTTGGGTAGTTACTTTCCTCTTCAAGGCCCCGCCATCTCTTTGTCAGTCAGCCTCAATTGAGGAGACGTGGATGACTTGGCGGCTTGCCTCCTCGGGTCCGTATAAGAGAAGTCGGATATGTCATTGGGTGACTGTTGTACTTACTCTTCATATTCCCGCGAAAACGGCGGGCCGGGTCTGCGTAGGACAGCCGTCAAACGCTCGAGTATATCAACACTGAGTGTACCCAATGTAAACGGGACGGATTATACGGGCGAGAAGCCCCGTGGATTAAGGTTAAGAAATGCCTACGTTATTGGAACCAACGCCTCTTATGCCGTCATGCTGCACGATAGCGAAACGATTCATCGTGCATATGAGGACTGGGGCAAAAAGACTAGGCCGTAATGCGTGGTTGATGAAATTATCTGAGGCACGAAATTACGCCGTAAGCTTAGCCGTCAGTCGGGATCTGTCCGGCCACTTCGGGGGACAAGGGAGCACGAGACGAGGTAAGAATATTAGTGTAATTTGGGATTTGGGATGAGGTGAAGAATGAGGCGGGACGAAAGAAATCAATGTGTTAGTTGGGATCGAACAAATTAAGATGGAGATCTCTGTTATTCTTCAGCGAGCTCCAATAAGATTCCCCTCCCGAGAGTACGGACTTTTGTATTTTTTCCATGTGGAGTGTTGTGGAGCTGTTGGGAGCTTTGAAGCTGTTATTAGGAGTTGCCCTCTTGCGCGTACTCTTTAAGCAGCGTTGATATGAAGATAACGAGAGGTTGGGTCTTGGTAGGATTAGAGCGCCTCTGACTCGGTTCTTGTTACTTGTTACACAGGTACGATAGCAAGTAGTTCATAAGGTGGTTGTGGCCCTTTGTGACGCATGCATCGTGACGCTCGGGCTTAAAGCGTCAGTCTCTGTAGGCGCTAGACTCTAATAATGCTCCTGAGACGGTAACCAGGGACGGTAGTTATTTTACTACTATGCTTAGGTACCCAGGAAGTGAGCGATGGCCCGTGGCACAAACCATTCCTAAATACCTGGATACCTACTTGGGTAGACAGGTAACGAATTGTATGTATATCTGTTCTAGTCGACGCAGCTGAATCGGGACCCAATGGGAAGACCGGGAAGCATGAATTCAGGGTCTATGCCCTAAATATGCACGGCATGTGAGCATACTAGTTCTCTTGTGTCTATGTTTGATATCTAGACATGCACCTAATCCTGGAGGCACAGGGCTGTGGATAGCTGACATGTGCTACGCAGGCACTAAAAAGTATGCACAGTATAATGGTCGAGACTTGCTTATAAGAGCGCCGTATTTGCGATATTTTTGATACGGCGCTAGGTAGAAAGATCGAACCCTAGGAGCGTCGAGGAAGATGTATTCTGAAATACTCTACTAAAAGACGGTCAGCATGCTTAATCCAGGAAGAAATGTGAGCTTGTGAGCCTGTTAGTTAATAGGGTCTAGATGGGACCCGTGTTTTTTTCTTCTTCCTCTTTTTTGCTTGATCAACTGTTGGACCACCAGGGATTTATCGCGAGACCACTTCTGGAATGAGCTAGCCTCGTACACTAGCCCTATCTTGTACGGAGGTGGTCGGGGTGGTGAACGGGGTTCAGCTGAGATGAGCCCTACGCCGCGTTAGCAAACCTGGTTTAAGTTGATCCCCGGCGGAGCGATGGCCCGGGGGTAGCAAAGACGAAAGCCCGCTGGCGTTGAAAAAAAAGAGGAACATGTCTTGATGGGAAAGTTGGACAAGAAGATAGACGATGTGGTACGTGGAGAAGATGACTCGCGAAAGATTTCAAGCACAGCCCCTTGGTCCCCTTGTTCCCCTCGTGCTCGGTTATTAGGCGATGGTGAAGCAGAACACGAGACTCGTAGAGCGGCAATATACACAAGGGGGCCGAAGCGTTCTATGTAGTGTACAATCCGTACAAAGTTTGCTAGAAATGCCGCGGGAAAGCAAGGTAAAGATATCCAATGGCACGTCGTCTTTTCTTTCTCCTTGAGACGCCGACATGCCTTACATACCTTGCATACCTTAACTTGTAAGTGGAGATCTACATATGTACGAGTTACTACTCCTCCCTGACTATTCCTTGATGAGAAGACGAGCAGGCGAATAGTAAGCGAGATATCATCATGTAATGAAGCGGCGCAGCGATGCCTTGTGGATAAACAAACAGGGTGGGCGGCATATGCCATGATGCATAATATACCTAAGTGCCGCTGGCATCGATGCTGGATCTTGGTTACATCCGTAGGTCTAGGTAGGTTAGGAGGTAGGTTAGGTAGGTTAGATACGGATCCGTATGTGGGTATGAAAGAATCTTGGAAAGTTGACGGACGCGAAAAAATAGAGGTCATCGAATAAGCGGCCATTTAGGCCACTTGATACTTGGGGGCGAAAGTTTGTAGTAAGAAACAGGTATTAGGATAGGTAGATCGATAGGATACCGGTATGATACATAGAGCCTATGAGGGTCCTGTTGATGTTGTCCGACAGTGTGGGCGTATGCGTATGCGTATGGGTGCAGTGGATGCAGAGTAGTGCAGCGGGGACAGAGCAAGTTCTTTTTCAGCTGAAAACAAGTCGGCCAGTGGGCCTTATTTTGAGTCAATACCTCTTAGGTAAGGTACATGTTAGGTTATACCTGCCCGTATGTAGGTAGGAAGGTACCTAAAGGTAGGCGCAATGCAACCGTAACTCCTCCTCCTGTACCTAACAATCGACTACTACCAAACCCCACAACTCTATTCATCCATCTTACCAATCTGCCAATTGATCTTACTTACACCTTACCTTAGTATCTTCATCACTATCACCATCCTCCATCTTGCATGTGTTCTTCTTTGTTTTTATTAGCTACAATAGTGATTATATCATACATACATGCATGTCTTTAACGTCTTTCTATTTTCTTTTCTTCGTACGACCCTACCACCGTATGACAGGCAGAATCTACCCGTCTATATTATTAGAACGTGGCAATAATAACCTGGCTACCTCCTACTTGGCCACTACGCTTTCTGGCGTTTCAATTATCTTGGTCGTCTCCATCCCTCGGCGCCATCTGAGACGATAGTCGGCCGAATTATCGCTCTCTATTTGCGACTTTGTCTGACCGATTAGTAACAGTTTCATATCAGTCAGCCTTGCCACCGACTTCATAGCTTCAGCGAGGCTTAACTAGGTACCTATTATCTCGCTATAGCGTCGTCCTAAGGAGCAGGTTTTTTTTCTCTCTTCATGACCGCTTGGTTTTTTTTTTCTCCTCTTCTCACTTGAAATGGACTACTACACCGCCTCTCTAGTACGCGGCTAGTGCTTGGCTCATAATCTCTCTCGTTATTTTCCTTCTTATTTTGTCCTTTCCGATTCTAGCGAAGTCGCAATCTACTACGTCGCAAGGACGCGCAAGCTTAGGCGACGAACAAGGCAGGGGAGGGGAGGGGAAGGGGAAGGGGAAGGGGGGAGATGTTGATCTCCGGTACGAGGCTCTTGGAGGCGAAAGGCGAATCAAAACAAGGCCGGCTCGTCCTATCCAGTGGATGCTCCTTATGAGAGCAGAGAACACTGCCACTGCAGCCATGTTACAGTGTACTACTGTATCCCCGGGCCGCTCACTCTTTAGTCCTTGACCGCTTGATCAATATAGAATATAGTAGAAATACTGTGTTCGATCTCTTCCGTTATGTCGATAACTATAGGTACATAGTAGGTTATTAAGTCCTACCGCATCAGACATCACATCATCCGTTACAAGAAATCTCGATTTATGTGGTGGTTGGCTGATTTGAGACAAAAATAGCCCAGCTATTACATGGACAATATAGTTGATGATATATGTACTACTTCACTAGGTATGCACCAATCCATTATACTACCTACCTAACTACCTACCTCTTACTCCTACTATGCTTTCGTTAAAAGCCATACGTCTATGATCCTTATCTTTGCTGCTTACTACCTACATAATACATGTTATGCAGTGTACGAGAGATAGTCGCGGCAAATGATATGTAAGTCGGCGCTTAAAACCCCCCCTTTTTTAATTCTTTTACTCTCTTACAACATTGAATGCTTCAACTGTCACATCGGCGGCTGAAGTATCCAATTATTGACCGCACATGGTTGCTTATTAAGTACATACATAGCTCGGCAGCCCGTCGATTTCCTTGACTACTCCACTGGCAGTCCCCCGGTCACCAATAATCTCTCGGCATCCTCTTGCATGTTGCAGCAAGCGTCTCTCAGCCCTACGAGATTTAGGCCCGGAGATCCTGTGGTCGATCCACCACACTGCATCTTCGATCCACGCGTATCATTGGATGTTGAATAGCCCTGATTCCGATTAGCCACAATGTAGTTCTGCTACCCCATGCTGCCCATGTCATCCCGTTGGTCACAAGTGACGCCTGCGTTGCAACCCGAATCCGAATACCATGCTCTGGCGTCGCAACTGATAAACGATCACCAACATAGCCCGAATCTCTCTACCAATCTCAACCGCCAGACGGAGAATTGTCCTCAACACACTTCCGACACACTTCCGAATCACCGCATTTAATGGCTACTAGGAAAGCCATAGTCTATGTCATCCTAACCAAGGATAGCTTCCATCTTCCATGTTCAGCTTGAATGGTAGACACGTGACTATCGGTCTGCCCTACGCCTACGTCTACGCTGACGCTATTCTTTAGGACCCAATTCTTGGCCCTTCTGGCTCTCCGCTTTCCACATGGCAGACGCAATGCGCGACTTAAGCCATACGACCCAAACAGAGGCCTCCTTTTGGCCCGCTCTACCCGGGTCGGGCGAATTCGTTGAACTTGGTTGTCTTACTGGCTCATTTACGGTTGGGTTGCAAACACAACCTGCGACCTAACCGTCCACTCGGTCATTTAGTACGTGACGTCTATGTTGATGTTTTGACACACTTTGCATTCTTAAAAGAAGATGAAGGGGGGGAAAAAACCAGGAACTGGTCGATTATTCGGCCTTGGGTCGCTTGAGCCTCACGGCTACATTACGGTTACAGCATTCTCTACCCCCTCAGTCCCGTCAGCTTATCTGCTTTAGCGACCATGCGAGTTTTAGGTACTACGTGCCGGTCATAATTGAGTGGTCTCGAATTCTAGACATCTACAAGGCGGCGATGATTAGCTCACGAGATTTAACATCCGAATCCGATCCCAAGGGCACGGAGCGAACCGTTGACGGGCTCTCCAGCTCGACTGAACCCACTTCTATTCACGCTCTATTCTGCTGACCTCTTGTCAAAGCCCTAGGCTTGTCCCGTGTAGAGATGATTTATAATTCACGGCCTGTGTGATGGAAGTTTTGGGGGTTTTGGTTAGGTGTATCAAGGGGATCATTCCCATCTGACTCATGCTTCTGTGATATTACTATAAGTGAATGACCTGTCCGTCGCCGAGGGAGAGCCCGAACTCTTGTCAGGATAGTCCCGTAGAGCCGATGGACCCGAATCAGTGGTAGGGATTTTACCACTTTTGGGTAAATGCTAGTTTTTAGGACCAAGGCCCCGAACTCCTTAGTCCCTGTAATGGGACATTAATAGAGGCTTAACATTAGCTGAATCAGCATTTAAGTACACCACCTATAACATCAAGAAATACTCTTCCAGGTTGGTATAACAGCTGACAAATCCAAAGATGATCCTTCGCGTGTCCACTAAACAGTTTACACGCTGGAAGTTATTCAGAGATAGGATGAATTTGCGAAAAAGCTGTCTGCAATGTTCGTTGGTATAGTTGGTGCAACATCAACGTACATGAATTATCATAGTAACGCCTTCTTACACTCTACATGCTGTGTTCTCTACATCTAACGCTCGTAAAGTGACGTCTTATGTTACCTTATTTACGACCTTGGATTTGGGGGCTGGATGACGTGGACCAGTTGCGGCGCAATTCAAAAGGGACTTGACAGCTCGCATACCTATCCTTGGGCACCAGGAATAATAATTCGAGGAGCTTTAACTTGACCTCTGGAGATGGCCTGAATTTAGGACGTGATATATCCGAACTTGTTGACCGATAATTCGGCATCTGGACGACCCACACCTGTACGGCGCGAGTCCAACGCCCGGGAAACATGTTTATTTCCCTTACTGCGGTATCTGGATTTCAAACACCGTCTGACGCAGCGGGATTATTGTATGTACTTCATAGTCAGATGCGTCTTATACCTACTGGCGAAATCGTCCGAGGTAGACCACGTATGTTGCTGACAGTTGTTATGCAACCTCACGGTCATCATCCTTATACCCACCACCGCTGAGAGATTTTTGGCGCTTTGCTGCTGGCTGTTCGGCCCCGGGTTTAAAGCCACGACGACTTGGATGGATGACCCTGAGGAAGTCCGAGAAGAAACTCTCGGAGCCCCTACCTAACGGTCCTAGGGCCGCAACGCCGCCGTGGCTCTTCCGGAGTCAGTCTAGCAAAGGGGTAGGTGACTAGGTATGCTAAAATTAGAGAACTACCTACCTGGGTACCTGGCAAAATGAAATACACTTTGCTTTATTATCTACTAACAGCGATGAACCACGTTATCTTTGGCCCAGTGGACTTTTAAATAAGTGCGAGTTATTGACTTTAGAAATCGCAGGTGGAATGTTGGTTTGCCTCGGTAATACCACGTAGGCTCTACGGGTTGAAGTACTTAACGATCATGATACTTCCCTGAGTACTAGAAGCGACAATGGAGATACTTGAACTGAGATTCAGATACATATAGTAACATTATTTACCTAGGTACCTGCGAACACTCGTTTAAACATTACTTGCCCCTTGAAGTGAATTGAGACTGGGTTAGGTACCTTGATAGCTAAGTTATGCCGGATATTCCTTTAGTGCGAGAACGAGTATGGCATGGGATGAAATACTGAGCTCTAAAAGGCTGAGCTTACGACTCTTCACCACGGTGTTGTCCCGGCCTTGGAGGATTTACTGGCACTGGATATATAGGTAGTTATTCAAGGGTACCGTTTGATATTATCCTATCTCATTATAAAGTGATATTACTACCTAATTACTAGCTATGAATTGGACTTCTTAGGTTTCCGAATTTCGATTAGTTAGTAGAGATGTTTAGCATGTTCATCACATGCACCGATGTATCCTGATCATGGGCTATACGCTCTTGGTTGAAGGAACATGCTTTATTTTTTGCTTAGTTACCTCCACCGAGAGGCAATCGTATATGACCGTAACCTCCTGCCTGAAAGGGAGTACGTAGCCGGTGATCAAAGGTCAGCTAGGTACCTATCTTAGGAACCAAAGGCCACAAACTAACTAACTCATTTTTCAGGGGCTAAAGAACCCGTCACTCACTGGCAGGGATAGTTTTATCGAGGATATGGACCAAGCTAGTAGTAGTCTATCATAGGAGTCTATTAACTAGACAGAATTAATAAAAAAAGGGTTAATATTCTGGCGTCAATTCTTCTTTCGTCTGGTAACTACCCCCTGATTAACCCCTTTACCTATCCTCACAGCTGGAACTTTTATAAGGCCAGTACCAATACTGCCATAGTACCATATCATACGGCAGGGGAAAAGACCATTTAACCCGTGCCGATAGACCACCCATGTGACGTTTCCGCTTATGGTGTTTTACAGAATACCTTTTGAGTAAGAGTATAACTAGTGCTAGGTATATTCTCTACTCTTCTCTCCTCTAACTAGTTCAGCTCGATTCTGGATAACGATATCCTGACTATTTATTCCTGCATGTAGCTGTCCATATGCTCTGGACAGGCACGAATACATTATAGTATCTACCGGTGGGATGGATGGATGTACGTCAGGTATGCTTCAAGGGCAGGCTGAAAAAAGTTGTGTAACAGATGCGGTTACTTTCTCGGGGCTGGCTAGCTGACTGACTTCTCTGGGTGTTCTAGACGGGGAGGTAGGTTACACAGCGCCGGGAAACACGTTGCTGGTGTTAGGCAGGGTTGCATCGTGTTGGTCATTTGGTGCTGGGATGACTCGCATGATAGGGACCTGGGGGGGTTACGATGCATGGTGTGTTGCAACCGTAGGTTGGATGCTTGGTGAGCGGTAGTACTTCGTGACAATAGATCCTTCTTGGTAGACGATAGTCTACCATCTGCTTACCCATTCTGGCTATTTCAGCTCTACGGAGATATCAATCTGTAAAGTGGCGCGGCCGTAAAAAAAGCAAAGAAGCGAGAAGGACACCCGCCATGAATAATCGAAAGGCAAATCGGGTAACGAAGGCAAATTTCAATTAGCGTTATTCCCAAAGTAAAACAACATCCGCAAAAGCGCATGAGACGTGAGGCACATTATCTCTTTCCCGTCCACCAGTAAACGCCACCAACTTAACCGCGAGCCGAGTCAGATCATGAACTCGGGCTTGGTATCAACCATGACATGAGATAACGCGGGAATCAATGCAACCGACACATCGTATAACAGATTAACAAATCATCATAGGCTCTCCTTGCCCGGGTATAACCGGAGGCCCCTCACTTCGCTCCTCTTCCATCATGTCGATGAGGTCATCCAAGTTGGAATCTAAGTTCTCTGCAGCCTCCTGATCCAGACATTCTTTGAGTAATCGTCGGTACTTGTCAATCTTCTCGCCGGTACCGGACACCCCTAAAGCGTCGACGTACTCTTTCTCCGCGCGCCGCTGCTCCATGATGAGCTCCCTTAGCTCTTGGGCAAGTTTAACTCGCTCCTCGTACGAGTCGTCACTGGTGTCACCATTCATCATCGATATGGCTTGTTCGACGGAAGAATGCACATAATATCGGCTCTGGCTCGCCAATAACGATGTGACTTGTTGCTGTAGGATAGTAGCTTCGCCGACGACCTTTGACGCCGCCTCGGGAGATTCCAACTGACTATCTAGTTCGGCAATTTGCGCTCTGACGACGGCGAGCTCGTTTTGTGTATTTGCGAGGATACGACGGGCCTCCATTTCGGCATCGTTCTTTTCCTTCCATTCCTCATCGTAACTATGGGCGAGATCCTGGAACTTCTCCAGGACAAGCGGTGTTATCTTATTCTGGACTGTATTTGCTGCTTCCGAGTTATAAGTGACAGCTAACTTAGAAACGGATTCTGTGAGGGCGTCGCGGAAGGAGACGTGCCGTTGAGTTTCAGGGGCAAAGGGAGATGAGGATCGCTGAGGCACGCGCTCCTTTGGATTCTTTGTAGCATTCAATTCCTTGATGAGATCCTCTGCGCGGATACCTTCTGCGTTAGGGATGTCTGTAGAGGCGCCCCGGCCAAGAAGGGCTCTTATACATTTACGAGCGTTCGTCTTCGCTGCCAAGTGTAGAGCGGTATTACCGCCATGATCTTGGGTGTCGATAAGGTGCTGGACAAAGTTGGGGTCATGAGTTTCCTGGAGTTTGTTCAGAATATTATCGAGATAGTAACGGCAGCACGAAGTGCTCGTGATTCGACCACTTTTCATAATGGCGGCGTGATGAATCACTGTACAGCCCGAATCGTCACGCGCATCGACGGTATCCCACAGTTCCTTCATGACCTGAGGGAAAGTTTGCTTCTCGTAACAATTGGTAAAGTTCACGGATCGCATGAACGGAGTCTCGCCCTTGCAGTTTTGAACTCCCAAAGTAGCTCCGAATCGCTTCAGTTGCTTGATGACGTCTACATCGCCCATAGCGCTAGCCCAGTGGAGGGCGGTATGCTTCTCTGTATCGATCGGCCAGTCGGGCTGAAAATTAGGAGGAGGCTCGGGACGGAAATTGGGCGCCTCGTTACGAGATAGGAGGAAGTAATCTAATAGTTCATCACCATAGACCGAATGTTGCTGCTCAGTGAGGTCTTGTATATTATCCTCTCGTTTCCTCTTCCGGTGTCCGGTCGAATAATGTGCTAAGTCATGGCGATCGTCTTCTGCTATGTATGAAACTGAAGCGACGGTGACGTTATCCGGCGTATCATCCTCGTTTAGCTGCTGGCTAGCAGTCTCAAGTTCTTGAGGCGGCGGGGCACCTATAGCATATTAGTATTAGTAGCTGTTCGGCGATGAAATAGTTGAAACATCATACCCCATTTGGGCACTGCCGGCTTTCTAGGAGCCTTTGGCTTGCTCGCATGCCGAGGCGCTGGGGGTGGGCTCTGGTTTCCGGGGACGAACTCGAAGATTGGTCGAAGGCGCTCGAAGATGTTGTTTCGTTGCGCTAGTTGTTCTCCAGCTTCTAAAGGAATCCATGTGCCCTGATATTTTCCATACCCGCCCTGAATCTTCTCATGGACGTCTTTTTGTACCTCGCGCTCGAGGATTCTCGTACGGGCAGGCTTGTCGAATCCTGCTGCTTTGAGGATGTGTGTCGCATTGACCCAGTCGTCTTGCCGCCGGCGCATTACATGCTCCTTATTATCACCACCAAACTGGAACTCGTATACGGGCACCTATTATCAGAGTTGTAAGTGAGATGTTCGAACTCGAAAAGCTGTATATATGGTATGAAAGGGTATGCCTCATTATGTTGCGGATTAGCAATTCGATTCAAGAGAAAGTCACTTACACCACTATATGTCGCACTGTAGATACCAGCAGTAGCAGGACTGGTGCCAGCGCCAGCGCCAGCAACAGCGCTAGGAGCGTCTTTCACCATGTCTGCTGCTTAGACCCAATTAGCTTCGGCGAGCTGAAAGAAGTGTATGAGTAAAGTAGCAGTAGCGATAGCGATAGCGATAGAAAGGGATATGATAAATACCTAGGTATGATACGACGATGGTATGGAGGCAAATATAAAATTACCAGTGCGCAAACAAATTAAGAAGACAGGGACACAATTCACAATAATACGTTAATACGTTAATCCCATGTCAATGAAGAAGATTGAGGGGAGATACACTGCGCCGTTATGAGAGAGGTAGTTTGGATAGTTGGATCAGCCGAGGTGATTGGCGGCCGGGGTTAGGCTGATGGTGGGTGATGATTTTGTTGCGACTTTTGGACGCGGAGACGCGAAATTGAATAAAAGAGCATGGGGGGACGACGCGGTACGGATGTACCCTACACGCGTAAATTGGATCGAAGGTCACCTGACAGTTATCGGTTAGTACGACATAGGTACACAGTACTATACAATAGGTAGGTAGGTACCTCATACGTGTGGTACCGACATGTACCTTAGGTGCAGTAAACTCATACGTAAGCGCTCTATATCCTAAATTTAGGTACCTAAGGTATCAAGTACCTCAGTACGGAATACTTTAGTAACTGTTCATTTCTACCTATTAAACCTTCGTCCGGAATGTCAACCTTCATTCATCTCAATCAATGTTCGTCCCAAAAGAAAATCATATATGCAACTCCTCTCTGGTATACTGTATCTTCACAAACCAACGCCTTTCTCCTATCAAGTGGCGTTGCTATTCTTGATTGGAATGGCCGTTTCCATTTCTTCAAGTAAATATGGATTGCTTTTTCAATATTCAAAACGTCCACTCATTCGTCCACTATTACCGGTATATTGGTATTAAATGTCAATCATACTCCCTTCAATTGTCAATCACTTGCTATTGTTTCGTATAAAGCACATTGTTCAAATGTCGTTGGTCACCCTAATCTCGAAATGCATCTTTCAATTTGGCATTTCGAATTGGTCCCCATCCAACCTGTCTTTTCCCTTGTTAGAATCTTTCTTAAATTTCTAGTGTGATATCTAGATATAGAGTCGAAACTAGGTAATCATTTACAGCTATCCCTATATATCTGCTAGACTTAATTATATGCGTACTATTCCTACTCTAATATTCCTACCAAGCTTCTCTAATTTCCTCCTTTCCCTGTCCTCTCTGTAGATTTATAAGGATCCCGATTTTACTGACTACCTAGGAACAACAATGGTCAAGTCTATTTCGCTTCAGACCCTTGCGGGCAGCATCGAATATGCCTGTGGGACTATTGCGGATCTTCTCGTTGACCTAGCAAAGCTGTTTCCGTTGGCTAGGACCAACTTGCTAACTGTAGCCGCAGAATGTTTAACTACAAAGGTCGTTGTTAGAAAGCTGGGAGTACTCTTAACTCCAGGAGCAACTACGGATCCTCATGCGGCATATAGAAGTTATAACGAGCAAGTCGAGGACCTTGAGCCCTGTTTTGAAGTTGTTCTTCACGTTATATCGGAAATACTCGTTGACGTTGATTACGAAATTACACGTTTACGTCGCTATCATACTTGGGGGGATCCTCTCGCATCCTCGAAAGCGGTCCCAGCTATACAAGACTTTTTTATAGATGCGAGATTTTGCTTGCGAAGAAGCCGGTCCTCTTTGTGTCTCATAATCGATTGTCTTCAGAGGTAATAGAACTAAGTTCTCAAGTTTTGGCTATCGTGGAAGAGTTGATTAATATGATATACAGGGGAAATTTATTAGGGGCGACTATTCAACTCATAGACCAAACTTTCCTGACGCACCCTTCGTTCGCGAAAGTAGCGGAGTCTTCAAGGTTACAACCTTTGGTGGCGATTGAGCTACATAAGATTTCGGGACAACCAGATGTACGGTCACTTCTGACTAAGTATCGACCCAAGAGCCTACGCTCCCGCAAGAATAATTATAGTCTCACTCGAATGCTGCATCATGCAATCACTGGGTGCGACTATAGTGCCGTACATAGATGTCTTTTGGCGAACGCAACCCCGGATACTCCTCTCGAAGACCCGGGGATTGTACCAGTTCACCGAGCTCTAGACCAAATCGAAGTGTCGCTTGCTTCAGAAAATAAGACAGCCATAAGAGCGTCGAATTCAATCGTGATGGCCTTGATTATCGCGGGTGCTAGTCTCAACGCGCAAGACGAAAACGGTCGCACTCCCCTCATACGAGCCGCTATGAACGAAATGCCCGACTCTATATTATCCTTGATGTTGGAATTTGGAGCTTCTGTCCAGACCAAAGACAGACAAGGGAATACAGCTCTTCACTATGCGGCGATGAAGGCCTCATCGGAAGAAATGGGGAACGTTAATACTATCAGGGTCTTACTAGCCCACGGTGCCGACCAGAGCCTTAGGAACAAGAGGGGACGTACCCCTTCGCATGAAGCCGTCTTGTTTGAGCGTTTCGACCGCGCCCGAGAGCTCTTGGATTACGGAGCCGACTTAGAAATAACGGATAATAATGGGCGGACGACCTTACTTTGTGCAGTCACCCAAGGGAACTCGGCATTAACGAAGCTTCTATGTGATCGGGGCGCTGTCATTGACAGGAAAGACAAGAACGGACACACGGCCCTTCACTACGCTATCTCCCAAGGATCGGAGGAAGTCTCCAAAGTTTTGCTAGATGCTGGGGTAGATGTGAACCTCATCTCCAACGGTGAAACTCCCCTCTGTCGAGCAACGTCCAAGTCAAACGTGCCGCTCGTTAAGCTCCTTCTAGTATACGGCGCCGACGTTAATTTACCATCCCCGGGCTACTACGGCGCTCTGCCAATACACGTTGCTGTCATGGGAAGAGATGTGGCTATTTCCGAGGCTCTCCTAGGGGCAGGATCCCCGATTAATGCCTTGGACGACGAGCGCCGCACGCCGCTGAGGTGGGCGATGGAGGGCGGAAACAATGAGTTGGTACATTTTCTGATGAGCAAGGGGGCAGCAAAGTGACTTTTCTATAATTTTATAAGTGACACGCAAGTTGTATGTACCAGATCTTATAATTCGGGTCACACTTGATGATAGGCCAATCACGAGAGTCAGATGGTCCCGATTGGGAATGTCTAGTTTGAATGAACTATGACGTAAATCGCATTATTTACATACCATTCAGCTTGCCAGTACAAACTAGGTAGCTACTTGCTATTCGGTTATAAGATAACTATCTCCGTAATAATGTCCGCAATAATGCGAATGATATTTTACGTCGTGGTTGGATAAGCCGATGGTATGTATTATATTGGTATTATGGGACTTTTATAGCGATCTAGTAGCAATACGAATATATCCAATTCTTATGCTTACCTCTTACTACAAAGTCCATACCTCTTTCCTATATACTTATTAGCCTTATATTAACCTAGTAAGCTTTACCTTACCTTAGGTAGCTAATAGCAGCTTCAGCTACAGTTACCCCGCTCGTTCTTCAGCTTTGGTGGTGCGACATACGGGACCGGCGACGCAATCGAAAGCACGTCAACGTGATAACCTAGATCTATCATTTTTTTTCTTATCCCGTTACATATTGACTTCCCCGCTCTTTATCCCCTTACTCCGTCCGAATCGGCACTCCCTGGTCCAGCACTGTATGAGAACACGCTCCGTACAAAGATAGACTGCTTTTCTCCCGGGGCTATCATATAAAGTCGGCATAGACCGAATATAATATATATTATAACAGGTTGCGATTTATTCGAACTGTTTAGACTGTAACAGAAAAAGTTCAACATGCCTTTAATCGCCTCTGCACCACGAGACCGCATCATCCTGGGTCTGATGACCTTTGGACCCGATGAGAAAGCCGGGGCTCGAATTACCGACATTAATGAGTTCAACAAAGTACTCGATACCTTCCAGTCCCGTGGCTACAATGAAGTTGACACAGCACGAGTCTACATTGACGGCCAGCAGGAGGCCTTCACCCGTCAAACAAGGTGGAAGGAGCGCGGCCTAACGCTGGCCACCAAGTTCAAATATCCTTCTGAGGCCGGCGCTAATCAGGCTGCCAAGCTTGTCGAGAGTTTGGAGACGAGCCTCAAAGAGCTTGGGACTGATAGCGTAGATGTAAGTCTGAAGCCTGCCTTAGTTATAGTTAAGCCTTATAAGTTTTATAGGTTAACTATCATGTCTTACGCTCGTTCCTTTAAGCTGACACTAAGGGCTTTATAGATCATCTACCTCCACGCAGCCGATCGTGCGACACCCTTTGCCGAGACGCTTGAAGCAGTAGACAAGCTACACAAGGCGGGCAAATTCGTACGATTCGGCATTTCTAACTTTACAGCCGCGGAGGTGGCCGAGGTAGTTCTGACTTGCAAGTACAATAATTGGGTGCGGCCGACCATCTACCAGGGCATGTACAACGCTATCACGCGGGGTATCGAAGCGGAGCTGATTCCGACATGTCGGCGATACGGATTGGATATCGTAGTATACAACCCGATCGCTGGCGGCTTGTTCAGTGGTAAAATCAAGAGTGTAGACATCGACCCAGCCGATTTCAGCCGCTTCAGCACAAAGGCCAGCACGGGTGCCAACTATCGCTCCCGATACTTCAAGGAGAGCACGTTCAAGGCTCTGCAGACGATAGAGAAAGCGGTCGAGAAACACGCTGGATTAACGCTGATCGAGGTGGCGCTACGGTGGGTAGTACACCACAGCCAGCTCAAGATCAAGGGCGGCAACGACGGTATCCTGATCGGAGTCAGCTCTCACGACCAGCTCGTGAGCAACCTGGATAATCTGGAGAAGGGCCCGCTCCCGGAGGATGTGGTGGCAGCGCTGGATGAGGCATGGAGGATTGCAAAGGCGGACGCGCCCAACTACTGGCACAAGGACCTCGTGTACACGTACGATACACGAGAGGCGCTGTTCGGAGCCAATGCGAAGTAAGTGTAGGTATAAAAGAGAGGCGCGCCAAGTTGATTCTTATCTGCAATTGAATGCAGCTCTATAGAGGTACACGTAGCATAGGTAGTTCATGTGCCTGAATTCCGAAACTTGATAAGGTAGTGTTACCTCACGGGGGCACATGTGATTACATGCATAGAAGTGTATACTTGAATCATAAGATGTATTAGTTAGGTAGGTAGTTATATTCAATAACTACCTAATTGTGTTTATATATGTGTGTGTGTATGTGTCGTGTGACATTTAACGACTAGGACGTTGAAGTACTACAGTAATATTGTAAATTACGTAGTTTAGGTACTTGACTGTCTTGTATGTACCTATTGAATGTAAGTAACACGCAGCAAGGTAACACGACAGCTTGGCTCAGCCCTGCCGGGGATACCTAAATAGGTTAGGTAGATTAGGTATTGTATTGTATTGTACAATACGTAAGCTGGCTGGTGAGAATTAATGGTACTGGACATTACCGACGCCCCGGATAACGGCACCTAAAGTACCCGCGCCAATAAGGGTAAAGGGCCAAGATTGCCATAACGCGTCCATCATCATTCCCATTTGATGTGCATACATACACTACGGGATCTCCTGCAGCTGCTGCATAGCATAACCTATTGTACCTAACGTAAGGAATAGAATTAGTTACTTTGTTACCTTCTCGCTTATTACCAAGTAATCCTCTCTCTGTACTGTGCCGTAAGAGGTAACCTTCAATTTCTCACCTAATCATCCTTCCCGTTCTTTTTTTATATTTTGTATATTTTGTATTCTTTAATGTCTTCGAAACCGAACAACAACATTCGCTTGTCCAGCATACCGGCTCGCTTAAAACCGACGTCGCAATATTCGAAAGCCGAACCATCACCGCTATTATCCGCCAGTTCCGTCGGGTCCAGCGTTGAAGATTACATCGGAAGCGGCACCGACACCGTAGGAGGTAGAACCCCGGTCTTCGGTAGGCGATTGTCTTTCGTTCAGGAAGACGACGAGGCCTCGGATATCGCATATCTTCGTAGCCCGAATAGGTTCGACATAGACTATTCTGAATACTCGGACGACGGCGACGACGGTACCATGCCCGACAGCGCCAAACGACCAGCATTTCTCCGTCCGTCTGACGGTCGATCCGTCACACCGCTTCTAAAGAAATCAGTCGACGATGATCGCGGTAGGACGCGGTATAACAACTCGCGCCCGACATCGCCTCTCCCGATACCTGCTGTTTCTACACCAGCTTCCGACCGACCAACCTTTAGCCGCCGCTCCACCATGAGATCTCGTTCTCCCGATACCCAAGCGCGCATGGCAGCGCGTAAGAAGTACACATACGCGGCCATCTTCCTGGTCGTATCATTAATATCCTTCTGCGTACAGACGGAGCTAGGACGTTACGTGCAGCACGAGCTTGGTTGGGACAAGGCTTACTGCATGTTATACCTCACACACGGGTCGTGGGCGCTGCTATGGCCAGCCCAGCTACTTATCCTGCGCGTGCAGAAGTGGAACGTGCCGTGGCCAACTTTCTGGAGGAGGCACGCCTACTTGTTGCGCTCGACAGCGCATATGGTCGCGAATCAAGAGCTCGATATCCCCCGGCATGTCGTCCAGCGAAGTCCAATACCCTACATGTTGCGCACCACTGCCTTTGTTACCACTTCTTTAACGATTGCAGGCCTGAGTTGGTACGTCGCCGTCAGTATGACCACCCCTAGCGACTTAACCGCCATCTATAACTGCTCTGCATTCTTCGCCTACGCTTTCAGCGTGCCACTGCTCAAGGAGAAGTTGCGCCTCGACAAGTCGATTGCGGTGCTGATCGCCATTGTCGGCGTCATGGTTGTCGCTTATGGCGACTCTAAATCTGGCGCGGGAGTCGATAAAGAAGCAGGAACCGAGGCTGGCACGCGATTCCTCGGCAACATGATCATCGGCGCGGGGAGTGTGCTATATGGGCTGTACGAGGTGTTATATAAGCGGTACGCTTGCCCACCCGAGGGTACGTCGGCAACGCGGGGCATGATCTTCGCCAACGCGTTTGGAAGTTGTATTGGGGCCTTCACACTTTTCGTGCTATGGATTCCTTTGCCGATCCTCCATATTCTCGGCTGGGAAACCTTTGAGCTGCCTACCGGCGCAGCGGCATTCTATCTCTTCGTGTCGGTCATCATGAATGCGACATTCGCAGGCAGCTTCCTAGTGCTAATCTCGCTGACGAGCCCCGTGTTGAGTAGTGTCGCTGCGCTGCTGACCATCTTTATCGTGGCACTAGCCGACTGGATTATTACGGGAGAGGGCATGAGTCCGTCAGCTCTAAGCGGTGGTTGCCTGATTGTGGTAGCATTCGTAATGCTAAGCTGGAGCACTTGGCGCGAAATGACGGAAGACGCAGAGCGCAAGGCGGCTATGGATGTTGCTGGCCCGGTCGACTGGAGTAGCGAGGACAGCGATAAGGATGCTGACCGGTTGGATTAGGGTGAGAATTTCCCAGCTTACGCATACGACTGTGCGTTAGTTTTATTCGCAAGTTTATTCTTATTCTTATTCTTATTGATATTTAGTCTGGTTTTTTTTTTTTTCCCTTCTACCACCGTCTCATCTTTTCTCTGGTTCAGGTTCTACTGTGTTATAGCATATCTATCGGAATATAGGGTTGCATTGTCCCGGATGGACAAACTCATAGGTTGTATCCTGGAGAGAGGACCCAATCAGATTAGAGCGATGTTAGACACGAGGGCTTTGCAGCAGCTTTCCCATTATATGTCTATGAGGATCAGGAGATTACCTACCTACCTAGAACAATTCGGCCATTTTGGACGATGGAAGATGTGGACTTATCGGTATCATTACCGTTCTACATAAAGGATGCATGCTGTTTCGGCGTTGGGGGAGTTTCGGTCCCGGTCTTGATCTCGGTTGGTGTTTTAGGCTGGGCAAGGATGAATAGGTCATGTCCGGTTATATAGAGGTTGGTGGAATAACGCCTGCTTGCCTTACCTGGGTAAATATACAAGTCTCGCGCGCACGGTTAATGTATCTATCGCATCTATTGCATAGGGGCCCGGTGCACGGGCTCGGTTATGCGGATATATAGGCATCTATAGAATTTACAGAGGGCGGCTTAAAGGGCGCTCATACTATCAATTCACTGTTATCATTTTATTTATCGTCGAGAATGGTATACTTGACATTGCAAACCAACACTCCCAGGTTTTCATGTCAAGGGGTTTTTCTTTTTTTTTTTTTAAAAAAAATCATTCATTATATATATAAAAACAAAGCTGTATTCTTCGATTTTGTACAAGTGTAATAGTTCCCCATACCCTCGTGTTTATCAGTGATCCCCTACCGTTCTAAATATATCTTTGTTGTGACTAGGTGTATAAGTACATATGTATTAAACATTTAAAAGGCGCCATTCCAACGATGGGCTCCTATTTGTTATCCGAGATCGAGGTATGGCTATTGGTTTCCGCCGTGTACGATGGGCGGCTGAGTATTGTGCATATACAACCATAAGCTAGAGAATGGCAGGCGAGCGACACCATTAAAGGCGAATCGCCTTAGCGATCTCTGACTTGTGCCTCGTCAGTAGACTATACATATACTTATTTGTGTCTGAAGCCTGATTGTCTCTCGGTAGATGCATAGTGTAGATACTTAAGGATGAAGATCATAAGAGATGAAGGAAAATAATTTTACTGACAAAATGGGTTCCCCCGCGGAGATTGGTGGTCCAACATGACCATCAACTTCCCGGTCCGTGTTAGGGTAATTTCCCTCTTCGTCCTCCTTGACAAAAACGCCTGGCCGTTCTACCTTCCAGCCTTTAGCGCCACTGCGCTCGACAAATTGCACGGCCATATCCCAGGCTTCGTGGTCTGCCGCGTCGCCGCTCTCGAAAACTCGTAGCGACGCCCAGTTTCTTGGGTACACCGCGGGGTCGGCGTCGAATGTAAGCTCGCGCATCAGGGAGCTGTATGCCGTATTGCGCTCCATCCAGAGGTCCGCCGGATCTATGTGCTTCATTTCATCTTCCGCCTCTAAGATGCGATTTTCAGGCCCGGGAGTCAACTGCACAAAGAGACGGTCAAGTTTGGGTAGGTTCTGGAGTAGCATCTCAAAGTGAGATGATAGGGGGAATATGGCGATGTAATTGAAGTCAATGATAGTAGGCGGTATAAGCGGGGTGTCGTTAGGGTGTTCCTCGCATCCAAGGAGGGCCCCAAGCATGGACGGTGGTCGCCGTAAAAAGAACTCATATGTTCGATAAACCCTAGTAGACGAACCTTCATTCAGGAGAAGTGAAGTCCAAGGACGAACAGTAAAGAGTGGACATGGCGGTGGTCTTCTACAGCGGATCGAACACGAGGTGGTGGGGATACCTGCCGAAGCCACCTGGATTGTTGCCGTAGAAGGCTGGTGCTGTGACGAAGAGGGATGAATATCCGGATTAGATGATTCTGTATGCGTATTCAACTTGCCATGTGAATGCCTAGTAGTTCGAGCGAGAGAGAGAATATGATAAGGAATGCTAAATGACCAGGCGTCGTCTAAGAAGAGCATACGAGATAAGAAGGAAGCGAGAGTATTGGGAGGAGTAATGATGGTGAATCTTAGAGGGTCGATGACGGAGAATAGCTGGTCCCATAACCATTCCAGGTCGACAGAGCGTATCTCAGGAGTGATTTGCTTGGCACTAGCATCCCTATCTACGAAGTCGACAATCATAGTAAAAGTCGCTACGGCGCGGTCCAGCCGATTGTCTTCCAAGAAGCGTAGAAGTGGTATCGGGTTCAATGTGAAAGCGCTGAGGGAGGATATCTTGGGTCTCCATAAGATATGACGGAACAGGCTAGGGAGTACAAGAGACCTCCAGGTCTTGCAAATGAGGGATACTGTCTTGAGGGGTTGCGAATATAAAGACTTAGCATCCAGCATGTCGTCGCTCGGCTGGTCGCGAAGCCGCACTTGCGACGGAGCCGGGTCATCGAGGAAATCGAAGACATGTAAGAGTATCTCTGGTGGTATCCGGTCCATCTCGATTCAGAGAAGACAGAGATAGTAAGCTGAAGTCGCGCCGAGGCTGAGGCTGAATAACTCTTCTCGCTTGATGATGTCTTGGGTAGGTAGTTACGGATATAGTCGTCGGGATTCGGGGCCAAGTCAAGTCGGTGGGGGGGGGGGGCAGATAAGGGGGAGGGGTTATACTCGAGAGGGCAATTACTATGGATAACTACATGGCTACCTTAGGTATGTATATCTTATAGTTGAATTTTGGGGTGTTAGACTAAAGAAAGGAGTTCAACGACATTTCCACTGTTCCTTATTCCCGACCTATAGAAATAACCAATATGGTTCTGAGCACGACTACGATATGTCCTAGAGATAACTTGTTGACATCTTACTAGGTGGACTGAGCAGCTCGAATTAGATTTTGAAAAGATAGACTGCTGCTCTCTTAAGGCCTGATATAATTACCTCATATTACCAAACGGGATGATGACTATAAAAGATGCGTAATCCGCGTATAATTCTCGTAGTAGAGCGAGCAGACTTTAGATAAATGAAGTGTTATTTTAATACAAATTCTCGTTTCTTATGAAGGGCAGTGATTCGATTCTAACATAGTGTGGCCTTCCCGCACCCCAGGAGCCGACTAAGAAAAAGCAATATCCGAGTGTTTAAATAATAATCGGTAGAAAAGGTCATATCGGAAGTTCAAAGCGATCCTTGCATTCTACACTACCAACATACATATGCTAGGCCCTTTTTACCCTGGATCGAAGTAGATTATATATCGCTTTCAACTAACTATATCTTAATACTTGCTGATATAAGTGACTGGTAAGGTCATGATCACACGAGCTATCACGTTGTATTATTTACATAAAACACGCCGTGCGCTATAGCTGAGAAGCCTCGATGTTTACCCACCGGCGTACCTACTATGTAGTATGCTCGTGTGTACGGATCCGTACGTACGCGCAAAGTCAGCATTGACAAAGGCGGGGGAGTGCAGGGGTTATGTGATTGTTGAATATCACATCGTGGAGAAATCGGGGAAATTATGGATATCCAAGGACGGCAATGCGAAAATCGTATCAGAATAGGTACAATGGACCTGCCGTGGCTTCTTCTCCATCAGCCGAACGTCTTCAGTCCCACTAACCCGGATGTAGTAAATCAAGCCGCAATGTTGGCGCAATGTGGCTATTAAGACGCACGTTATGTAGATACTTTTTAGCATCAATGGGTCCTTGACCTTATACCCCTCAGAAGAGACCCGAGACCCCCCCTTCTTATGTAGTCTTGACTAAGATCTTGTCACGATACCCCTTATTCACAGGGATTGAAATACCCCCCCGCTCAAACTTGGCAATGGGAAGGCAGTATAGATAAACGGGATGACGTCTAGCTTCTTCCCTTGGTTGTTCCTCCTTCCCACTGTTCCTGGTATCCTTGTAAACTCTTCGACGTAGGCAGCAGGTTAAAAGGAAAGTTACTCTCATCTTCCACCCTCCAACAACCACATAGCATCTAGCGAGACGTTGAACAATCACCTCGACCTCAACCTCAACCTCAACCTTGACCATTGTCCATTATGCCGGCTAACAAGCAGCGACCGCCGTTTCGCGCAGAGCATCTGGGCTCGCTGCTCCGCCCGCAGGAGCTTACCGAGAAGCGTCTTAAGCTTGCCGACGTAAAGGCCATCGATGTTGCTAAGGATGGGGAGTTGCACGCTATCGAGGACAATGCCATTAATGAGATTGTCAAACTGCAGCTAGACCTCGGGTTCCATGCTATCAACGATGGCGAGTATCGGCGACATCAATTCTGGGGAACCTTCTTCCCTAACCTTGACGGATTCGAGGAGATCATGGAACCGGAGTGGGATATGTTCCGACTGTATGTCCCGGACACCGCCGCGTTTAGTGAGTCTCCCTGGCGTAGCTGAAGCCGAGGATGATGTTTTTATAATTATTGGACGTGCAAGCTAACCCCTTACGTCGTTTAGCTGAGAAGGGCCATAAGCCCGGCGAAACAATTGTTTGCGTTGGCAAAATTAAGCATGTCGGAAGTGCATACCTGTCCGACTGGAATTATCTTAAGAAATTAGTTCCCGCCGATAGGGTCAAGGATTTGAAGATAACCCTCGCCGCCCCCGAATGGTAAGCCTTTCTATCCAACATCCGTGACATGCCATTACCTAGGTTAACTCCTTGTAGGTATCATCTACGATATAAGAAGGGTAAAGCGTATCCGAAGGAAGTGTACGCGAACGATGAGGAGTACTTTGCCGATATTGCCAAAGCCTACCAAACTGTAAGTTAATTCTCCGAGTTCCTCACCTTGACGCGCCCTTATTATATCTACATGAGCCGATGTTGATCCTGGATACTATAGGAGTTGCAGCTTCTATATGATAACGGCTGCCGAAACGTGACTATTGACGACCCAAATTTGGCTTGTGAGTGAGACCCCTAATACTTATTAAACCGACGAGGAAGTATTGACAGGAGCTGGAATTGCAGACTTTTGCGACGAGAAGATGCTGGCTGGCTTCAAGGCGGATGGGGAGGATTCTGATGCTCTCCTCGACTCGTATATCAAATTATACAATGACTGCGTATCGTCTCGCCCGGCTGACATGCACCTGGGCATCCACCTCTGTAGGGGTAATTTCGCGTACAGTAAACACTTCTCGGAGGGAGGATACGACCGAATTGCAACGAAGCTCTTTAACAACATCGACGCCGACACGTATTTCTTAGAATACGACACGGAGCGAGCAGGTAATTTTGAGCCTTTGAAGGAGCTGCCACCGCATAAAAATGTCGTGCTAGGCGTCATCACTAGTAAATTCCCCGAGCTCGAGGACATTGACGAGACACGTAATAGGGTGTTTCAAGCAGCTGATATCATCGCGAGTGGTGCTGGTCAGACGCGCGAGGAAGCGCTTAAGAGAATTGGCGTCAGTCCGCAATGCGGATTCGCTAGCCACCACCTCGGCAACGCTGTGACGCGAGACGACATGATTGCAAAGCTAAAGCTAGTCAGAAAGCTCGCCGATACGATCTGGCCGGGTGAGCCGTAGAGAGAAATGGTATATATATTATATATACCTATATATGGTGACGATGCTTGAGCGGAGTCAAAATTATGTATTCAACATGCAGATTAAAAGCTGGAAGAAGAAATCTGACAGCAAGCAGCTGAGAACTAGAACAAACGTCAAAAAATCCCGACATCGGGTTTCTCATACCAAATCTGACTTAACCCTAACAGGTGTGATTAATTGTATAGGTACCTACATGCAATGTGCCACGAAGCATGAATGCTGTAATGAAATATGATAGACTGGCGTCTTTATACTTCGGAAGAAACCCAATATGAATGGAACACGCCCCACGGCGAGGTGATACGAATTTAGTGAGTCCGAGACGATAGGTAGAAAATTGTGTGAAACTTGAAGTTGTGGGCTTGGCTTGTCTTAATTCTACAGGTAATTCTACGGGATTATCAACCCAGACGCCTCTATTCGTCAGATTTGATATGTTAGTCCCCGTCCTTGGCAAACGGGGCTGAGCCGGTCTTCAGGGGCAGCAGGGGTTCACCTTGCTGGAAGTGAAGTGAGAAAGGGCCAGCGAATTGTGCGTCGAATCATCGAATGCGCCGGAATGCCCACTGCCCACTGCCCACTAAAAAACATCATTAACTAAATGGAATTCTGAAGTTTGTCGGCTTAGCTTACCGCCTTGAGACTTCCATAGTTGCTTTTGCCAAAATACACCTTAATCCTTTTGCACGCTATTCATCGCTATGCCGGAAAAAAAGACAGAAGTACCTCCTAATGAATCTATCACTTTTAGCTCCGGGGTTCACGATGGACCTCCCGACTTGAGACTTCTCCATTACAATGACGTCTATCACGTCGACCAATCCAGTAGCGAACCGGTAGGAGGTGCCGCTCGGTTCATGTCACTCATAAAACATTATGAGGAGAATGAGAAATTCAAGGAACAGCCAGAGTTGGTAACACTGTTCTCCGGTGACGCCTTCAATCCGAGCTTAGAGAGTTCCGTTACGAAAGGTATGCCTTACATACGATGAGCTTACAAAGCTTACAAAACAAAGCTTACGGAGCTCGAGTGAATGTGAACGCATATCTCGTGTCTCATAATGAACTCTCCTCCCTCGAAAATGAGTTTAGTTGCTATGTACTTTGAAGATCATAGGCTGATGTATGAAATTCGGCAGGTGATCACATGGTGCCTTTATTGAACAACATAGGGACAAATGCTGCAGCAATAGGAGTATGTATCAAAGCTAATACTTCCTCGTATACCATCAGCTGCTTATGTGACGAGTAGAATCACGACCTTGACTTTGGAGTCACTCAATTCAAGTACCTTTCCTCCAAGTGCAAGTTTCCATGGCTCATCGCAAACGTATTGGATCCCGCGCTAGGAGACTCGGTTCCTATCGGAAATTGCAAAAAGACTCATATGATCACCTCCTCTAACGGCATCAAGATTGGGTTGATTGGACTGGGCGAACGCGAATGGTTGGCTACGATTAACAGTCTACCTCCTAACCTCATCTACAAATCCGCCACCGAAACCGCAAAGGAGCTTGTTCCACAACTGCGAGCCGAGGGGGCCGACATCGTCATCGCTATAACGCACATGCGAGAGCCGAATGATAACAAGCTGGCTGAGCAGACCGATGGAATCATTGACATTATTCTTGGGGGCCATGACCACTACTATAATCATAGCCTCATAAAGGGAACGCATGTCTTACGTTCAGGAACCGATTTCAAGCAGCTGAGCTATATTGAAGCTAGGCGACGGACCGACGACTCAGGTAGATGGGACTTCGATATTATACGGCGAGACATTACATCTGCGATCCCCGAGCATCAGCCGACTGTTGAGCTGGTCGAAAAGCTGACTGCAAGTCTCAAAGCGACACTTCAGAAGCCTGTCGGCTACACTGCTGCACCCCTTGATGCTAGATTCCGGACGGTGAGGCTAAGGGAGAGCAACATAGCTAATTGGGTGTGCGACATTATGCGCCATTACTACTCGGGCGACTGTAGCATTATCGCGTCAGGGACTGTCCGTGGCGACCAAGTCTATCCTCCAGGACCGTTACTACTGAAAGATATTGTACGCAACCCCTAAGACTCGCGCATCACCCAATTCCATCTATATGTTCGGGAAACAGCTAACGCATGCCGCAATAGATGAATTGTTTCCCATTCGAGGATCCTGTCGTGGTGATCAAGGTTACAGGCCAAGCTATTTGGGACGCTTTGGAGAACGGTTTATCACAATACCCGGCTCTCGAGGGTCGTTTCCCGCAGGTCTCTAACATTACTTTCCAATTCGATGGCCAAAAACCCACAGGGTCACGCATAGTGACAGCGACGATCGGCGGGGAGCCGATAGACATGGCCAGGAAGTATGTACTGGTGACCCGAGGCTACATGGCTCGCGGTAAGGATGGCTACGATAGCCTCTTGATAGAGGAGGAGGGGGGTAAAGCTGAGGAGATTGTCTCTGAAGAGAACGGAATATTAATCTCGATGATGCTACGACAGTATTTCATGTCGCTCCGTGTGATGGGACAATGGAAATATTGGGGAAAGAACAGTATGCTACCTATATCCATTAATGACCTCGTCATCTCTGCCCCGTAAAAGAGGTATCTATTCAATCTGGGAGGTTGTATAAACTAACACGTTCCCTAGTCGGTCGATATTGGGAAAATGTCACGAGCAAGGTCAACGCAAACGTCAACGCAAGCCACACCCGGCACTTCCCAACTGCAACCTCTCCTCCTGTTAGTCCAACAGAGAGAAAAGATGTCTCCGGTTGGGATAACTGGACAGCGGAGAAGATTCGAGAGCGGAAGACGTGTCAGCTTCCAGTCGACTCCGAGTCCGACGAAGACAACGACGGCGCGAATAGAGGATACATCGGCGATATCGAGACGATCGATAAGGAGATGCAGATCATGCGCCGGGTGTTCGCCAAATGGGCGCGGATTGCCAAGGTTGAGAGTCGTGTGGGCGAGGAACTTAGGGAAGGGGAATTCGAGGTCGATTGGACCAGAGCGATTGCGCCGCGCGTCGAGGGGCGTATCATCTGCGTCGGGGGCGAGCATGAATTAGGGAGTTAGTTAGCAATCCTTTTTGGTTTGAAGGAGTGGAACGGGGTGGTGGTGCAATGACATGACTTGATGGCTATGATCGTAACGATGTGATGATATTCGGAGAAAAAAAGGTAAAATAAAATATAGATTTATAGGGGGGACTCATTTTAACGCTCGATAAAAAAAACTGCACGGCTGTGATTTAACTACTAACTACTAGGTAAACCGGGTTTCTGACTTTATTCTCGAATTTCCCCTAATGTACTACGGCACGGCACGGCACGGTCTCTTCATAACCCCCTATTTTAGGTGTAAGGCGGGAAAGTTAGAACACCGCGACAATGATTTGGTACAAGACGGCCGTGGATTAGCTTTTGACTCCAACGGTGTTTAGTCTAAATATCAAGACGTATGTAATCAACCTAAGCCTTGGACATAGTTTAATAACTCTTTAACCCTCGTCGTCGTTTAGTAATGAGGGGTATTTACTTCAGGAATGCGGTTTCGTGTAGCGCTAGTTAACGAGTATTGATTTTACGATTACGGACTCATGTGGAAGCTGGTGGACTACGTTAGGTACTTACTTAGATGTCTTCCTCTCGGCTGGTGTTCTCCATGATTGCTGACGCGTCGTCATCTATAAACTCAAAGTCTAGTGTATCTTGGCTGATAGCAATATAGGGATATTTGTGCCTACATTTTATAATCAGCATCGCCTTAGTGGTATCTATATTTGATATGAGGTAACTATCGGTGCTTTGATAGACGTTTGATTTCGTTTCATTATTGTGAATACGCCCCATAAGCCAAAAATGGGGATTGCGAGGGCGATCAGTTGGTATCCTGTATGGAGGAAAATCGCAATCTCTCTAGCCGGGGCTAAGATTGACTATTAAATATAGATAATCAGGGATAGGAGATTCGTATAGCAGTGAATCTCAGCATAATTCCGCGTTGCAATATGAGCGATGTTATTGCTTGCACTTGGGATAAGAAGATGTTCGATCTTGGTATGATACAAAATGCTCAGGATAAATTCATTATAGAGAAGTAATATACAGAGCGTCGCATTTTAACAGGAACGCTCATGCACTCCAGTTGCGTCAATCATATACAAGTATAAAGAGTCATTTCAAATCCATCCCCTCATCAAACCACCCGTCCGTGACATACACTGCATTTGAGTGCGCTCTTATATGTGTGTGTACGCCCTAGCACCAGACTAGAGAGGTAGCACTCGCCATTTACAGGCTCTTCTGGGCGAAACCCAGTCTTGGGCTTCCCGAGGAACTGTCGAAGACGACGAAGGCTGCCTTCAAGGCAACGTCGCCGAAGATGGAGAAGCCGATGCCCTCGTCGGACTGGATACCTCCGAAGCAGGTGGAGTCGTCGACAGGGGCATAGTTGATGTACTGGCCGGGGATGGTGAACTTGGCATCCTCGACACCGAAGACGAAGTCAGGCAGGCTGGCGGTGCAGGGAAATACGTAGCCGCCCTGTTGCGAGTCCAGCTTCGCACCTGATACCTGGCGGTAGTACGCAGTCACGATGGTGTCGGGCAGCAGCGCAAGAGTAGTGCCGGTGTCGGCGATACCTGCGAACGGGCTCGACTTGAAGCTGGTGTTACCGACGCCATATCCGGAGCTAGTAAAAGACCAGAATCCTTGGCTGCTATCGACGTCTGTGTAGGTGATGTCACCAGTGTACTTGGACTTGTCAACGACGCCAAAGTCGTAAGTACCGGCTAATTATGAGGTAGTTAGGTCAGCAGCTTGGTTTGGAATACGAGTTTTAAAATCGCGAGTTAGCTTACCCTCGTGGTACTTGAGATCAGCGGTCCAAGCCGCGGTATCCAGGCTGGATGCGACGTTATCAAAGAAAGTCTTCTGCGGGGTGGGCGTCACCGTGTTGATGCTGCTGAAGGCGAGACCCAGCAGGCCGTCGTTGTTGCTGTCGCTCGTAAACTGGTCGGAGACCTTCTTCGCAGCTTCGACAGCCTGGTTCTCGAATGTAACACCACCGACGGTAACGACGTCGGTGTAGACGTCACCGCTTGAAGAGCTTCCGTCACCATATGAGATATCCCAGCTGGCGCCGCTGAGCTTCTTAGCGGTGCTGCTCGAGTCTGGGTTGTACGGAGTCTGGCCGTTGATGCTGCTTTGGGGTTGTTCGGTGCTGAATACCCAGAGATCCGATGAGCCGGAATCAAAGTCCAGGTTAAGCTGCTGAGGAGGGGTTCCGATCGAGACGGGAGTTAGGTACTGGATATCGTACTGCTCCGGAGTAGCCTTGGCACTTCCGCTATCACGTCGGAAGACCTTGAAGTCGGCCATAATCCTAGCCAAGCCGTCCGGAAGCTTGACACCATACTTGAGGTATGCTCTAGCTAACTGCGCCGGGCCGTGGGGCTTGAAGCCAGGGTTCTTAACTTGAGGGACGGAGAAAGTCCCAATCTTAGGTGGACGCGGCGCGGGGGACGCCGTCGCAATGCCGGCGACCGCAGCCGCGAGGGCGATAGTGCCAACTGAGCCAACCATATTGAATAGATGTCTTAGGAGCGTTTTGATCGGGGTAGAATATACACAATGCTAAAGAATGATGTAAAAAAGAGTGAATTGAGATAGTGAAAGACTGAGTATATATGTATGATATATATATTCGAAAGGGAGAAGCTGTTACTATAGCTAGAAACCTCCTTGCAGCCCGAGGATGGTGAGCAAACGAATATTTCAAACAGGCTGAGCAGAAGGGTATTTATAAAATACCAGAGCTGAGCAGGTTGCGATCGTGAACTAACGGAAACGGTAGGTAGGTTGGATTTGGATGGGTCAAGGACTAGTCAAGGGGACTGCAGATCTCCCTCTCTCCCAATCTACGACCGAAGAAACCGGACTGAGATAGATGCAGGTATTGGCCGCATGCCAGAGCTATTCCATGCGAGTGGGTTTTTCTTTGGAACCACAGCTGCCGTTACGGGTAATAAGCTGTACCGAGTAATACAAAGAGAAGTCAATCACGTCTTTTAGGTTCACATTTAGCTATGGTGATCGACTCAGGTTGTGCGAGGGGGGGCACTGGGGGGGTGGGAGGCCGGCAGCGCTTCTGGTTTGTGGAACACGGCGGCTTGGCAGGTATGTAGATCTGAACCGGCGGACTTGGGACAAACAAGTTGTAGGTATCGTACTGATTGGTCGGCCATTTTGATATGCTTAATTCATCGCTCAACGGCCGGCCGGCTTATTACCCCTTTCTGGTGCATTCTCCAGCATCTCCAGTTTCCGCGCCGTTTACATGCAATTCTCGTTGGCCCTTTCTCCCCCAGCAGCCCAGCAGCAGCCCCCGTGTTCACCTGGCGCGGATCGCTGGTTTGTATTTTCCTTTCTGGCTACGTACGGCCATCCCCGGCCATGTCATGGTGTGTTCGGAACCCACATCTCGGAAGCATGTGAGATATATGCATTCGGAAGCCGGGCTGGAGGAGGCGGTGATTTGATAGTTAGCAATTGATAAAGAGATGAAAGGGGATAGAGCACATGGATCAACTTGTCGTCTGTGTCTTACAAACAGGGTGGACTTTTAAGCTTTCTTTGGATCTTGAACCAACCACAGTAGTATGTAGATTAGAGTGCGGGCCATGTTGCTACGTAGATGGGCTTGGCTGACTCGTGCGTGCTCTAGCGCGGCTGGACATGCCGTACAAGCATTGAAGATCTGCGTCGCTCCTTGTCCTATACATATTGTATGTGCCGGCTTGTAAGGTTGTTTCAGATAGGGGCAAAGAGGGCAAAGAGGGCAAGGCTTTTGCTTGGCTTCTCACTACACCCATCTGACCCATGCCGCTTTGGGGGTGGGGGTTCTCTTGGCTTGCGCTTGTGCGATTGGCTTCGATATTAACTGCAACTTGGCGCTTTTTGGCAGGTCGTGAGCCGTCATTTTGTTTCTTACCTGGTGAATCATCAACCACCTACCTACATTCGACCAACGCCGGCGACCTTCCCGCTTGTCAAAGTCAGACCTCAGACAAGGACTAAAGAAAACAAGCCTTTCCCCGGATCTTGGCCACCTTGGCTAGATGCTATCGCCAGGAACACATGGCGTATGAAAGCTTCTTTGGTCGACACGCTATGAAATGTACGTCACGGTAGTTCTTTACTGTAATTTACTATAATTTAAGAAGGGCTTTAAGCCATTTAGCATGTGCAGATCCCTTCCTGGGCTGACTTATTAACTTACTTGCAATAACTAGCACCAGCATACATACTAACGTATGGAAATATCCCGGCGAGAAGATTTCTACATAAAATGATTAGGATGGAAGCGCATTTTCCCGACCGAAAGGTTCAGGGGGCGATAGAAGAGAATAGCGCTTCGAGCTGGTGATAGGGCAGAGATGATGCTTAACTAGACCCCCTGACCCTTACGATTATTGGGTAGAAGCTATCCAGCTTGGGTTTTGTCCAACCACATATCTCTCTGCGTATTGCTGTTTTATTCCCCAGTTTTACAACATATGGCCCATCGTCGCACCGTGCGCCTATTGGATAACGCCGAGTTCGTGCAATCACCGGGATGACCTCGTGCTGCTCGTGTCGCTGCAATCGGACTTTATCTCTAAAGATCTACACTGCTTCTTGGCAAGGTAGGTAGGTAGTTAAAACAGTCAATATACCGTTTCGGTGACTTACTTGAGGAGGTAGATATAACCATCGACGGGAATCGCGATACTATTCGGTCAACAGGCGTATTACACATTCGCCCCTCCCATTGACGCCATGCCATTCATACTATTAACTTATCCAATTAAGGAAGCCCATCAAGTAAAAGCCTATAACAACCTATAACAACCTGTAGCTCCATCGATTTAGTTTCAACGGTCAGCATCAACCCAGCGGTTTAACCTGTTCAAGCCGAGTCCGTTATTAAGGCGCAGGATCCGTTGACAAATCACAGGTTGGCGCATGGAAGCCGAGTCATCCAAGCCTAAGGCAAAGACCCTGATTGTAGAATGGCGTAGCCGCCGAGCGGGCAACTACATACATGCTATCAATACCAAAGCGAAAGAAATATCCTGGATGTCTCGAATTCGCAATATACCTATGTAGGTAGGTAGGTACCCATGTTTCCGAGTAACGTAGCGCATAATTAATACCGACGCCACTGGAGGCTGAGCCGGTGCCCTCCGTTTTCATGAGAGTTGCCTAATTCGGATACGTAGAGGAGGTATTTACAGATCGAGGCAATCAAGCGAGTCCCAGAAGCTGCGAAACAGGCCACGATTCAAGCCTTATTCCCTGTTGACAGCTTACCTTTCCGTCGTAGTGCGTCTAAGCGCATAGATCTGTATATTAGAGCCTCGTTCCCTCGTTCGGCGAGCTGCGGCTTCATGCATTAGGTTAGGTACCTAAGGGTATGCAACACTACCTCTGCAGACTAAGGGAGCCTCCAGTTACTACCTACACGTAATATGTAAGGGCCGACGGAAATATGCACGTTATTAAGGACCGGAGTTAAAAATGGTATGTATTGCCTCTCCCCTTGCTCCTAAAGAATACTTAGAGAAGCTGGAAAGCAATCGTCTATGCATGCAGGATTTCCGTATCGCGGCCGGTTCCCTGCGACAACGCAAGTCCCGACTCGTATAGCTTAGTCTATAGTTACCTCCCTTACTGAGATAAATAATCAAATGATGTTAAGCATACATTCGCAGCGCCACCTAACTACAAGAGCCAGACATATGGGCATATTATTACTCTACCGAAGCGCGACAGTGTAAAAGTCATGAAACTATTGGCCTGAGAAAGACATCATTATTACGTTAGTTCTCAACTCTTTTACTTATTTAAACTTAACTCACGTTTCCCCAAACCCAGTGGCCTATTCTAGTTCACCTCCTTTTCCCTTCATGCTCATAGTGCCCCTTATACTCGCACCCATACCCCTTTCATCATTTGCACACCTCATCTCTGATATTCTTAATCTCACACTTGCTTTGATAACCAGTAAGAAAAACCCTCGATGAGTAAGCGGTATATATAGGTGCATTTATAGTCGTTTGAGATATAATACACCAGAAAATGAGCTTAACCTGATGGATTATGTAGCTTTAAGGATAACGAGAATACTTTAAGGCAGTTAGATGGTTCAGATTGGAAATAGATATATAGAAGATCGTCTGAGCAATTCCATACCGGTAGTCTAATACGCTTGGGCTTCATAGTGAAGTATCACACTGCGCGGTATAGAAATATAACGTGATATCGGAAAGAAATTCCCGGTTCATCCCTATCACTGGCTACTAGGTGTCTACCCATGAGGCCTGCGGCTACGTGCTATGTAATTAACTAGTCGTCAAAGTGGCTTCATGATCTAACCAAAGAATCATATAACGAGCGGAGAATAAAACCAAAGTGATAGATAAATTATGCTAGAACGAGCGGGCGATAGCTAAAAAGGGGCCGAGCATCAGAAGAGCCTGTTAAAAAGCCCATACTGTTTCGTCTTAATAGATTTCAAGGTTATTGCATCTCATTACAAATGCGCCGTGGCATTTTCAACCGAGGAAGAATATCATACTGAAAAAAACCAGAGTTGATAGGTAAATTGAAGATCCAGACTGTCGCAATGTGTTATAATCCTCCACCTCCCTATCTACCATTATGAGGATGATAAAAGCCACATGAGAAACATGAGACCATCCCCTTAATGATGGACTAAGGACACTGGTCGTCGGCATTCACAATGATATTATAATCGTCTCCATCAAATGCTTGACCTTGAATCAAGTTATCGTCCCCCGAAATCGCGCAGGCCTGCTCGCCCAGGATATCATCAATATGGTCTGCAAGTGTAATACTGTTTTGCTGGATCCACCAGAGATTATCATTACAGAACCAGACTGCTGCATTCTCCATACAAGAGAATTTGGTGCAGCGCTGGGCGTCAACGGATAATTCTGTAGCGAGTGAGTTTAACCAGTCGCGATTTTTCTCTATGGCAGCCTTCGAAGCGGGCGGTAGATTCTGCACATGGCATAGAACCTTCTCCTGTTATTTATGATGTTAGACCAAACTTAATCTGATGGTTATAATAAACATAAAATCGCGTATTTGAATTCAGCTCACCGTTCTCCGCCTCCTTAAAGGCTGAGACTCTAAAGGTTTATCCTGACGTCGCGTCACGGGCTGGAAGTGTTCCCACGAGAAGTCGGGATTGATATTGCGGATTTGCATATCAATTTCCTAGATCTCTCGGTTAGGTATCCGTCATAGATTCAAGAGCCGCTACTCCCCCATGCTGGATAATTTTTACTCACTTGGATAGTACCGTTGAAGGTCTTCTTAATACCATCCGAATCCACTACCCCTTCTATGACCAGCGGTGCTACTGTCAGGCCGTTGAACATTTCGGGTCCAGGTAGGTAAGTATCGTAACGCCGGCTTCCGCTCTAGAAAATATTAGGAATCTCTTTTTTTGGATTTGGTATGGTATTCATTTATTTAGCCTCTTACTATAAGAGCAGCGCGAAAGCCTGTAGCTATCAGGCTGAAACAACTCAATAAGTATAATAGCTTCATGATGAAGCCTTGTTATTGTCGACTTGTGGTAGCGATATTGAAAAACCACAGCAGCAAAGATGATGATAGGTAGTGCAAAGGAGGGGAAGAGATTGAATTTATTAAAGACAGTTTGGGGGCTATGGTAATCCTGCAGCTGCGTGTAACCTTCGCGAATATTTGTTCGTGAACCATAGGTAATCCGTGACTTAGGATGGTGTTGGTCGTAATATATACGACTCCCTCGCGTTTCTACCTGGTCTGTAACCAGGCCGGTCCATTTTTAGAGCGTTACCCGGAGTCTATTAATTTCCTAGGCTACTAGGTAATTATATCATTCACTAGATCTTATCACATTCACTAATACATTTTGGCACTATTCTTTGTTCTATTCTCAGTTGACATATTTTATTCACATTCTGCAGCCAGTCACACGACATAGGTTATGGTATGGGGCTAGATATTCAATAATTGCATTGACTAGTATTGCTTCTTGATACTGAGCCTTTTCATAATAGCTTAGGTACTCTTGGGGGTTTAATAAGCGAGTGATTAGAAATAGCTGATGGTGTACTTGGATACAGAATTGTCACTGGTTGACATTTTACCGGCACCTTACTTGACCGGTGATAATCTAGTATCTATGTCCTTACTATAGCGTTCAGGCTATAGGACAACAATTTAAAATGCTACTATATTTTGATAATAAGTGCTTGATATACTTTGAGTAACTCTGATACCTAAACTAAAGGCGCCTGCCTACCTACCTTAGGTACATTAAGAAGACAATATATGGGGGGAAAATCTATGGTATATGAGAGGGTTGAAAAATGCATTATCTTAGTAGGTTTTGCTAGTTGGATCAGTCATAATAACTGTGTTTATCTTGGGATTATTTGCTATACTGGTGATAGTAGGAAACATTAAGCGTTGTAATAATTTAAGATGGTATCGGTTGCTTGAAGAAGGATGTTCCAGAAGGTCATTTTAAACTTGCCCCTAAGACTACAGCCATATTGATTCAAAATTTCGAGCCAGAATATGTGTTAAGCAGTGTTAGGTACTAATTGTAGTGGGTCTTGCTCTCCTACATGTACAATACCTATGTAGCTATAGAATGCTCCATAGTACAGGGACTTGCCGACTGACTCACCTAACCCACCGAAACTTTAATAAGGCCAAGGTACCGACACTTGTTTACTATTTATAGGATATCAAACAGGTACACAAGGTACGGAAGTTACCTTAGGTAAACTTCTTCACATGCATGTAATAACTTATCAAGCGGTAGGTACCTATATCTTCGTCTTCCTGGTTGCAACCATGGTCTTCCTCCCATTAAGCCCTCGTTTGTCAAGAGACATGCTTCAGCAACAGATGGTTTCCGACACAAGCTCTATTTCTTCTGCTATGCTTCAAGAAATAGCTAACTCAGGTTCCTTAGACACATTCTGCCCAACATTGCACGAGATCCAGACCATGCTACGCCTAACCTGGAATCCTAGCGAAAGATGGTAATGATTAACATGAATACCTAGGTAGTTGGGATGCTTGAAGCGAGTTTTTGATTAATGTAACTAGGTCCTTTAGGTCAATACTCTCTCGCGTAGATCTCTTCCCCTGCTCTTACTTTATAATATGTAGTGTAAAATCCTAGAGAGAAAATTTACATTATGGGCGGTGTGAAGACGATACTGGACGTGTATGATGAGGTGGAGCAAGAAGGCATGGAAACAGCGTCGTCGTTCCGTAAGGAATTATAAAATCCTAACAACTTGGTAGATCGAAGATTAACAGCTTCGTGTACGATGTTACCACGTAAGGATGAATTATTTCATACGCCCTCTAACTAAAGAAGCGGAAGAGATTAGGTGATTATTCCTGAAAGGCTTAATATCGTAGTAGCTTGTCATAGCAGTACCTACGACTAATATTCTTCTATGACATATATAGGAATATACAGATCTCTATTCCCCTTTCATAATTTCTATGATAAAGGCTTCGTAAACTGTAAAACATGCGGCAACAACCATAGCTTCAACTCCATATAATATTGTTAACATCAATTAATAGATAAACACATGTATATGCTCGGATTTTGGAAGCTCCAAGTACTATGGTTTAGATGAAAACCCCCACTCAGCTCAAAAGCCGCGTCTACTGACGTATCGGCTTTTAAGAACCGAAAAGCCTTGACCCTTGTAGCTCAAGATCTGGGGTTTAGACTCCCCTCTAATATGTGCTTTCGACCTGATTCATTGCAGAATGTCCGTATTAGATATTCAATAAAGCCTCATAGGTGGGATGTAACGTAGTTTTTCAACTTCGCGATGCGCTGGCAGATGTTTAGCCTTGGGCATTACACCTTGTAGCGTGTATCTCACCTCAGTGGTTACGTAGTATAGTTATCCATGGGAATTCTCAACCCCGGTGCGGTGCCTAATGACATGTCACAATGACGATGGTTCCTCTATAGAAGTCTCTCACTAGCAGGGCGTCAATACTATACATATTTGACGACGATACTACACACTTTAGGAGCACGGGCCGAGCCTCAATTGCTCCCCGTGTTACTGCCTACAGAAATGTCAGCTCATTCCCAATCTGTCGAACTTCATAACAGGCATCTATGGCGGTAGCCAATCAGACTTAGACAGCGTGTATTTAAACTGGTTCGTTTACCATCCTTTCATGCTTACGCTAATCTCAATTTCACCGAGTCGTCCCACTTCATTATGCCTTTCCTTCAATTCCGAGCTATTCCTATGGTCTAGACTCGCATCGCGTATAGAAAAGACTTGTGAGGCGAATCGCCTCGCATCCTACTATGTACCGTACAGGGCATGATTTCAGGGGCAATGGAGAATAAATATCTACTGTTGCCCTTCATGTTGTCAGGTTCTCATCAGCTCTCTAAGCGCGTATACATCCACAGAATCAGTCGTTCGCCATAAGTTTATAGCCTTTCGCAAGATGTTTGCCCAACTCGCACTCGCTTCTCTCCTCGCCGCCGCTCCATTGGCACAGGCAGCCCAGAACGTAACTGTCAAGGCGCTACTGACTGAAGATTGCTCATCTTATCCGGGTTATGATGCCGCAACTAACACAGCCGGCCCCTGGCTCGTTCAATTAGTTGATAGTGACAATACCGCTATCGAGGGATTCGGTGACACATCTGCGTACTCCATCTCCTACACCCCCGGTGTTGATACGAAGCCATCTCTGCGATGGGGTTACGTGAGTATCTAGCTTGTTTCTAACTCTTGATCCACGAGGATTCTAATCTGGAGGCATAGATCACCTTCCCAACGAATAATCAAATCGCCAAGACCGCCTTGAAGTGCGACGGGGGTATCCTCAAAGCTTTGGTACCTACCGATCTGACGGCCGCAGGGGCCCCCACAAATGCCCAATGGTCGGAATTGTCATTCCCCACGGATGAGCCGTATGACGCTCCCTTGCTATACAAAATCACCGGCGGTACCGCACCCCAGATCTTCGAGCACTATATCGACGGCGAGAAGCAGGACGGTGTATTCCTCGGTGCCTACAATACCAGCACTAGGTGGGGACTCAAGTACAACGCGGCAACCTCGGGATCCTCCGGTCAGGATTTCTATTACGCACGGATTTTGGGTCCGAACAGTGCGGACCCCGTGACCGGCGAGGCCTTGAACGCAAATGAGACCACGGCTTTCGTCAAGATCTCGGCATAAATACTTGCAGATCTCTAGAAGCTAGAAACTTGAAGTGGACTCGGGATTGACTGAGACATCATTCAGACTATTCGCGAATAGCTTCCTAAGAGCAGCAATTACCTAAAGTTAATGTGGGAATTAGTATGTGAGGATATTACTTTTAGTACCTACCTAGGTAATTACCTGGTAGGTAGGTAGTTAATATATATTCGAGATGCTGGTATACGGAATTAGTTTCGAAGAAGTAAACCAGCAAATCCTCAGGCATGTTGCGGCTCCGCTCACGCTGTCCATTCTATATGCGATATAGGGATCTTCAACCATCTGGTACTACCTCATAAACTTTTCATCTTGGTGAGTCGAAGCACTTGCGGCTGAAGCAACTCCCTTGGGTACCTTAAGTAGGTAGGTACCTAAGAAAGAGGTTGCTACGACAGATTGCAAAGTCCTTCCTTCTTTCCTTCGTCTTATTTAGAGTACAGTTGTCAGTATTAGGCAACCACCAGCTCGCTAGGCTAAGTACCTACCTAAGGCAAGTGCATATGGGAACGGCTTTACTTCCATTAAGTTTGGTATCTACCTTAATCAACTTCCATCCTACATCTCACAACTTACTAAACTGAATAGATACCTACCTAGGCAGTAACAATAAACACAACATCTATAATCGCAACCAAGACGTATCAAGATGCGTTTTGTACAGGCACTCTTCACTACGATCGGCCTCATAGCCTTGGCTGAAGCTGCGAAACATTACCTCATCGTCGGAACCTTCAGCACCAACTTCCTCTACACTGTCGAGTATGACGACGCGGCCGAAACCCTAAAGCTTGTCAAGAATACCACTGCCAACGCCGGTAGCGCCTGGATCACTCTAAGCGTACGTCTATAACCTATAAATATTTAACTAAATAGTGATAGTTGCGTGTTCCTCGACTAACTTGCAATAATCATAGCATGACAAGAAGAACTTGTACGGCACCGACTGGAACGCAGATGAAGCTTCTTTCGTTAGTTACAGCTTGAAAGATGCCAAGTCTATCAAGTATGAGACTAGAGTGTTTGGAGACCCCGAATGCCGAGGCAAGAAAAGCAACTTCGTCGCTGCTTATCCCAAAGCACCCTACAGGTATGTAATATATTGCCCCATGCCCTCGGATGCCTTGTTGAATTGCTAACCCCTATCCCCACAGTGTATATGGTAATTATTTCTACGGTGATGTCCATGATGCCAAGTGCGGTATGGTCATGTCGGTACACGACAATGGAACTCTTCACGCCGCACTACAACAGTACATGTACGCGGACGATTCCGCCGTAACTGGAACTTCATTCAGCGCTGATTCGCAATACCTCTACTCGGCCGATAAGGTTGGCAACTCCATCTGGGTCCATAATGTCACCGAAAAGGACGGCAGCCTTGACTTCCTGTCGCGAGTTGACATGCCTGTGAAAGGTGCAGACCCTCGTCATGTTTTCGCCCACCCGGAAGGGCAATACGTCTACACCGTCTGGGAGGGAACTAGCCAAGTCGCCCAGCTCATGACCAGCGACCTCGGCAAACTATATCTCCTACAGCAAACCTACCCCCTTATCAAGGATGGTGACCAGTTGTCAGATTTCTGGGCTCACGACATTGCCCTTTCCGCCAACAATAAGTACCTCTGGGCAAGTAATAGTGCATCCAATCCGAACCACAAGGGATATATTTCAGCTATCAATGTCAACGACGAAGGCCTCCTCGGCGACCAGCTCTTCCTTACCCATACTACCTCTGGTGGTGGTTCTTCCAATGCTATTGCCCCAAGCTCGTTCGACGACAGAATTGTTGCGAAAACTGGTAACTCGACGGGCTTTATTGAGATATGGAAGATGAATGATGACAAGTCTGGAGCGAAGGTGGTAGCTCATCTAGATATTGATGATGGTGGTGGATGCTGTGCCAACGCCGTTTGGTACTCGTAGTTTTATTACGATATCTACCAGTCACTTCAGTTGATTGACTTTCATTGATGCAGGTGTGGTAGCTATGCAACATCTCGTAGATAGATGTATCTGAGCAATACAAATTGACTTGTCACAGCATGGAAACAACTTCGTATACATGCTGAACATGTCCTCTGTTCTATACGTCTTGGCTAAAATATAAAATACTCACTGTATCAATATTACGGGTATCTTAATGTGCTTACCTCACGCCAAGACAAATATATTGCATTTATTGATGCAAAGTGGGGAGAGATCTTACGTAATTAAGTGTCTTATCTCACTAAATATTTCATTTTAAGACTCGTTAAACTCGAAGCTTTAGACCTGAGACCAGCTTCATTGTTACGCCTACATTCAATTTATTATATTGTATCGAACGCGATTATGACTTCTACCGCCGCGATGGGTAAGCAAGGGATTTCCGTGCTTTTTGTTTGCCTTGGCAACATATGTAGATCCACCATGGCCGAGGGAGTCTTTCGATCTATCGTGAAGGATCAGTCATCTCCCTACTACGATCTCGTAGATAAAGTGGATTCTTGCGGGACAGGTACGGATAGCTACCTCTTTGTCTTATACGTAGTCCTCGTGACTTAGGAGGTCCTGTGCTAATATTTATCATAGGTGGATATCATACTGGCGACGAACCCGACTCTAGAACGATGTCGACCCTTGAAAGCCACGGCATTACGAATTACACGCACGCGGCGCGTAAGGTAAGTCTAAATCTATGACGTACTTCGTAGTCCCACTGGTAAGATACGGCAATAAGGCTAATCTGATAAATGATATACAGCTCCGTGATAGTGACTTTCGAGAATTCGACTATATATTTGCAATGGACAAGGCGAACCTAGAAGACCTCAATCGATGGAGGAGTAGAAGCAAAGACTCAACTAGCTCCAAGGCGCAGGTCATGCTATTTGGCGAGTTCTCCGGCACGGGCCGCAAGGAAGTAGTGCAAGATCCTTACTACGTCGGTCGGGACGCTTTTGAAAAAGCATATGAACAGTGCAAGAGATTCTCGATCAACTTCCTAGAGCAAACATTCCCCGATGCTAGTAAGACGACGACGACATAAATCTAATAATACCTAAGATTTGTTTTCCTGTCTAGTTAGTTAGATTATACATAGACGGGCTAATAGACGTTATGAGCACACGACGGAGTCTGAGGACAACGACGGGATTTATAGAGACGAGTAACGATAGATAGATCATGTCTGGTAGTCCTCTTCCGTAGGTAGTTTTCTTACAGTCAATATTAGCTGAGTGAACACTGAACATAGATCAGGTTACCGAGTACCTAAGCTGGTAGGGCAACAGAAACAGAGAGTTGCTGCCCGTCGTCTTACAAGCTGCAACCTTGAGACTGGATCTATTTATGAAACAAGCTAAATAAAGTTGTTTAATGCTCGTTAGAACAAATGTCGCTAGTGCGGATCTAGGTCGTATTGGTGCGAGATTTTTGGGGGCTAAAATGGAATCTTCCCTCAGCCTCAGCTCAGCCCCCTAGAATACGGAAGATGACCACATGTTTATCGAACAAGCTCTGCGTCTCTTACTCATGTTTTCTACCAACTTATTCCAATTTATGATCTCAGTCCTAGATAGATAGATCTATGAAATTTAATATAAAGTTTTGTGACTGATTACTACATCTATTTACTACCTTCTCTATGCTTTATACCGAACGTTGAAAATTACTCGTGAAATTACGTCTTTCGTGACGCAGTCTACATAATCACTGGCCTGTAGCCAGGCGCTTACATACGTATAAGGCAAGCAGGGGGGCTCGTTGGCGCTGTTTTCATTGGAACCAAAAATACATAGCGGGGCAGAACTCGAATAGTGGCCAACCACAGTTAGTATCGACTAACCGCTGTCGTCTTGCGGGGAACATCTCATCTGTACTTTTAACCTTCATTGGTGGTGTACCTAAGGTTAGGTACCTAGTACTAGGTACGCTAGGTTTTGTACTTTGTTAGGCGGCGGACCCCTCGCGCCCCTCGCGCCCCACCAATCTGCCCTATCCCCTGAAGCCTTTGGGTCTAGCAACTTCCCCTCCCCCTCGGCTCCTCGACTCCTCAAGATGACTTGCCCATTCGAGTTACACAGCGCATATTTTCTTTCTGTGACATATCACCGTCGCTATTCTGCCTTGGGGGTCATTTTGATCTTTTTTTATGTTACCCCTTGACGCGGTAGTTTTGCAAGTTGTCTTCCTTGGTTTTTATTGTTCTTTTTCTTTTTTAAATAGTATCCCATCGCATCGTCCATAAGCTTCGCTTACTATCCCTTCACCCAGTCGTCTCCCGTCAGCTTTGTCGTCACTATTATTGTCGTCACTATATCTATTAACGGTCGGCTGTCTTCTTTGATACTTGGATACTAGTTCCATTGTCATTGTTAAAGCGGTCCATCCATTTTCGATTGGGTTATTGTCGTCCTTTGCTTTAACTAGGTAGACACAACGTCGAAACGATTCTTGTCGCAATCCAATTCGAGAGTAATCCCAGCTCAAGTGCAAGCCCGCAGATAATTTCCTAGCATAAGACCGACCCCGAAGGTAGACTTTCATCATGTCCGACCTACAAGGACGTAAAGTCTTCAAGGTTTTCAACCAAGACTTTATCGTCGATGAACGGTATACCGTCACCAAGGAATTAGGACAAGGAGCTTACGGTATTGTTTGGTGCGTGCGCGGTTTTAATTTAGATCCTCCCTTGCCATAAATTCGGCGTAGAGTAGCTAATATCTTGTTCACGATAAATAGCGCTGCAGTAAACAACCAGACAAACGAAGGTGTGGCCATCAAGAAGGTCACCAATGTCTTCAGCAAAAAGATCCTAGCTAAGCGCGCCCTGCGCGAGATCAAGCTCCTACAACACTTCCGAGGTCATCGAAACGTAAGACGCCGCCGTGCTTTGTCGCGTGATGCTGGATCCAGCAGCTATTGATATTACAGAATGGGATTGCTGATTTTATCTGGATACTCAGATTACATGTCTTTACGATATGGACATTCCTCGACCGGAGAACTTTAACGAGACATATCTATACGAAGGTATGGAGCTAGCCTACACTATTAAAAGTCCTCCTGCTTACTGGCTCGTTGTGCAGAACTGATGGAATGCGACTTGGCTGCTATCATTCGTTCCGGACAGCCCCTTACGGACGCCCACTTCCAATCGTTCATCTACCAGATCCTTTGCGGCTTGAAATACATTCACTCGGCAAACGTCCTCCACCGCGACCTCAAGCCGGGAAACCTGCTTGTCAATGCTGATTGCGAACTGAAGATTTGCGATTTTGGTTTGGCTCGTGGCTTCTCGGTTGACCCTGAGGAAAATGCCGGTTATATGACAGAATATGTTGCTACGCGATGGTACCGTGCGCCCGAGATTATGTTAAGTTTCCAGAGTTATACCAAAGCTAGTGTGTAGACACCTCGCCTTGATTATAGTACCAGTTATTAACCTCTTTTAGTTGACGTCTGGTCTGTGGGATGTATTCTCGCTGAACTCCTTGGTGGGCGACCCTTTTTTAAGGGACGAGACTACGTCGATCAACTCAACCAGATCCTCCACATCCTTGGAACACCTAACGAAGAGACCCTACTACGCATTGGTTCCTCTCGCGCTCAGGAATATGTCCGAAACTTGCCGTACATGGCTAAGAAGCCTTTCCCGAGCCTATTTCCCAATGCTAATCCCGATGCGCTGGACCTCCTTGATCGCATGCTAGCGTTTGACCCATCTTCGCGTATTAGCGTCGAGCAGGCTTTGGAGCATCCCTATCTCCACATCTGGCATGACGCCTCTGATGAGCCCGACTGTCCCACCACCTTCAACTTCGACTTCGAGGTTATTGACGACGTAGGTCACATGCGCGAAATGATTAAGGATGAGGTGTTCCGATTCCGACAACTAGTGCGCACCGCACCAGGAAGTGTCGGGCAGACCGGTGGACCGCAGGTGGCGGCTAGTCAAGTGCCGATACCCAGCGGTGGAAATTCGCAATGGAGCGCTGAAGACCCTCGACCCCAAGAATACACAAACCAGATGGGGTTAGAAGGGGAACTGCAGGGTGGTCTCGACGCTGGCGTTAGAAGATAGAATCTCTTCTCCCAGCGCCCTTGGGCGGAGGGGCCCACCAATGCCTCTAGAATGAAGGAGAGATGCCAGAGTTCCCCAAGACGATTTAGCCGCTACAACAAAAAAATTAGAAGTAAAGAATATCTACAGTGGTAATATGGCGAGGGATCCTCGAAATGCGCCCGAGTGCGTGTTTACCCAGGTATTGTCTATTTTTGGAATGGATAAGGTAAATTGGGCGACACGCCCAGCACCCCCTCAGCAAATGAGAATTGCACGATGAAAGAAAACGGGGTTTCACTTTTTCTTGCCAGCCAAGAAAGAGCTTTAAATTAGTAATTTTTCCGGTCATGGGTTACGATGAATTATTAAAAGATCAAGCTCTTCACTACGTTTAATTATACCAACATGCCTTGATACTATGTCTAGGAATGGGTTGACTGAGCACTTGTAGTTCCCCTAGAAGAAACTAGGCCCCCTTTGAGATACGTGCTATGCCTTGTAGTTTGCTAATATCAGCTAAGATTCTATATGGATTATGAGCTACCTAGGGGACTTCTGGCCATCGTTAGCCAACGTGTCTCGTGCATCAGCGTTACTCATGGCTGGTGAACTATTACACATACGCTTGATGCTAGCATTATCCATATTCATCTCCAGCCACCGTAATACTCGAGGACATCAAAGATTTCCGTGATAAAGCATTATTCGCTATCCTCGAATACCTTGGAGCTTAAGGCATGGTGTTAACTCCGAGCTTAATAAAGCCCCTGTCAAGATGTGAACAATTCTTAAGGACAAGCATTATCCAAAAAAAAATTTTGCCAATATTATATCCCTATATGCAATAGCTCTCGTACCGGGGAATAAGATACGGAAAACCAAAAGGGGGGGTATATCCTGCCTTGCTTTTTGAGAGTATTACGATGTAAGGACAGGCCAGACATCGAAGCCACAGAAATTCCCGATGAAAAGTAAATACAACGGTACCTAAATATAGGTAGGTACTAGGTAGTCCAGCTTAAGAATGTATCATCGCCTACCCGACTCTTATCGCCTCGTCCTCGCGTCCTCGCAAACCAAACCATAACGCCGTGATCTAGGTAGCCCCGGCCCACCAGGAATCCCGAGTCCAGCCCAATAACAAATCAGATTCACCGCCCAGGCATTTTCCTATTGTTTGTTGCTTCCTATTTCTTATTTTTCTTTTCTCTGAAAACCTGTCAGGTGCGTCTAATTTTCGTAGATCCAGTACTGTGCAGCGTACGGTACGCTCTGAGTCTGACCGGCACCGCCACATGCCTCGGGGTTTCCGCCGGCAGTGAGTACGCGATACACGAGGCTTACGCCGGTGCTCGTGCCCTTGTCGCTTAGACGTAGCCAGTCCACGGCGCCGGTGGCCGGGTCGGCGCCCTTATCAGCGTCGCTTGGTGCCGGTACAGCCGCGTCCTTCTTCCCCTTGAATAGTTCGCCGTCGTCTGCACCCGACAGGTCAAACGTGGGGGTGTTCGCTGCGTCGAAGAAGTGATGCCCTAGGAACTTTAGAGGGTTGGGTATACCCTCTACTGTGAGGTCTACAGGTGCCGGAAATGGAGAACCATCTTCTGCTGCGGCCAGGTTAATTGGCATATCTGTCTTGCGTAGTACCGTGGAGGCGAAGGCATCGAAATCATCTGCGGAGAGGGAAGACGGGGAGGCTCCAGGGTACAGGTCTGTGATCTCCCATACTACTGCTAGAGCACCAATGGATGCGGCTGTGGCCCCTTCTGCGCTACATGTGTAGTTTTGAATCCCGTGGCCAACGAGGATGTGCTTTAGTGTAGCGGCGTCGGGACCGGCGAGTTGGGTACCAGCTACGGGGATGTTAGTTGTGTCGTCCCTTTTGTATGAATTATATGATGTAACTATATAAATAGGAAAGGAGTCGAGTTGATCTACTTACAACCGGTGGTGGGCAAAGTAGGGACAGCTGCCACCGGAGGTGCAGGAGCAGGGTTAGTAGGGGTCGGCACAGTGCTGTTGCTAACACTACTACCGCATCTACGTCGTAAAGGGGAGGCGGAGGTAAGACCCAAGGCTGATAATATGACTAACAAGCTTTTGGGATGCATTTTGACAGTTCTAAATTTGAGCAGAAAGATGTATGGACGATCGAGAAAGAAAAAGGCCTTAAAGAGAGTATTATAAGATGACTGGGCAAGACAGAACAAGAACGACAGTACACAAGTACTTTTTAACAGTCAACAGGGTAGTGCAAGCGGCAGCTGAGGACGGTGTAATGTTTCTTGGCTGGGCCGTGGCCGCGGCCGTGTGTCGTGTGGGTGGCGGGCGAATAGCCGGCCAGCGCTTAGGGAATAGAAAATAGCAGTATGCGAGTTGGATGCGCGTACGGTGGTATTTCCAAGGGTATGCAATGCAAGATGCGAGAGAAATGGCTTCCCGAGCCGAGATTTGACGTGGTCGGTTGACGAAATTGAAGGTGGAAATACGAGAGAGAGAAGAAATAGGTAGTTCCGACGTAGGAACCTACACTACATAGAAAGGTATTGCATTAAAAATACAAGAAAAAAAGAAGAAGATAGGGAAGAAACTGATGAGAGTGGTGATTTTGATAGTATAATCGTAAACTTATTGTCAAGGGAATCTCCTGGAGTTTATATCCAACAACTTGTCTCATATATCTATCGACCATGGGTTTTCTTTCCATGCTAGCAGATATTACCTACTAGGTTACGATGCAGGGTGAAGTATGTATTGTACTTTCTCTTTTCCTGTTGTGCAGCAAAAAAATCCCAGCTGGATGAGATTTGTATTGTATGTTGACGCCATGGTCAAGGGTAAATAGTGCTTAACAGGACTCGAGCCTCTAGCCAGGGTTGAAGAGAAATGTAGGTACAATACAATACTTCAGGCCTTGCTTGAGATGAAGAAAAACACCGGGATGGCGTCCGCAGTGTCCATCCACGCTAGAAACGGCGTGGCGGCTGACGGGAAAGTGATATTCCCACACAGCGGGAGTAGGCTGGCGGGCTGGACGGAAAGCAGGTGGCTTTCTGTGCAGAATGCAAAAATGTTACCCATCCATCCTTGGAAACGAGCTCTTTGGTCTGGTTGTCTAGACCTTTAAGGATTGTCCAGGGTCTAACTTATTACGTCTATTATATGGAGACTGGTCCCGTCGGTCGAGGGGTCGAGGATCTTCCCAAAAAGCTGGGGCCTCACGCCTTGCATATTCGGGCTGTCGGATGCCTGCCAGTGGAAGCAGAGAAGTACTAGCTATCGGTCTTGTTCCGGTCAGCCATCCGCTTTCGTAAGGTGGTACAGATCATTGCATATATTTATGTAGGCAGGCTGCAATACTCTGCTTCATTGGAGGCCCTTACGACTTGTACAGTCGTATGTACACTGGTCAGTCAAGATGGCAGTGTCGAGTTCTCCGCGAAGACGCAATGGCAGCACAGAGGGTTCACACCCGATGACAATAAAGGAGGGGCTGGAGGGGTCGACGATGAATGCGTCCAGATAATCCTTGGACCTTGGGAGATATGACGAACTAGCTTGAATCCTCCTGCTTTTTCTCAGGTACAAAAGGCTGCTGCTCACGAAATGATACAGGGACAGCACAGGCGAACAGCCAGAAAAAGGAAGATTAAAGCCACAGAGTCATTGGAGGGGAGGCATGTCGAGGTTATGTCGGCTGCCGTCAAATTAATTGAGCACCAGCGCGTTTCCGACCGGGGGCGCGGCTATCAGGTACCTGGTAATGGCATCTTCTTTTAGTTACTGCTGCTGTGATTTACAAATATTGAATTTAGAGTAACGAGCCGCAGGGGGGTGATTGGGATTTCATTTCGATATAACCTCTGACTGGTTGAATAGGCGACCTCACGCTCCTCTCCTACCCACCTTTAACCCAACCCCAGTCAATCGAACAATCGAACAGTCGAACCGGGAGTGAAGTTGATTGTAAAGAAATTCTCGACAGAATTGACCGGGAAATAAGGAAGGGTGTTAACGAGTTATTCGACCAGGATTTTCGAACAAGTTTAAAAGATTCCTCACTATTACCAGATCTGATAGTATGGATCCGTGAAAGTCCATGCTGTATACCTAAGCCTTACTCATAAAGAACCATAGTTTTATTCAGTTCAATCCCCAATCCCTTATTAGAGATGGGATACCTAGTACATATTTGCTTCGTCTTATGCACTGGACTTAAAAACGAAGCTAAGTTAGTTGAACCAACTTAGTTCTGCATGCGTTCGAAGGGATGTTTCGTTTCAAGCCCGTTCGCTACGTTTGACCTTTTGTTCTAGCGTAACATGGGATAGATTCCTCATACACTGCCTCTTTTCTATACCAACTCTAAGTAAACCCAGTGCTATCAAGCGCTATCGATTAATCCAATCTCCCCTCATTACTGGGTAGTAAGGAACTTACGGAGTGAAGTTACCGACGCTTCGGATCCAACAATTCAGACAGTAGTTAATGCCCGTTAATATTGACAGGGTGTACGAAGTATTGTACGATTAAATAACGAGCGAGGCATAGGCTAATTTCAGCCTCGAGCCTTACTCTATTGCATCTTATATAATTACATCTTATCTACTATATACTACATATTACGTACCTACTTAGCGTTCGGAAGACCGACGAGCATCACGATCCCCCTTTAACTAGCGCCCACATTCTGTTTGATTACGTTTCGCATAGTTTTCAATACTTTTAGATTTGTAATCCTATAGCCCTACTCTCTTTAGAATGGGCTGCGCCGATGATTCACTGCGGTACCTATACCTAATTTACCTATCCCATCTGCCTTTATCATTTATTAGATCCCATCTTCTCGTAATACATAGTATCACACTTCAAATAAATCTCGAACTGCCCTCTTTCACTTATGAGACAAAATCGGCAAGCAGAAGCGCGGCAACTTTTGCAAGCTTAGTCCGGCGGACTTCGCATCCATTCAACTACGGAACGCACATCGATATTATGCATATGGTGTTACTCATCTTGCTAGTGTATTTGAAGGGCTATCGGGTATGTTTTTGCCTTATGCGGAGAGGCACATATTAATTCGTAACGGTGGTACGAGTATGTATGGACAATCGTTTGCTGCGGATACGCGAGTTGGCCGCGCTTGATATGCGACCATTAGTCCGCCGTACCCGAGACCTCCCAGTTCCATACGCAACTGTGCCAGAGCATCTATAGGCTTGAGATAGCCCAACCGCGATTGTCACCGCCTCGGTGATGCAGAAAGGTCGCTTAATCGGCCGCTTAAGCGGAACTGGTCAGATAGTTTTACCTCTAGCCCAAAACACCATCTTCCACGCCGTAGGTTTGAGTTCTGATGTTGAGTTTCGTTGTCAGATGCACATGATATGGGGTTAATGCAGCTAAACACCAACAATCTGACGTCTGCGTTTGCTCTTAGCATTTTTTCCCCCGTTGGGAACCACATTCCCCTTTCGATGGTTCAGTTAACATTCGGATGCAGGTATCAATAGTCCGAGCGACCACAGATGTGTTGCCTAGGTAGGTAGGTATGTAGATTAATATCCTACGAGCACCACTTAATAATCGATGTCAATAGATTGATACTCTTACCTACGCAAGTCCATGTGACTTCTCACTTCGGTACATTCCCATGTTTGGTTAACTGACATTGGAGGATCAATCATTACAGTATTTTGGCAGAAGCATTTCGTTGGTAGACAACAAGTCTTGAGGCTTTGACCGTAAAACCTAACTCTTAAGCCCAATGACCGTCCAGGTCCCCTAAATGATAGCCTACACGTTATGAACCCTCTATCGATACTGCAAGAAGATAGCCTTCGCCTAACAAATCACCTACGCTCTATGAGTTGACTGGACAGCCGGTAATTACCTAGGCATCAGCGTATATATCTTTAATGTTCATATAATGAAGAGCAATAAACCATGATACCGCATAACTTCTTTGATGGATACCTACCTCTCAAGAATTCCAAAAACTATTATATAAACAAAGATACAGTCATTATATTTTAAGGGGCATAAGCCGGAATATACCTAACTAGGCACAAAGGCATCTAACGATAGTTTCCTAGAAGTTTCAAGCTAATAGGTGATGCTCCCTAGCATACGCATGTATATGACCGAGTCTCATTTTTTAGCGAGGAGACCTCAACCCGGACCGCCGTTGATTTAAAAACCAAACGAACGGTATAACCATAACCCATATTCAGCCAGGGTTTGGTTCCATGACTTATCTAAGCCGAGACTTTCACGAAGTCCCATAACGTACCATCCCCGGTAGTCTCGATTAGCTTAAAATCATTGCTCACGGTGATCTTCCGGAGCACATCCTCATGGCTCGTGAGTAATACGTAACCGCCCTGAGGGTGCTTTCTAGCACAGAAGAACTCTTGTCCGTCGTGATGCTTGTATTCCGCCCAAATACTTTCATTTCCATCGTGTCCCAAATATGTCCCAGACACCGGGCTCCGGAATCCCAGCCAGCCTTGGGATTCGACGCATATCCAGTGCCATCCACCCTGGTCGCCAACATTCTCTCGCACGCGAAGTTTTCCTTCGATGAGAGTAATGTATCGGCCAGTATTTCGCTCCCGGATGGCGAATGTCTGGTCAGGGAATGGTGGTGTATCTTTTGTCTCTATCTTATGTATTAGACATGAGCAGGAATGCTCTACTCGATCGGTACTCGACATTGTATGTGTTGGTGTTGCCATGCCAATATCTAGCGTTGATTGACAGTATTCAGATTCGGGAGCAGAGCAAAGATCGGAGTGCGCGGAAGACATTGATCTGGACTTTTCTGGTATTCCTAGATGTGGAAAGAGGAAAGAGGGGTTTAATATGGCGTAGTTAAGTGGACATAAGTTACTATCGAATAAAAATAGCTGGTAGGTTGTTGTTTGACATCCAACCAGTTTCAAACGGAAATACAGTTATCTCCAACCAATTAACAAGGGCCAATAGCATTGATCGGTTACCGGGCCAACAGCAAACACTCTTATTTAGAATAAAAAATCGGACCATACCTTTTCCGAGTAGTCTGACAATCCCAAAGTGCCCCCGGTCCTACAGCCCAAACGCTAACCCAAGGTGGTAAAGCCTACTGTCCGGATTCGCTCTAGCGCCCTTTGGGCTCAACTTTAAAAATAAAATAAAATAATTAATTCTTAATTGATTTTTAATTGATTACTAATCAATTCGGGATCGATTATTAATCGATTTTTAATTAATTAATTTTTTAATTTTTTATTTTTTTAAAAATAATATTCTAAGTATAATAGATTACACAAGCCAGGCCACGTGCTGATTAGATAGGAGATTAGATAGATAGCTACAACTATATACATAAAGCTATTCGCACTTCGCACCACACATAGTTATACCTGTACACATGCAATAGCGGGCGCCTTGTTAATTACCCCCTGTTTCGTGACTATTTCGTTGATAAATTTATTCTATTTTGACAATTGAATGAGTTGAATTGAATCGCGAGATTAGTTCAATGTGGGACTCCAAAATGTTGACCAATAAAATCTAATCAATTAGTTGTGGCCCGTATCTTACTATATTAAGTTAGCGTTTGGGCTGTAGGACCAGGGTCACTTTGGGATTGTCTGTAGACTCACCTTTTCCCTATAATATTTCCATCTGTAACTACGGCCTGAGAATATAGTCTCCGAATTTCTCTAAGCGTGGTAGGACGAAAAAACCTAAAGTCACTAGATGTAGTTATATTTTAACTAGTTAGCAACTTTTAATTGTTAGTTGTCCGGCACAGACCAGGAAGGATTCAATTTTGGCAACGTAGAGAAATATTATTTGCAACCTTTAAGCGGCGTTCACGCAATTGTACGGAAGTGATCTGCCTTAGGTACCTATCTACCTAGGTAAGTAACTATAAACTTGAATTACCTAAATCCTCATCAAAGACTAGAGCCTTATTTGGCTGAGAGGGTACACCAAATATTGCTCCAACTTGCTTTACCATCTTAAAAACTTAAGAGGGGTAACTAGAGGTAGTTTTCTTTGATTTCGTGATTCGTTATAAAGAAAATTGATTTTTTAAACTCCGCGCAGCTTCAGTTCCTGCAATCCTGCCAAATACGGCACACTCGAGCAGTGATGAGCCACCAAGCCTATTAGCTCCGTGTATGCCCCCAGTAATCTCGCCCGCGGCCCAGATCCCCGGTATTGGTTTTGGCTTGCCTTCGTCTGCCAACCGGAGAACTCTGGCTTTCGTATCGAATGCTACTCCACCCATCGTGAAGTGAACCACAGGCGTCACCATCCCGACGCATACCTCTTCCTCGCGATTAGCTTCACCAGGGGGCAATTTCCAATGTCCAAAGGACTTCCTCCCAAATGGATCCTCTTCATGTTTTGAGACCATGGTTGCGTACTTGTCTATCGACGTGATGATCTCCGGAGCGAGGTCTTTGACTTTGATTTTCCGTACCAGGCCCTTCCACAGGTAAAACTTAATGTGTGATGCTACAGCCTCGCATGCCCCTGGATCTAGAAGAAGAATTACGTCCCAGCGTCTCATTGACTTGTCCGTTGATTGCGGAAGAGCCATGATTGCACTGCTAACGGCGTCACGGGTATCGAGCTCGTTAACGAATCGTTCTCCATAACTAGAGAGTAGAATACCGCCTTCGCCTCGAAGAGCTTCGGCGGCTAGGAATAGTTGTGATGTGCCAGTAGGTTTAGGGTCCGAGGGCTCGTGAGAAGGATCATCATTCTTAACGGGGACCACACTGTACGAAATGCTGCCGCCCTTTGGGGGAACGAAGCCTGTTGGGTGAATCTGTACGCTGTCCATGTCCACAAGTGCGGCTCCGATTGCGGAGAGCAAACTATGCGAGGCGGGCCGTTCCTCGTTTGTGGACGGCATGCCCGCTAGGTCGGGACGATATTTGGCTAACAGGCCGTGTGCATCACCGGCAAATCCGCCCACTGCGAAGACAACTGGGCCTTCAAGCTTGTGTGTCTGGCCGTCGGACGTATGATAGCTCACTCCCTTAACGGCGCCACTATCTTCAGTGAGAAATTCGTCCACTTCTGCGGAGTTCTCTAATGTGAAGTCGGGGTTGGCCTTCATTTTATTTAACAGCGCGGAAACGATGGCTGCACCCGGGGGCAGTTCTCCGCCACCACGGTGAGTTCTCGGGACTGAGTGGCCCCCAAGCTGCGCCACGACACTCAAATCGACCTTCAATTCGTCCGCAAGCCAGTTCACTGCATTCTCGGACTGCCCAGTTAGTATCTCGACTAAAGCTTTACGATCTATGCCCGGAGGGTTGTTCTCGGCAAACCGGCTCCCAGCAGAACGCACTGTATCTGCGTAGAAACTGTCGTCTTTGAGAATATTCAGGTTTCGCTGGAACCTTGTACCTGCGCCGTTGATACCTGATGAGGCCTTGATACTATTCCCGCCCGGCTTAGGTGCGCGGTCAAGCAAGCGGACAGTGGCACCCGCCCGAAGCGCTTCATGAGCAGCGGACAGCCCCGCAAGGCCAGAGCCAACGACGATCACGGGCCTCCCTGCCGTGGCCGGCATCGTCGCGAATAAGGAGTTAGATAGTCTGTTTAAAACAAGGCCGGGATTAGATCGAAAGAAGACCATGCATAAGATGGCGGAGAGAAAGCCTATGAGGAAATAGATAAACAGTATACAACAGCCGCTTCGTCTTACTCGTATGGGCATGTTCAGATGAAATTAACTTTAGGAGTAGACCATTGATTGATGGGCCATTTTTATTGCATTAGGTATTCGAGTAGGTTAGGACTATCAAGTTAGAACTGGCACAGACGACTGACATCATCGTATGATGGCTGATGATAACTTATCGTACGATGTGTGGGATGGGAAAGGAGCGCCACATCTTGTCCGTCGTTAGTTTCCGGCTGCCCATGTTAGCGAGGTCGATAAGTTAAGTCAGATCAAATAACCGTATAGACTTGACCTGCTATGTACAAGTTAAAGTTAGGTCAGGTATATAGGCTTACAGGGCTTACCTGGTTATATTTTCGGACTGGCTTATGTAAATGCCCTTATAAAGCCACAGCCTTAGCCACGTCAGCCATAATGAATACACCAATTACATAGGTACCTTCCCACCTCGTGATATATTCCAAGTCTGAACTTCGCTGTGAGTAATACCGCCTTGGTCAGATCAGACGAGACGAGCAAGATGATGCTGTTAAGAAAGAAAGATAGACCATCAGTTTTAAAGTGGCTATTTAACTTCTTGCGCCACGTTCTCCAAGTATATATAGTCTGTCGCGGTGTTGAAAATATATAGGTGCCTATATGTTAAATACATCTATATCACAGTTAAAAAGGCTCTGGCAAGATTTTATCCAAGAAACTTCCTATTTGCAAATGACGATGACGAACGAAAACACTTTGATTTTAAGTTCTGGAGCTCGCTAGCTAACCTTTTAAAGTCGTCCGAAAATATGATTGGCTCAAACAATGTAAGACTTTCTCTTAAGAGTAAGTCAAAGTCTGTAGCTAAATTTTGATTGGCTAGGAATTAAACTCCTTGTAGTTTATCAAGAACGCACTGAAATACGCCTGGATGACCTATCCTCGTGTCACCCGTATAATCGCTATCGTAATAGTATGTAGGTACCTTCTCAACTGAATTATTTCGCATTATTAATTTAGGCGATGAAATTAAACACCGATGCGTCTCAAGCAGTTGAGCCTACCTCACAGTTCTTCTCGAATAACTTACTTCCTTTCATCAAAGAACTAGTTAATCGCAAATGGAAGTAATGCTCGGGGTCGTCTGTTTCAACATTAGTAACCTTAGTCTGAAAAAGGGAGGTTATCGTCGAGTGCCAAGAACGCCTGACACATGCACCCAGGCGCTCCCTATGCCAATTCCCACTGACTGCTGCATCTTACGGAATTCTCCGCCAAGCAAATGCTGAATACTAATTATTACCCTTCAACTAGCCACCCTGCCATCTCTTCCGGTAGGAGGGCTGAATAAGCCCTTGCTGCATTTAAAGAGAATGAGATGTCCATCATTAAAAATGCGATAGGCTCAGATTCCCAAGCAAGAATATTCCTGCCCTATTTCCATTCCAATCTTTCTCTAACTCTGGAACCAAAACCTTACGCGCATATGAAGTAGGTAGGTACATGTACCCCACAGACCAGTGTTTGGGATGGGGAGAGCGATATATGTAGTCGCGCAGATATCACCATGCCTACTCTGATTCGTGTAACTTTTTTTGCGCTGTAGAACTGCTGTGTACCCCGGCGTCCACGGCCCCAGCCGAGATACCGCCTTGAGCGAAGCCAGGTCTAGAAAAGAATCTCACCTCTTGTGCTACCAACCTATTTCGCGCCTGTCGAATAGCAGCCGGAACCAGCGTCGCACAGCTCAAGTATCGGCGGCCTGAGGGTGGTCGGGCTCCCGCCAATATGTCAACGAGAAATGCTTTCCTTCCTCGCGCGGCTAAACGCCGACGGATCAAATTTATAGACGGGGTCGTACATCAAGCTCCAATACGTACATTAGGTACGTTAGCTCCGGGTCCAGTACTCGTGCGTAGAAAGCTAAGCTTGTGGAACGTAACCCTCCCCTATTTGTGCTTACCTGTGCGTGTTACTGGCGGGACGGGTGCTTTATCAATGATGACCGCAGTCGCAGCGACGATCGAAGCAGATATCATATCATATCTGGGGAGTAGGATACGTGTTGGTGTAGATGATCTTAATATCGATACATGCTTTTCCCTGCTCTGAGGTGCGCACCTGTCTTGCCGGAACTGCAGCTCGCCACTCAGGTAGGGCCGGGACCCGAGCTATACCTGGATCTATAGCACCTCGTGCTACAATATTGACCGCAATGTCTCGCTGCTTATCTGGGACATGTAGTATTGACGCGTGTTGATGGGATGGAAAGTCGCATCAGTAGTGTGTCGAGGTCGACCTATTTGTATTTCTGGTTGCCCGCATCCGAAGGGGGGTTAAGACGCTGAGGATATTGCCCCCCCTTTTTCTCTACACATCGACCTAGCAACACAGTTAAAGTACACAAAATATGGCTCGTATCACGGACGATGAAGAGAAAAGCGTACCACAAATTGTGGGAATCGAGGTTGATACTTCCAGCCAAGAGACTCCGATACGTGTACAGAAGACAGGATTCCTAGCCAGGCTGCGAAGCTACGAAGAAGCACTGGATCGTAAGCTGGGGGTTGAATCACATAGCATCGAACGAAAGCTGCCCGGCGATAGGAACCCGTTTTATTCTCGATGGTCGGGCCAGTTGGTTAGTGTCCCCGAGTCTAGATGTTGAATGCGAACAGCAGAGGAACATATCAGAATGTTGATCCGATTCCAGGCCATAGTGAGCTTCTGGGTAGGCGGTTGCATGAACCTTGGCACCTTCGCGACCGGCTTCATAGGATGGGAGCTGGGTCTAGACCTCCGGCAAAGTATCTTGGTCATCATATTTGGCTCTGTTGCGGGGGGCGTAATCACAGTGAGTATCCTCTCCGTAACGAGCTCGACAAATTCTAACTGTTAGTAGAGTTGGTGCGCAACAATGGGACCACCGACAGGCCTTCGTCAAGTCTCCATATGCCGATATTCCCTCGGTTGGTACCCGTCTAAAGTCATCGCGATATTCAATGTTATCCAGGAGATTGGGTGGTGCGCCTCCGGGTCAATCACGGGAGGACAAGCACTTTCCGCATTTTCAGATGGCAAAGTTGGTTCCCAACTCGGCGTCGTTATAGTCAGTATAATGAGCTTAATATTCTCATTCTTCGGCTTAAAAGCGGTGTATACGTTTGAGAAGTTCGCTTGGCTTGTATTCCTGGTTATCTTCTTGATCATCCTTGGGGAGATCGGTAGATTTGGGGACCTCAGCGCTCCACCGTCTACCCGTGGAGCTTCGAACTCCGGAGCGGCGTTGACATTTTTCAGTGTCATGTACGGCTCCAGTGCATGTTGTGCGGGTGGGTGAATTTTTCCTAACGCAATTATTAATATGAGCTCTACGAGAGATATACACGAGCAAGTACTAAATACCCCTTATGGTAGGCTATGTATCAGACTTCTATGTCGAATATCCGGCGACCATCGCAAAGACTGCGATCTTCTTGCTGACATTTTGTGGTCTTTGTAAGTTTGATCGTTAAAGCTCTTGAGCTAATCAATACTCATCGTTACTAACGGGTATTAGTCGTTTCTACTTGTCTCAGTGCCGCAGCCGGGGCCGTTGCCGCGTCTGCCTTACACAATAATAAAGAATGGAACGAACAATACGAGATTGGTGTTGGGTTTTTGATTCAGGCCATGATCCACCCATATGGATTAGCGAAAGCGATTCTTTTCCTGCTGATGTTCGCCGCCGTCGGCTTGAATTGTGGATCAATGTATAGTGCAGGCCTTTCGATTCAGCAAGCCTCTCACAGCTTGGCTGCGGTGCCCAGGTTCGTTTGGGAGATTGTTTGTTTTGCTGCAGTCATCGCTTTGGGCCTGGCTGGTAGCGATCAGCTTCTGGTGTTTATACAGAATTTCCTCAGTTTATTGGGTTACTATGCAACCGCCGTCTTCGTCTGCTTGGTTACCGAACACTATTTATTTCGCCGCGGCTCATTTAAAAACTACAACTTGGATAATTGGAATAATCGCAGCATGCTACCGGTTGGATATGCCGGGGGTCTTGCTTTCGCATGCGGGATAATTGGAGGTAATGTTTTGAGCTTACTCTATTCGATGGCAACTTATTACTAACTCTACTCGTAGCTGTTCTAGGTATGGCTACAACGTGGTACACTGGCGTTGCTGCGAAGCTGATCGGGGACGCTGGTGGTGATATTGGAAACGAGCTTTGTCTCTTTTTGACTCTTGTTGTATATATCCCGGCTCGGTTCGCGGAAAGGAAATTTGCGAATAAGTGAATGTGGAATATCAGATACTAACTTGGCAAGGGGCAATTGCTCCCTTCATCGGATAGCATCACGTATGTATATCCACATATGCACAATTGTCCGGATTGATGCCGGTCTTGCATAGGATATACTCCGTTAGGAGCGCCTCCATCGTCTGCCAAGAAAGCTCGCCTACACTAAGCCAGCTAACCATCCTGTCTTATAACTTGGAATACTCTCCGGCAAATACGGACATTTTTCGGAGAGGGAGATATGCGTCTATAAGAGGGTTATGTTTTCTACGTATACGAAACCCACGTCTAGGTTGTAGCTGAACCGTATCTCGGGAAGTAATAAAAGGGATCTTGATCCCTGGGGTGAACTTATATGTGATCATTTTATTCGCAAAATACAACATGATGTTATTAAACAGCATGCTTAGTAACTTCACCGATCATGACGTGCATATGCCAAGTAATTCCCATAGTCCGACTTAGAAGCGAGCCGCACTAATGTATAAGGCTTGAATGTGGCTTCGCAACTCGTTTACTTGACTGGCTTCGAACATACAAGGTCGAGTAAGCACCTGAACAATCTATTCACACCGAGGGTAGGATATGATGGTAGAAATTTGTAAAACATATACCGGTGGAGGATGTGGGATTTCGAGCAAATTCCAGCTGGACATTTCGCCACAGAACAAGTTAAGGTGGCCAAATAGGAGGCTCAATTTGCAGCCTTGGATAACTTACCGCAACTCCGTTTCGGGAATAGCCAGTGAAGAGAGCAAACATCTCGGGGACAAGCCTTGCATGGATGCAAGTTTCGGGTTGGGAAAGAGTTGGTAGCAATTCGTTCGTAATGACGTGGATATATAATTCCCATCAAATCTGTGCCGTAGCTTGGGTGCGTATCGTTTCCCCGTAACCCACTCATGTGGCGTGCTATTCAAATTAAGATATGCAACTTCTGATTTCTCGTCACCACTGAGAAGCGTCATCTCCAATAGACAACCCTTAATGGACGTGGTAGTCCTGGACGGAAAGACTAATGAGATACTGTCTCATCGAAGTCCGACGTGATGGAGCACTACTCCGTCACTCCCACGGACGGGGCTATCCGTGGGAGGAAAAGGGGAGCTTCTGTGAATCAAGGAAGCCCTGTAAGCTTTGTCAGATTGCGGATGGTGTATTGCACCGCAATGGCGCATATTCGAAGGACCATAGGCGCGGGGGTCACGAGCTAATAATAAAACCGTGTGTTTCTGGTGTGCTCAGCGAAGATTTAAATGCGCTCGAAACTTGAAAGCAAATGATGAGACTGAGCCATCATCCCGCATCAGTAGGCGGTGTGTATGCAAGCCGGCGCTAGGCAACGGCCCGCTGTGATTTGTGTGATCTGAGAGACTACCTACTTACGCTAGTAAGCCTTCAGGTTTTCAGGTTCAGTTTGATAGTCTAACGTTAGAAATATTGAACGGTAACAAACAGGATAATTTGGTAGAAATGGTGGCCCGTCTGGGCGCTGTAATGACCCCTATTTGCTCGCTGAGAGAAGATTTTCTTTTTTCCTTCTCTCGCAGAAATATCGTCGGTTCTACCTAGCTTAGGTAGGGCTCGGGCTGGAGAAAAAGGTAATAGCCGAGCTTACTGTTCGTTGTTGCGATTCCTTATGCTTCCATCCGAATTCCTCAACCGCGTGCCGGCGAGTCTCAGTGGCCGTTTGGAAGACTTCCCTTCTTTTAATCTTTTAATCTCGTAACAAAATTTGATTAATCTTGCTCAATGCGACAGCAGAGACTGTAAATTGATATGGTTATGGCTACTTCAATATCCTAAAGTAGGTTATCCGTGGGGAGGAATGCAAGAACGCTGATCAATGATCGACGCCCAGGCTGGGTTAGGTAGGTAAGGTAGGTAACGTTAACTGGACTTGAGGGGGGACGGAGAGGGACAAGACTTGATTGAGAAGAGAATCCATCAATAGGGCGGACGGGACGGCGGGAGACAGAAAGGGGGAAAGGGGGAGAGTGGAGTGGAAAATGGCAGTTGTGCTTGGGTTTCGACCAGCGCGGGACAAAGCTGGGGGATATCCACTATAGTGTATAAATCCACTTTTATTAGACCCATCCCTACCATTGATAGGCCCTTGTCTCCCACATGGCTTAGGTTAGGTACATTAGGTACAATACATGACCACCCCCCCTTCCACCCTTCCACCCTCCCCCTCCAAAATTTAAGAGAGGAAGGAGAGGGAAAGAAATTAACAGATTGGAAAGCGTCGCAAGCTGCTTGGCTTATGGGTAGGCCCTTCTTCTGAAGCTTCCATTCCACCGCCTGAACTCGTTCTACCCCACATGAACTCCACCTATCCACTCGATTTAAGCCCGGGCAGCCCGGGGAAGACGGAATAATCCAATCACTTCCAGTCTCAAGACATGCGCTCCCCAAATAAATTCTTACTATGTACGAGCCTTTCATCAATGTGAGGCGCGAAGCAAATCTCCCAGCAACCCCCAAACTTCGGTCTATCTGGGTGCCGGATTGGTTAGTCAGGTATCATTTCGCACAAATCTACGTCGTACACATAACCAGTTGTTACCTACCTACATAACCTGCACAGCTACACTACGAAGGATACGAAGGACATCTTTTCACAAGTCCCCAAGCTCCTAAGCTGGGAATTTGGGATTTTGTTTGTCCAACCACACCGCTTGCACAAGACACACTGACGGATACGAGGATTTATCCAATATTACTCATTCTTATAAGTGTTTATTCGCCTGGCAAATTCCACATGGACCTCCGATTTCATGCCGGCTTGGATTTGTTTGATACTTGTCTCGACCCCGTGTATTCCTGACGTCTTCTAAACAGGGCACCGAAGCACACGACACCATGGGAGTGTCCGGAAACGTGACTTGAAGCGCCTGCGGGTTATTTGCCTATTACGGGGCCGCTATTGAGGTTTGAAGTTGTTCGAAGGAGAAATAAAGAATAAAGGCTGGGCACTCTCGGGAGATGGATTAGTTGTTACTCGTTAGGTACACGTGTACGGAAGGACAACTAGTGGCACTTATTCTTTTTCCTTCTTTTCGTTTCAGCCCTGAATGGCTTATTAAAATTATATCCTGGCAGCCTGGGCAGCTTAGGTTGCCTAGGGATGCCATATTCCGAAGCTTCGGTGTAGCGCCCAAAGGGGTGTTAGCACGTAACGGCCCCCCCAGATCCGTCATTCACAAGGTCCTAAACCTTTTATTAGATACGTGGAATCTCTCCCCGAATCGATCCTGATGGATCACGTAGCTGCATTTGGTAGTCGAGCGTCGGCCGACCGTTGACTTGGGCTCGCTTCGATGCGCTACGTGTATGGATTTTACTCTTACGATACTCCGGGGGAAGGGCTTACATTAATCAAAAATACCGTTGCAGGAGTCTTACTATGACTCGCTGCCACGTAAGGTAGAGAGCACAAGTGCAAGAAATATATACGATCTTACCCAAAGGCCTTGAGAATTCTTTAGGAAACGTAAGGCTTAGGCTACCGCTACGATGCCACTACGATGCCACCCATCCCATCATTCCTACCGAGGTTGCCCAGCTTTCCTTAGCTTGGATCGATGGCGTGCCAACTCATTCCGTTATGTACATGGTAGCTACAATAGCTACAAAATAGTAACAGTAATAAATGCCTATGTGAGAGAGGCGCCGAAAACATATGATGCTGCTTATTGTGGGTTTAAGTACCTCTACAATTTTGTACATGTCTGCTCGGAGATCTAAACACCCCTGTCTCTATTCCCCATACTTTTCTGTCGTACCCGGTACGTACACTACTCAAATAGGTAAGTCCCTTCGTGCATAGTGTCGTCTTGTCCCAAGACATCTCAATGCAATGTATCAACGAACGTCGAACGGTGCTTGGGTGACGGGTCCCCGGAATGATTAAATCTGGGGTTAGAATATGACCACAACATTGAACTTGTTTGTGGATGTGTGCGTATGAATATGTACATGTATTGATGTATGTGCGTTATGTACCCTCTAAGGTTCCCTTCTTTTCCCCAGGTCTTAATTTATTAGATTATCATGCCCATTTGGATTGCCGGGGAAAATAATTCATTAATGTACGCTTCTCCTTTCGTCTCGTCTCAGGTTCAAAGTTCCCTGTGGCTTAATAAATACCTGCGACTTACCTGCAACTATCTGCAACTACTTGCGACCCTTTTAAATGTTTCCAACGACCATAACGTAGCCCTTTTCCCACATCCCAATATATTTTACATCAACGTCGAATTACAACTTTACCTCAGACATTATAACGCCGAGTGCAACATCTAATCTGTTCATACTATCTCCATACGCATCTTCCCCATCTGCCCAGACTTTCCGCTCCTCATTCTTCATCTTCAACCTGCCGACCTCGTCCACTTGCCTAACCGAGGAGTTCACATCCGCCGGCCGACAATTTAGCTTCGGGATCTGACGTCTTGAAGACTGTATTGCACCAACAGTGTCAACTTGTTGTTATCAGCCGTCCATTCATCCCCCTCGGCATCAGCTTTGCTAAGACTCCTACCTCCTATTTCTCGCGTGGGGTGGCCGCCGCAATCAGGACGCAATCAGGAACAAGTCTTATTATTGGTGTGTGTGAAGTGTGTGAGAGTGTGTGACTTACACACGCATATCCACCGCTCTTTCCGTTGCCTCCTATTACTTGATTATTCTTTAATCATATACCTTCTGCCTTCTGCCTTCTGTCTTCGCGCCTTCTCTACTTCTATATCTATCCAACTTGTCCTACCTTCCAACTCGGTTACTTTCCACTTGCATCTATCTCCGCCAAAACTTTACCTCCCAACAACTTTTCTACCTGACGCCACTCTGCCACATTTTCCACCGTCCCTATCAAAAATTCTCAACATATAACGAGCTCGCCAAGCACCTACTCCGAAGACATAAATTATTTACTCTTGGAGTAGAACATTCAGAACCTTGTTATCTTCCTTTCCAAGTTTTCACCTTAAAACGTGAGTCATCATATACCTTTGGCGACCCTCGTAACTCGACAGAGATACTTACTACTACCTTAGAAGAATCTTTCAAGATGCCTGGACAGATCGCCGCACCCATCCCGGTTACGCCACCGCGTAAGAATATCCGTCTCAACCCTTCCACAGACTTATTCGCTAGCCTAAATGCCACTCTTACTTCTGCGGAGAGCAAGCGAGGTACTCCTATCCGCTCTATTCAAGAGCGAGACTGGGATGTCCCGGCTCCCCCACCGCCTAGCCCAGTCAGCTTCCATCCGGATCACTGGCAGCGCACTCTACGCCATTGATTGACAACTTGAGCGCGGCCATTGCTGCACCACGTACATGAGAGATGTTCACCATCGGTCATGTATTGTCTTTATGCGTCTGTATGGGTAGCGGGGTTCCTGGTCTGTCATTTGGGAGTTTACGGATGTGAAATGGTAAGGGCATAAGGGACGCAAGATAATCGGTCTACACAAAAGTTAGGGCATGGCGTGTGCTTTCGAAAGGGAAGGGAAGGGAAATGAATGGCTGGATTCATGGCTTCGCTCCATGGTTGAGACGGCCCCGACATCTCGGTCCGGGATCGATTCAATACCTTCGTTCACTAGTGCCATATCACCGCTTCCAATCTTGGTTTGGTTTGGCCTTCCCCTAATAAGGGAGAACACCAAGTCGGTACGATAATTGATATCACTTTGGTACAATTCAAGTAATGGCCTCCGGCTATGAGTCAGGAGTTAATGGGATTGTAGCTAGGGAAAACAGTCCGAGTAATCGGAAGTCTAGTTTCCGTAACTAATTCGAGATGTTGCTAATATAACGAGAGAATAATGTGACTGGGTTAAGAGGTAACCTTGAGCGAGATCAATACGGACTGCCGAATTTTTAACCCCAAAAGGTTAACAACGGTGGTAATTGCGCGTTTGGAGAACATTATGCACACATTCTCCAAAAAACAAACAAGAAATAAAACACTGTAAATCCCGTTTTCCCCCTCGGCTATGAAATTTTCGAGGATTGGGTGTGGTGTTCTCTTCAAGGTCTTGGCATCATAGAAGTCTTTCCTAATCGGGCTAACTCAGCTCCACCTATTAACGCGGTTCGCAGGTGTTTTGCGCGACGCGTCTTACCAGGTAGATTTTCGCGTCTTTTGATTGCATGTGGGTCGCGATTAGGCGTGTTCGGTCTCCTGTCTCATAATATCTAGGTACCTATCCTTGCTTGCAATTGACAGCTGCATAATGCTTTCCTCTCTTCAAACTTTTCGTCGTTACAATTTTAGACTCAACTTTCCATGTTCTATACCAGTTTTACTTTCTGAAGCCATAGAAAGAACTAATTGTTTATCGTCTATCTACAATTACACCTTCCGAAAAGAAAGTAAACAATTAAATATTTTACCATGGCCAGTCCTGCTGTTAAACAGCAACGCCGGAAGGCATCCACAAAATCCAAGGTCGCCAACCCCAAACAAAATGCACCTTCGAACATTAGCAGCTTCGCCCGTGTTTCGAAGTCGGTAAATAGCGCCGATATCAAGAAGGAGCTTCCTCTTGTTTCTACACCAAAGAAGGATGTCAACATCGAGGCCCTCACACCCGCTTCCCGGAAGAGAAAATTGGTTGCAAGTATTGAGGACGATTCCTCGGCGGATGAGACGCCAAGAAAGTCCTCAGCTCCTGCCGTCAAGATTCAAAAGACTGGATCGACTGGATCCCAACCTGCGAAACGTGGCCGTGGTCGTCCCTCAAAAAAGGCTCACCCTAAACCTACACAACCCGAACCTACGCGCCTTGAGCCTATACTCCCTAAACCCGTACTGAAAAAACGCGCAAGGAGTCCTAGTGTTTCCGATTCAGATGAGTCGACTATTAACACTGGTGTGTTACTCAAGAGACTCCGTCTAGAGTCATCACCATCACGCAGTTCCACCCCCTTTTCAGTTTACACGCCCATTACCGAACCCGATGTTGATGAGAGCGAATCCGTCCCATTAAAAACCGGGCTTCCCGATGAGGTCCTAGCTCTTATTGATCTGCACTCTTCACTACTAAAGGCTTTGACATTGCACTACGCGCACAATGGATCCAATGTTCCTGCAGACTTGCGCATTTTATGTCCCGATGTCTCGCGTGCATGGGGCAGAAGGAAAGTTACCGAAGCGGATATACAGACCTGCCTCGGAATCTTGAATTTCGAAATGGGGGATAGCAGCCCATTATTTTCGCTCTCCAACTACGGTCGCGGTAAAATTTGCATTGAGATCGACTCGGCACAACACAGTGCCGGCCGTCCGCTGGAGGAGAACAAACTGAACGATATATTCCGCGATAAAATATCCGCTCTCTGGGCTCGTTTCACGATGGCTAAATGTTCCGATATCTCAGCTTTCTACACCGCGCTCCCCAGGGCTCCTATCACACTCTGCGAATCCGTCGCCAAGGCTGCACCCGTGCTATCCAAAGGCCAGAAGCGACTCGAGGAGCTGAAGCACGGCATCGCGGTCAAGAAGCAGGAGAAGGAAGCCAAGGCCAAACCACAAAAGCCCAACGACGTGCAAATGTCAAACGCGGAAGCCCCTAAGATGAACCTGCTAGACCGCATCCGTCTGAAGTCCCTCCAGAAGTCCTCACTCCTCGCCAGCAACCTCTCACCTGCACAGCTTCAACGTCGCGCGGCGCTGCAACGCGCACCTGAAGTCGCTGGTATGCTGGGTATGCTAAGCCGCGCAGCTGGCCAGGGGAGCCGTGTGTCGTTCACTATGGGAGTGACATTGGAGAAGCTTAAGGATTCGTTGCGGATGGGTGTTTCGCGCGAAGAAGGCGCTGCATGTGTACGTCTACTAGCAAACGAGGTGGCCCCGGAATGGATTCGCGTTGTGGTCATTGGAGGACGGGAAAACGTGGTCTTGGAGACGGATAGACAGCCTAGCAAGGCGGATGTGGAGGGACGGATTCGAGGCTTACTGGAGCGGGCGTGAAGGGAAGCATATCATGACGAGAGAAAGGGCTGAAGGGTCGGCGATGGAAAGGGGATGGATATGTATAATGCGCCCTGGATAGATGGATGGATGGGCCTTTTAGGCAAACAAAGCGTCGTTTGATTTATCATTGCATTGCATAGCATCGCGTTGCATATCAGGCCGCGGTTTGGCTTGCGTTCTTTCTGTTGTTTGAAGATACTTCGTCTGAATTGACGAATGGGCAGTACTACGTTGTCCGAAGCATTAATAGCACAAGACTCTATCACGAGTCCAATAAATATATAAAAATCTCAAGATAAAATATTTTTGGTAGTTTTTTTTTTTCCCTGTGAAATGCGTGATAGCGACTCTAGATGTCTATTCTTGTGTCTACTAAATCAATGCACGAGGCCGACCGATCGACCCTTTGCTGCACTAGAAGCCGAGCCACGCGATGCTATGCAATTGTACGGCTAAAGGGGGAGATGCGTCTCGTCATCTCGGAAAACCCCTCGCCTCGTCTAGGATAACTAACTCATCATACAGCCGCCACTCCGGACTCAAACTGTCCTATCAGATAGGTGTCCCCCTTGCGATCATCAGTTCAGTTTGATTCATTATCATCGGCCCGTACTTCGTGTTTTCCGGCCTATCTACTATCTGCCGATCGCTCATTTCTTCTCCTTGGGCTTGAACTTGGGCTCGCCAATGCCGGAGCCCCGGAGCTTGACGTTGAGGACGCGCTCCATCGCGGCTAGGATCTTCTGGTCGGGAATGGCGGTGCCGCGCTCGAAGTCGGCGATGACGGAGGGCGTCGTGTTGCACTTGGTGGCTAGGTCCTTCTGCGTCATCTTGGGCTCCACCTTCTGCCGCGTCTGGCTGATGACGTCGCCGACCTCCTTGCCCACCGTGTTCGGCTTGATGATGTCGTCGCTGCGGTCGACCTTCGTTAGGCGTTGGCCTTCGGGTCCTTTGCCTACCTGTTGTAGTCTGCGTTAGCGCTGGTTTGGGGGGATGAGGTCATAGAGGGAGAGGAGAGGAGGGGAATAAGTAAATAACTTACAGCATTGCCGGTAGAGAACTTCTTCTCGGTCGCGATGGCGGCGCCAGCGCGCTTGGCGGCGTTCAGCGCGGAGGTGCCTCGCACGACGGTCTCCCGCTGCGATGCGCCTCCGCGAGCCTTGCTGCCGATCTTGGTGACCGAGTCCCACTCGTCAGACATCGTGAAGACGGTAATTGATTTGGCGGGGGTGAGAGGAGTTAAAAATTAGGGTTGCCGAAATCGACAATTGGAATAATCTTTTTGGAAAAGGGTACGGATTTGATTTGTTATAAAAGGTAGCTACGCGGGTGTTGTATGTATGGAGAACGTGTGAGTTGAAAAAGGTTAGAATGCGATGCGCTCGTGAGCTGTTAATTAGGTTGGTATAGATGTCCTTTTTTAAGAGCCGTGGAAGGCGAAGGAATGATGGTAGAAAGTGGGCTGAAAGCGGAGCCTCCGCTGACTCAACGGAGTTGTTTTTTTTTGGCGGGGAGGCAACCTTTGTGCCTAACACCCTTAACACCGACGTCTGTTACGACGCAGGATCATTGTTGCAAAGCCACACTAAGATATACTAAGAGGCTGAATTTTCTTGAAAGGTGAATACAGATGCGTGTACACCGGCAAGTCATCGAAACAATTCAATTGACACACTATCAAGGAGTAGTCTGAATTCAATTCTTACTTACATCATTTTTAGTTCCAAGCCAAACAATACAGTTGTTCACAGTGTTTTACGGATTCGTTCCATGTCAATTCGACCGGCGAACAGTCATACCGGCTGAGATAAGATACGAGATAAGATAATGATGTGGCTGTTACACTACATGTCTCGAGTCTTCCCTTGATGTCCCTACCGCTGAATAAACATTTCCGTTTCCCCCATCATGTAGTCTTCCAGCAGTTCATTACACAAGTATAAACCTGATAATCTCATTCGGTCAAAAATACCTATGATCTGGTAATTTCGGGTGATAACAGGAGTTCGCATCAGACGTGTTTCTTTATTTAGATCGCTATTTTAAAGCTCTTCCGTGGAAACCACAACTCCCGAGATGTTCGTATATGGCGTTATTCTACGTATTATTGCATTATCCTATTATCTTCTCTTTGGACACGTTGGAGATGTAGTGCTCCTTTCTAGTTCATTCCTCTGGGTCAGAGGTTCTGTGATCCTTGAGTTCTTAAAGATTAATTATACCCTAGTACATCTAGGGGCGACAGCAGTGGCTACGACCGTTTTCATCTATTTCATATACGTACAACGTCGTAGTCAAGATGTACGGCTATCTGTACCATGGAACGGTCCAGGGCGGCCTTTGCTGTTCCCTTGTCGGACTACGCATGCCAGGTTATTTCCCAAGAAGCACACCTTCTCTTATTCGTATCTCCTTGTTGGAATACCCGTCGGTTGGACAGGTGTCGCAGGCGGCATGGTATCAAATGACGAGTATAGCACGGGAGTTGGGGGCTGGTACAAGATCGATGCTTCGGATTACCTAGATAGGGGAAACGGACACCTCGGATTAAGGGGCAAGCTAGACGCCTACCTCAAGTCTCAAGTGCGGCAGCATCCCGTTGTCTACTCTAGGGAATCTAGAGCTAACGCGATATAGGACATTGATGCTTCCAAATATCCACATGCGTATTTGGTAACTGCTGCGAAATTCATGGGTTATCATTTCAACCCTGTTTCTTTTTGGTACCTTTATTCTGCCGAAAAGCACCTAGCAGCAGTAATCCTTGAAGTTAATAACACGTTCGACGAGAGACGGATGTACTTCTTAGCGGCAGACAACACGATAAAATCAATAGAGCGACTTGATAATAATTCCTTAAAAAAAATCACATCGACTTGGAGATCCAATGGCTCGGAGCCCTTGAAACGAACTTGGCCAAAAGACTTCCACGTATCCCCCTTTAACTCTAGAAAGGGCGCATACTCGCTTATAGCACACGACCCTCTATCCCCAAATATGGATGGGCAAGGACCGATTAATAATACGATAAATCTAATGTCTTCCAAGAACTACGCGAAACTGGTTGCTCGTATCTTTTCAGAAGGTGATGCCATCGATCCCACTGGGATGACTTCCCTTCAGAAACTCAAGTTCTTGGCTTCATGGTGGTGGGTTGGCTTCGTCACTTTTCCTAGGATCGTGAAAGAAGCTGCGGCCCTATTCTTTCAAAGGAAGCTCCATGTTTGGTATCGACCAGAGCCGCTCAAAACAAGCATTGGCCGACATGCCGACAAGATAGAATCTCAACTCGAGCCTTTATTTAGGAGGTACTTGAGGTACTCAGTGGAACAGTCGTCCAAATTACTGGTTGTGCGATATATACCCTGTGGCGTTACAGACGCGCCCATTGAGACTATGATATCAACGTTAGCGAAAAAGAGCTCTAACTGCACTGACAAGATGGAGTTCAAAGTCTTGACGCCCGCGTTTTATTCGAGGTTCGTATATTATGCTCACGATTTCGAGGCTATATTTTGCGAACTAAACGAGAATAATACGATATGGGTGTCAAATCCTCAACTCTTGCCAAGGCTATTCGTGAAGAAACAACCGCCGCCTCTATTTCAAACAACAAGTTATCTAGACTATGGTTATTTTATGGCTATTAAAAATATAAGGCAGAGGCCCGAACGAATTCAACGACCACTGACTTCGTGTCAGATCAGCTGGACTACCCAGTCTCAAAAGGATATCAGGGGTTTCCGGCTTTCACCCATGGATGGATACGTTTTAGCCCATGAGGATGACAAATCCCGACGGGCATACAGGAACTCTGTATTGACGTTGTTCATGGCTGATAGAATTGCCATGGGTAGCGTGGACATCCTCCAGCTTGAACATTGGGTCCTCAGACTGTTATTAGCCTGGACTGTAACTTAATAAAATTTGGGATACCCGCTTCCCAGAGGAAACGCCAATGTTAAATCCGATAAATCCCGGTAGTGCTCAATTCATCAGGTTCTCCGAATAAACATGGAGTAGGACATTCGGCAAATTCCATCGGAATAGAGTCATGGTGTCGGAGATGATCCTCGGAGGATTTTTAGATCTGTTACATATCATTCGGCCCGTACGACCCGCAAGCTTCAATGCGGTGCTCGGTATGTAGAAGAGCGATTATTGAGACACGAAATTATTCCAAATAAAAAGTGCCAGTCAGCATTAGCACATCCCACTCCGGGAGCTAACCAAGCAGCCAAGTACTCTGTATCAGAGTTGGTGGCTTCGAGCAGCGGAGCTCGGACCAGGATGTTTGACAAATACTTGGCTACTTGGTTAGTTCAATATGCCGCAATGATGATATTGATCTAGATCTCATATTACATAGTTCAGTTGATGCAGGTTGGACTCTTCGCCATGGCATCTGCGAATCACTATTGCTTTTCATGAGGAATAAGCCCAATCACAATGTGGTAAAACTGCCGGGAATATTACAACCTATGTACGTTGATGTTCTAGTGTATATATGTAGTTCAAGTTGTCACCGCCATGTACTCATACGTTCTACGTGGTCTATTCTCTATTAGTCTAACATGTAAGTGTACCTGCGGCTAGACGAGAGATCCACCCCCCAACTCCGTTAGGGCTGCAAGGAATCAGATTCTATGCTACGTCAGCTGGGTTCCTGACGTAGACTAGCAGCAAGATGTAAGACGCATACATAGTAACCCCACCAATAATCCCTTAGAGCTATCAACCCCGCCGCGAAGGAAAAGCTCTTCGACAAAAACAAGCACTCGAGGAACAAAAGTTACCAACACTCTTATCTCGTTGGTTACTTGTGTATGCCGAGGTAGGTGTTTCATACTGTACATACAGTAGCTGTAAGCATGTTTTAAACGTAAGAGTGATAAAAGAAGGGGAAAGCTGCAGGTCTAATCTGCCAATCCGATAATAATGACAGTTCACTCCGAAGTCAGGGGAGCTCCCGTCCCGAGTTAGATCAGCCAAGCTATGTCATAGAATAACATCGTGTGTGTCACAGGATTCTCCACGGAAACTTAAGCCATTTACTTAGGTATGTATATATAAAGGTATCCCGTCCCTCGTTTAAATTCATTTTGAGTCTATCCTATTGTACAATCATATCCCGGCATACTACGGCCTTGAACAAACGTATCCGTTATAATCGACTAAACAATATAGTTATATTAACATTCCAAACCACAATGGGTCTCTCAGGTCACTGCCTCTGTGGCTCTGTAAAGTACACCGTCGATGCGGACCCCCTCATCGTCGGGTACGACCACTGCGACGACTGCCAGAGACAGTCGGGCTCTACCTACTGTATGTCAAGACCATACCTCTGTATCATATCACGTTACAGTGCCTACCATTCTTCCCTAATTGCTCCCTATGATCTTCCATAGCCGCGACCCCGCCATTCGCATTCACCGGAACCGATCCGCTAATCCAACATGACAATAGCACTCGTAGTAGTTGTCCCTAAGGACAAGTTAACCATCAACGGCACAACCAAAAGCTACGCAAAGGCAGGGTCCTCCGGAAAGCCCGTGCACCGTATCTTCTGCCCCGAGTGCGGATCTCCTATCGCGCACGACCCGGAGGCGGCGCCCCCCATCATCGCCATCAAGGGCGGCACTCTTAGCGATGCTGATAAGAAAGCATTGAAACCTGTAAGCACGCCCGCCTCTCCGCTTAGTCGCCCATCTCTGCATATTTCACTATCCTATCTATTCGTATATGGATGAGAGAAAGGAAGCTGACCGTATTCCAACAACTAGGACACCGAGATCTGGACCGTTGGCAAGCTGCCCTTCTGCGCGGAACACCTTGCTAAGCCGTTCGAGCACATGCCCGAGTAAAGGATCGATGGAGCTTGGATGGGTCGTTGAGCAAAGTACGAGTTAAAATATATAGTCATGGACAGCTGGTCGTGGATATATAAGACGAGATATGATAATATGATCGATTGAAATGAACATTTGAAATTCCATACCTGTCTGTGAACTGCGGCAAAGCCCCGTTTATGTCGTATTAGCTAGGTACCTACCTACGTAGCCCTATCTCCCATTTGAAGTTTTTACCTCCCGCAAGTCATCATTACAAAGTCTACCGGTATTTGGCCAAGTACACGGCATCCGACACGATGGACTGACGTCGGAATAGGCGCGGCCACACGTGGTCGTGCCGTCCCCGGATTGAGCTAACGCAGGTACACCCGCTTCTCCTTGCGGGAATCATGATCCAACAGTCACTTTGCCGGATCCGCGACTCGTTTAGGCTTAGGTAGGCGTTGTCTGGGGTTTGTTTGGGACAGGCGGGGTGGTGTGATTGGCCAAAGGGGAAAAAGCTGGCCAGCAAGGTGTCCATCAAGGTAGGTTGGATGGGTGGTAGGCTATATAAGGTAAGGTATGGAGTCTCATTAACTAAGTCGAAAGAGGAGACAAGTCTGGTTTCGGTCGTTACAGTAATATATGCGTAGATTGCGCCATTGGGCTAAGGTGGGCTTGGCCGGGTTTAAATATATTGCCTTGAGCATGTTTCTTAGGTAAGATGTGCTTTGCTCCCTATTGTCGATGTTCGTTTTTGACGAGAGGCAGATAGACAGATGGATATTATATTAAATGGGTAGATTAGATATATCCATTATACATTATATGTCCGGTACTTGCATCGTGAACCCTCTTATAAGACAGCCACTAACGCACCGCCTACCGCTGCTGCGAAGATCGCACCCTTTCCGTTCACGGGCGCTCCCGTCTGAACCGCGATATTGCTGGAGCTTGAAGATGTCGCTGATGGTGTATTAGTAGGCGAAGTAGCCCCCCCGTTCTGAGAAACCCCATCCGTCGCCGTCGCCTCCGAAGAACTCGAATCCGGAGTTTCCACCGTAGCCGCTGTTGCGCTCCCCGTAATAGGACCCGGGCCTTGGAGACCACTAGCCGTGTAATACAAGCTCACAGCTGCATCGCCGCTCTTAGCGTCGCTGAACGCCGTACCTCCCGTCGTAGGTTCCGGGACGCCAGCCTGCGCCTCGGTGAACAAAGTCGCGAAAGCCGCCGTCGGCGTGCCTTCGCATAGCTTCTCGCTAGCACTAGAGAGTACTTCGGAAAAGTAACTGAAGTTGCGCTGCGACAGAGCGCCGTGCTCTAGTAGACACCGGCGGCACCCGAGCCACTCTGCAAAGTAACTGCCGCCGCAGAGGCACTGCGCGTGTGCCTCAAGAGCGAGGGGAGATGTCCCGTTGGGTAGACACGCTGTCTCGATTATCTGGATTTCTACGCACGGCGCCGGGTCCGACTGGTCGGGAGCCTTGGCGGGAGAACATACCGATGCGATGTAGGCGTTATCGTCATCGTCATCGCTGGCGGCTTGAAGCACGTTGGCGGATGCGTTCGCGAGGACGCGTTGCGCGCTAAGGAGGAGTATCTGGGTAGTAGTAACTAGTGCGGAGAACTTCATCTTGAATACTGTATCTTGGCCGGTTATACTTCTGATGACTAGATCGAGATTGTTTATTTCGGCAAACTTCCTTGTGGCTCTTGTTTATTGACGGCTTCGTGTATCTGCTCGTCTCTTTTCTCTAGGTACCTATGCGCATCCGAGCAGTAGGAAAGGAGTAAACAACTCCCACGTAAATCCGAAGCTGCGAGATTTTAAGCGACGCAGCATTGTAGGACTATGTGCATAGGCGCTTGCCCTAAATCTTCCAATATATCGTCTGATTTGGGCTTCTGGCCCCGGCGGCGCGGCTTCGCGTCTAGACCCGGCGATTTGATGAATTCCTTATCTGCGTCCTGATTTGGTATGTATTTCCGTCGTCATACGGCGCGACTGCCCGTCTACCCGACTGCATGTTATTGTCACGATGCCGGGTGCAGGATATAGGTAATTTCGAAGATGTTTGAAACCACAATACCTTCGGTACCTACTCTTTGGACGCAACGATGAACGTACCTTAGATATTTTCGTATCACGTTGTCGCGGCACGACTCGCGGTCCGTGTTGGTCTACACATTTATACTTGAAAAGAATTTAAAAAAAAATTGAAGATAGGTACATCCGAGGATATGGGTATAAGCGTGGAACTTGTACTATAAGGTCGCTGCAGTATAATCGGTTCGGTCCTCCAAATTTCAAGTATTGAAACTCAACAATTAACGGCCCCCCGTAATTCTATCTTTGATCTCACTCAGGGTCTTCGAGGCAAGTCCAAAGCGGCACCCCTATCGTCTCTAGGGCCAGTTTAACGATAGACCACCCTCCAATCCACGGATGAAGGCCACGATCCTATTGTCATCGTTGTCTATCTAATGGCAACTTGGGACAGCAATACATCTACTGGTGAAATTTCCCTTAACAGGACCTGGGGTTTGGTCTGCCCAGCGTCTATCACGACGAAAAAGCGTGTTGTATTGACCTCCTTGGCCCTTTAGTAGTATTGATATAGAGATTTAGATGCTCCTATTAGTATGTTTGTATAGTAACCCGTCTTGATTGTTTTTACATGCTATAGTTAATAAATTGAACTATGGACATCATCCGGGTTAGAGGTTCCATAATAATGCTAGGCAGAGATGGATTGGTCGTTGGGTTCCTTAGTGATCTCCTCCTATAGGCATAGAAATGCTCGTCTCCCTTCGTCGTATATGAGAGGTATAGCGATACAAAGATTCCGAGTAAATAATAAGCCCGGCATTCTAGCTATGTCGTTTCCCTCCTCAAGATTCAAACCATCTTTTCTTATTGCTAAAGTAGTGTGAATCGCCTAAACGAAAAATGTCAATGTCAATCTTAATGATGTCGGAAATATCATCATACGGTGTATCTCGAGTTGCAATGTTGATCTAATCCGTTGAGAAGAAGACAATGATTATTGTATTTAACCAAGTACTTTCCCATATATACGTACAAAACATAGGGGTACATGTATACCGTATCTCCAAGACATCAGGTAATTGCGTATATGTAGGTACGTAAGATTATATGCCTACATATAGATGGGACACCATTGGAAAATAACAGCTTGATTAATCTCACTTATCAAACATGTCACATATAAGGCGTAGTTGCTAGTTAGAAATTACGGCGCCGTTTTTGCGATAAAACATTTTAAGAAAATTGAAACGCAATTTTGCGCTAGAGGAGTGCTTTAAAGTAGTTGATACTTATTGACAGAGAGACAGCTCCTGATATATAACAAAAATCAGCAAGGCCAATATTAACAGCCTCACAGGCAGTGAGGCTGAATAAAAAATTATTCGTTATGAGTGTCGAGGTCACTATTTAACATCACAGCGTCCTCGATGCACTTACTTAAATCAAAATCGTTCTATAGATAATATTACAAACTTTACTTAGGCGTATTGTTGCTATCTACACGAATAAAATTACGCAGTGTGTAGTACCATCATCTGTTGCCCCATAAGAGACCTATATTGGAGCAATGTACATAGGAGCAACCGCATTAATAGGGGGGCGCATGACGATTTGAGTACGGTATTTGTATGTAGGAAAATTAAATAACTACCCGTATCACGCTAGTAGAATCAGTAGCGGTGTTGATTCTATTTATCGTTGGTATGTACCTTGGTACTATACACTTTGATTGTTCTGATTCTGATTTTGAGTTAACAATATACCTATGCGTCTCCTAGGTGATGGCCACCTGTTATGCCAACGATTTTACTGATTTGATCTACTTAAGGTACATACAGGTACTGATTTAATCACCTCCTTGAATTTTAAATATTTTTTGATTTTCTAGCAACTGATTGCACTCCCATTATTTCTAATCACTCCTCCAGAATTTCTCTATTTAAAGAAGCCCACCCGCAACCTTTTGAAAAATTCTTTCCAACTTCACCACCTTCAACACATTTCCCAAACCAACCTCCCTCCTTCTATCCATACTACCTCATTAAAAATATTCTCAATACCTCTCTAATCATTACCTTAATACACAATACCTATTAACCAAACTTACTCTACTGTAAGGTTATTATTTCGTTCTTATTTTCTTGAAAATGTTTCTCTGAGCTCAGGTACGTATTGAACTTTCATTTATCTGAACGCGTCTGTTATACTATGGCAACGAAATCTACTTGCCTAAAGTTTACAACACGAACAACACAAGTTATGCTTCTTTTAGAATGCAAATCCCCCTGACAACCTACCATACCACCACCACAACCAATTTCCTTCTACTTCATACATCTCAAACCACTCAACTTTTTGATGACTTTTAAATTTCTTATTGAACCCATCAACCTATTTTCCAAATTAAATTCACCCCAACACTGATCAATCTAACCTTACCCTAACTTGTTGCCTAAACCCGCACCTTACACTGAGCACCACCACTCTTTACTATTTTTATATTCTCACTCCTTTCCCTACCTTACACCTAACCTAATCAACTCTGCACTCTCAATAAATATAAATGCTCACATTTATTCTAGGTCCTCAAGACTTTGGTCTTGTTTGTTTACATCTCAACTCCCCTTGCCCAACTCACTGACCACCCCCGTTCCTTGAGCAACAATCTCTCTTACTCTACCCTCTTATTTTACCTTTGACTAACTTATTACTTAACTAAGAACAACCTATCTTTCTTATTATTAATTGCTAAACGATGATAGAATTCCTACTACCAATCTTACCTCCTCGCCCTACCCTCGCCTTACCCTCGCCCGACCAACACTCTCTCCCGACCGACGATCCTCCTCCTTCTCGCCGACAGCCGACCAACAATCCTATTCGACTGACCGACTGATCTTCCACCTCCTCGCCCTACCTCCTACCTCCTCGTCCTACCCTCGAACGACACTCTCCCGAACGACACTCTCTCCCGACCGACAATCCTCCTCCTTCTTGCCGACAGCCGACCGAAACTCCTATTCGACTGACCGACCGATCTCCCACCTCCTCCCCCTACCTCCTCGCTCTATTTCCGACCGACCTCCGACCTCCAACCTCCGACCTTCGACCGACACTCTACCCTTATACATATACATATACTGGACAGGGATGTGGTGCTTGGTCCTGGGTACGATCTTGCACTAGAGGAATATGCCCGACCCCAACAGTTAAGGACACACCTCCGAAGGCTGAATGAAACCCTTTGTAGGGATAATCGGCAGTATGTGGTTAAACCCATGCTTGTACGGCCCGGGTCCCTCGACTTGCTCCCGTATTCTCTTACCATCATCTACGAGAGAGGAAATTCCGGTGATCGGTTCGAGTCCGGCACGCGGTGGGAGCGAGATATTGTAAGCCTGGAGAGGAGCGCGCTCTGGACTATTTTCTCTCTTACACGCATTGCACTCTCGGCCTAACTAACTGACCCTGCGGTAAACTGTGAGGTGGGGTGAACGCGGCAGGGGGTATGCGACGCCGGGGTCTTTCGCTGCTTTGGCTGTCCTAGGTGTGCCTTGGCTCAGTTGGTAAATGAATTTTTGGAACCCTTTTAAAGGCTCGTGTGCGGCCTGTTTCTGGTATTACACTACCTCCGGAAACGAACGTATGCAGCTGGGCTCAGTTGGTGAGCGGGATGCTCTAACGCATTCCATAATTTTTTGTATCGACGGCCGCACGTGGCCTGTGTCTCTGACCAAACACGTGCACCCCTTTTTCATTGCACTCTCCAATTTATTGGGGGTGTGAAGAAGAAGAAGCCTAAGTTTAGTTATTATTATGTAACTATCGTTATGAGATGTCTACGTTGATGTTGTACTATAATGTACGAGGCTCAAGAGATGGGCCAATGAGATTCTATTCCGGCTAGAGAGGGGCTAAACTGTTAGACTTGCCGAATATGGTCATTTCGGCCGGAGCGGAGAACCGGCTAAGAAGTCGTCATTTCAAATCAAGCTCATGCTAATAAGGCTATAAATGAAGGCTTCTCGTCTTATTTGAATTCGAGTTCAAAAGCTATGGTAATTCATATCTGACCGATAAAACAATGGCGCCTCTAGGAATAGCAATTATTGGTGGTGGCATCTTCGTTAAAGAGCAGCATATGGTGAGTATTTTGGAGTCGTTCGTGGCCTATCCCTGTTATCCCTGTTAGTCTTCACTCACCACGAGACTGACGTCATGCAAAATTCCACCCCCCTGGATAGACATATTCTAAATGTCCTCAATGATATTAGCTAACATGCCATTAGCCCGCTGCTCTTGCCTCCCCCCTGCTTTCGATTAAGGCTATCTGGTCCCGGTCTCGTAAGAGCGCAGAAGAAGCCTCACGGCTTGTCTCTGGTGATGCTACTTCCTCGGTGGATCTATACTCAGCAGATTCTGGAGATGGCAAGTCTTACGAAGACCTCCTTAAGCGCGACGACATAGCCGGAGTTATAATTGCTCTTCCAATCCTGGATCAGCCCGCATATATTGAAAAGGCCCTGGCGGCTGGAAAGCATGTCTTGGCGGAGAAACCGATAGCCAAGGATCTTGAGACCGCTAATAAGCTGATCGCATACTCGAAAGAGATTTCAGCCGAGACCAAGGCGTCCTTAGCCATAGCAGAAAACTTCCGGTTCCAACCAGGCTGGGCCTACGGTGCCGAGGAGGTTAAGAAGCTCGGCAAGGTTACGGGCTTTGTGGTGAGGCTGCAGTCTATGATGGAGGCAACCAACAAGTACTACCTCACACCGTGGCGGACAACGCCGCAGCACCAGGGCGGGTTCCTTTTAGACGGAGGCGTGCACTTCACAGCTGGCTTGAGGAAACTCCTAGGCGCAGAAAACGCCGTTGACACCTTGGTGGCCCAAACCGCCTTAGTTTCAAGCCATCTGCCTCCAGTAGACTCCATCAATGCGATCTTGAAAACGAAGTCAGGTGTAGTAGGCTCGTATATCACATCTGTGGGAACGACTATGGATGCATTCGAATACCACATCGCCTGCGAGCAAGGTGTTGTTAAGGCCGAGGGAGCCAAGGTAGTTACGGTCCGAGGAGTTGGGAAAAATGCCGTGGCGGAGGAAAAGGTGTTCGAGAAGACTAGTGGGGTCAAGGAGGAGGTTCATGCTTGGGCTGAGTCTATCGTGTCGGGAGTACCAAACCCTAATCAGACTCCTGAACAGGCACTCGCAGATCTAGAACTAATCGAGAAGATGCTGTCGAGCGGCGAGCAGGATGGGGCGCGTCAGAAGCTGGAGTATCAGGGCTTCGTATAGGGGACATTCTATAACTTGCTGGAACCGGGCCCTACAAGTAGTTTCGCGAGTCCCTCCCGTAATTGAGAATTCATCCCGTTGACATTAGGTCGTTGTGTTGAGCGGTCTACGAAGACTTGAACGTATTCGCCCACAGCCTTGACTTGTTCAACGCCTTTCTCGAACAGTGCAATTTCATAGACGACACTAGATTTCCCTAGTTTATTGACCCGAAGACAGAGTTCTGCAACCTTGGGGTATGATATAGGGGAAAGATAATTGCAACGCGTTTGAGCCATTAGGGGATGTTGCGCCGAGGTTGGTGGATGGAGAGCACAATGATCAATTAAGTAAGAATTAATCACAGAATCAAAGCTAGTGGACATTTAGTGTTAGAGAAGCCCCTACCAGTATTATCGGGGTTAACTAACAGAAAGTTGTAGACTGAATTGTTCATATGATCGTACATGTCGTTGTCGCTCCTATAGAGTTGTTAGTCACTTAGAGGTCCGAACATCTCTAAGAATTAGGGATGGGCGTACCACCGTGTTCGATATTCAAGCATAAAAGGGTAATCCCTCCTAGTTCTATTTTTTAATTCCTTGCTTTGAGCCATGTTTTATATAATTACGTTGCATTAGATGAATATTTGGTAGACTTCTGGTTGGCTTAGGCTGGAATGTTGTTTGTTGTTTGTTGTTAACCTCATCTTCAGTCTAAAAGCCGAGGTTCAGTCATCCTAGATACTGGTGAGTTACATAAGCAATAGGTAAGGTACCTCTGTACAGTATCGGAAATTTTAGTCGGGCCGTTCTATACTGCCGGTGTTCACCGTCAGATTTCCCCAGTTACGCAAATGCTCTCTAAAGTTTGGAACCTGAATCTTACATTGCATAATATCAGGGACCCCGCAATTTAACTATTGGATTGGAATTTATGGGAAATACGACATAGTTATGAATTCTACCGTCTTGTAAAAGCGAAAGCTTGTTTTTACCAAAATAATAATTCGACGTTTGTGGGGTTCCGTCGGGATCTTGACATCCCGTCAGGCGAACGAACGATCAACTTCTTCTCCGATCCGATTAATTATGAGAATTATGAGTCAAGTTGCAGAAGTGTCGCCTTCTTCGACAACAACCCCTACGGCAACCATTATGCCTGGTATCGAAGCTTTGACCATCGCTGAGCCAGCAACTGTCACGAAAAAGGATGATGGTATATCCCCCAACCTAACTACTCCGTGCGCTGATATTTGGCCGCGGCCATATTACTTCGAGAATGGTTTACGACGTGTCGCTCCGTATCATTTTACGTATAAAACCTGGTGTAAACAGCGATGGAGAGGCAGGACGCTTATAGACGTGTTCGAGAGCGAGTTTAGAGACCGACCGCTGGCATATTATAAAAATGCCATGGAAACGGGTCAAATATGCGTCAACGGTAAACCGACTAGTCCAGATCATATCCTCAAAAATGGAGAGCTTGTATCACATACTATACATCGGCACGAACCACCAGTCACGGCAGATGACATAGGAATCCTCCACGAGGATGAGGATATGATTGTAATTAACAAGCCTTCTGGGATCCCGGTCCACCCCGCAGGAAGATATAATTTCAACTCCGTCATCGAAATTATGAAGGCCGAGAGGGGTCCAGACTGGACCGCATATACTTGCAACAGGCTCGACAGGTTAACCAGCGGCATCATGTTCGTCGCAAAGAATCCTAAGGCGGCCGATCGCCTAGGTGAACAGATTAAGCAAAGAAGTGTGCGAAAAGAGTACATTGCTAGGGTTATCGGCAACTTTCCTGACGAGGAGGTAGTTTGCAATCAGCCTTTACTTCAAATTTCTCCAAAACTTGGATTAAATCGAGTACGGGCAAACGGAAAAACGGCTCGCACGGTTTTCAAGAAGCTAGCATATTATCCCCCACGAGAGCCGCGACGGGGGGCAGATAATGATCCTTCTGAAATAGAAGGCGTTTCCGAAGATGAGCGTAGGCCATGGCTACGCAAGGAAGGATATTCCATTGTGCGATGCCTTCCAGTTACCGGCAGGACTCATCAGATCCGCGTTCACCTCCAGCATTTAGGACATCCTATTCAAAACGATCCCATCTACGCTAATCAAAGGGTTTGGGGAATGAATCTTGGATACAACGACCCCGAGGCGCTTGAAAACACAGACGAAGATATTATTACGCGTCTCAATCGAATGGGAAAAGAAGAAGTGGCAGACGCCGTTGCTTACCATGACGAGATGGTGGACGAGTACTATAAGAAAAAGGCGGAAAAGATGTCTGGTGAGCTCTGTAAGATCTGTGATACACCATTATACACAGATCCCGGACTACAGGAGCTCTCGCTATGGCTACATAGTCTTCGATACGAGGATGCAGGTGGCGAGTGGAGCTACGTTAGCCCTCTTCCGGGCTGGGCTTTGCCCCCTTCTGGCATGTCGGGGCCTACAGAAGTCGGAGGCATGGAAGAATTGGTCTCGGCAGTAAAAGATGTCAACCCCGAAATTGTATGATTCGCTGCGCCTTGATCCCCAATCGACTACCACCTATCGAATAGCTCGAAGAGAACGACCATGTAATGTCAGCATTGCCCAGTTGGACGATACCGGGCAGGGTTTCGAAGCAATGTGACCTCTTATCACAGTCCTTCATGACTAAGTAGGACGTAAAGTCCAAGTATGGGATCGTGCGGTATACTTCTTTACTGCATTCCAAACAGTGCTCATAAGGACTAGACTAACCTAGTAAGATAATACTAGCTATCTACCTGGGTAGGTAGTTGATGGTGAAACTTCATCTGCTTGGAACTACTAACAGGTCTGGAGTATTAGCCCACCGCTTGGGTTATCCCACAGACAGGGTTCAGATAGCGTCCAGATATTGATTGCATGGGGCCATGGCACCACTTTGACCTTGATCTCCATCCCCCGGATCTTGGCTCCCTTCAAGGAGCATTTACCTTAAACTAGGTACTCAATGATAGCTACATCGCAAAATATGGCTCAAGATATTAGTGGTATATATCACTTACAATATAGAAACCCTCTTCATCCGTCACAGCTACCGAGAAGTTGCGGTAGCGTTTAGAAACGGTTGGAATCGGCGCAAATATCACAAATACAATAATCAAACGCATCACCATTCACCTCTATGCGTTTTGACATCCCTGCAAATCCGCCGGGAGTATTCGTCGTGGCTTATTAGTCTCAGAAAAGGGAATAACTCGGGTAATCCGAAGGTCATGAATACGATACAGCTTTCCTTTTCTGTGCCAGCCGAGTCTCTATTTCTCCACAATACCTCAATCACCGGGAGTCTTACAGCCCTTCATACTAATTTTCACACAAACTGAGGACGCCGAATTCCGAAAGGCAAGACTTGGAAAATTTTAGTATCATGGACGTTGGTCCAATTGGTCTCAACTTATCGGTCCAACTCGAGACCTGCATTTCCCCGAGCGATGACAGATTTCGATGTGATTCCCAGCCTTAGCCTGCGGACTCTATAGACGTACCTATGCGCCCTCGACTTCGCACATTCCGGGGATTCGCTCCGGGGGATCTTCCATGGGCCGATTTAAAACGGCCTCCATCTAGTAGCGTAGCGTAAAGTCTATTTAGAACCCCTGACCTTGCCGTTACCGCTACATATTCCCATATAATGTATCCTAGGACACACGCACCGCCGTCACTACGCTGAAGCTGTCTAGCAGACTACGTAGGACCGAGGCTGTCAAGATTACCTGATTACTTGGGCTAGTTTCGAGTGGAACTTTACCTTCAGGTCCGTCGATGATATCCACGTATCTAACGAGTATGGCCAGAGTATAAGTCGCTAGGATGTTCAATGTTATTTGGTGGAGATATTACTTGAAGCAGTCAATAAGTATCGTATTGCTTTATTTCTACGGAAAGATACAAAACCGTTCGAAGATTCTGGCTTAATCTTTGCCTAAACAGGTAATTTTAGATGGTAAATATCATCCCGAAATCACGAGATACTGTATTTTGCCATAGTATTTCGAGTGTCCTGATACTTTGCTTTTTCAAGTAACATCTCCACCAAGTAACATTGAACATCCTGGCTACTTGTATATTTCAAGCTACTGTATCTTTCGAAGAATTACTTAGATGCGTAGTGATTTGGTAAATGGTCTGGAACGATGTTGACTGTTTGGGTATGTGTTGGACTCCTGTGACCTTGGCGGTCATTTACCTCCTTGCCGTACTGGGGGGATCCTTCAATCTCTAGTCTCCCATGGGGAAGCCCTTCCAAAGAAAATAGGCTAGCTACATTATTCCTAGTTCTAGTTTCTGTCATATGTATGGCGGTTACATACTAACAGCAGCTATCCTCTTTAGATACTTAGCCACCCCGTCTACTATATAACATTCCATGTTATGTCAACATGATTCTCATCAGATCTCGTGCTGTGTAGATCGAAACGACTAGACGCATTATCTGATTCTTAAAGTACTTGGCATCACCTGCAATTTCAGGCACATCCATTGTCATATCATCTTACACAAAAGTTATACTACAGTCAACACCAAATCCAAAGATGTCCAACAGCATGAAGCCCACGACAGAGACCAACAAGACCGGAAAGCGTAAAGGTACTAGGAGTGTATCTACACTTACTCCTTCGCAGCTCGCTCGAAAGCGTGCCAACGACAGAGACGCTCAAAGAGCAATTCGTGCCAGGACGAAAGAACACATCGAAAGCCTAGAGAGAGAGATAGCTGAGCTCCGCAGCCATCAAGACCGAGATCAGACTATTCAAACGCTCCTCCGGAGGAATAGGAGCCTGGAGAATGAACTTCAACACCTCAGAGAAAGCATGGGCATTCGTGCTGCTAACACAAGTGAACCATACCACCCTGGTCAGCACTTCATCCCATATTCGGCGTGGGATGTAGCAACTGACCGTCTTATAGTATTCCACAGTTCTAGCCCTCCTGGGCCCTCATCTTTCGGGCAGTCTGCGCCCAACTTCCCCATGATGCAGAATATCTCTCCTTACAACAATATGCCCGATACTACAGAAGCTTGGCCAGCAACCGCACCATGTTCCCTCCCATCCACAGTATCTAGTCCTGTTTCCTCTGTTGGTACAGATGATTTCGGAGGCAATTGCATTCCTACTAGCACTCCCACTACGGTCCGCTCTCCTACCATGTCTTGCGTCAACGGCGAGGGTACCTTTGACGATTCGAAGCCCGGTAAGTTTCCGACTGTGATATATCAAGTCCACACATGAGTTTCTAATCAAGATAATTATAGGATTTGAATGCGGCTCGATCAACATCATGCCTGTCAGTGCATCTTACAATTTTCAACCGTGGAACGTGTACCAAATGCCACAATACCAGCCTCAACAGGCGACACTCGGGCACAACTCACCTATACCCCAGATTGGGAGATGCACCTTCTAATCATGAAGGCTCCATGTCGAAATGACGCACTCCTAATAGGATATATCGAGGGCAGCCGACGCCTAATTAATATGACAGGGAAGCGATCGCACTCCAAAGTCATATTTGGTCCGGCCGTGGGTAGCTTATTATTATACCGAGTCCTCATCGCCCGGTTAATCAGGCCGACTCAAGAGGTCTATACTGGGCCCAGCAGAGTTGTGACACCCCGGCCGAGCCAGTGGATGATACCACACGAGCAATAAGTCGATTCGCTTCTTCTATCCGGCGCTGCGCGACGCAGTTATCAAGCGACAAGATATCTACGCTAACACGGGAAACTCGCCATACCTACAACAAATATCTACGGGTCATGAACTGGCTTAGTGGTATTGCTAGAGCATTAGCCATCGACAGTGCTACTGGTGCCACCTGTGCGAAAAAGGAGTTTAAGGAATGTATAGTTACGGAAACTAGAAAACTAAGCACTGCGGGAGAACTTCACAAGGTGTTATCCGGAGTTCACAGGGACAGTCGGTATTGCCACGCACTCACATTAAGCTGTCTTGATATAGGCTGCTTATGAATTGAGTCGTGGACGGAATGAGAAATGATCAATATGAAAAGAATCCGAAAGAAACATCAGGCATTTAAGATAACTAGCCCATAAGGCAATATATCAAATGTCTATCCAGCTCGACTAGATGTATGCATATTACACGCAGAATTAAATAAAATATTATTATAATCACTACCTCGGCTCTCATTTACGCATTGTGCTCGAAACTTAATATGACAGAGTATCAAGGGTAAGTAAGAGTGATACCTAGGTAGGTAGGCAAAACTCTAGCACTTTGAGCTTTCGATCCATGTTAAATACATGCCATTTCCCACAATAGATCTTCATGGAGAAGGTAGCGGATCTGGGGTAGCGCAACTCCACATTGGCTGATGAGTTCCCTGGGGTACATTATGACAAAAGTCGCTTACGAGACTTTACAGAAAGTCAGGATTATTAGATATTTTTTTTTCAGATATAAGTATTTTATATATACTATTAGAATCGCCTAGTTGAGCTGAATTGATTGATGCTAGCTATATTAAGATGCGACCGTGCTTTGAAAAGTTATTAAACAAGTAATTTCTAAATAAGCAAAGTAATTTCGGAATAGTGGCATGTAATCTGTGTATAAGGCTAAGTAATCTGTAAATAGCAATACGTATACTATATTTCCCAGCCAATACACCGTACTTTATGACTGTTACTTATACCATTATAATCCCTATGATGAGGCGCATCTAATGGTGTTAAAATTGTATAGAGACGGGGTATTATAAAAAAGATATTGTTGAGTGACAAGTCTTATACCATGTAAAAGGCCTTAGAGCCTCATATTACGTAAGAGGCCTCGAATTAGGGACCTGGCAGCGCCTGTAGCGCCTGGCATGCTGGGTGTTCGAGAAAGTTATGGGACAGAATGGGGCCATGTCAATAGGCCCGAACCACCAAGACATCGGGAGCATAGGTAAGTGACTCATTCGCACGATAGCCTCAGGCTATCACTGAACTTGTACATAATCGCTAATTCCATTCGCAGTGGCTTTTCGAGGTGGTTCCGTAATAGTTTATGCGTGTCCGATTTACAACGGAGCCATGAATTCATTTTACATCATTTTTGGCCGGATGGCACGTGGGCTAAGAGTCTAGATGACTTAGCTGAACTCTATATTTGTTGACAGATCTTATATAGCATACTTACGCGTAGTTATAGGGCTTTAATAAGTCTGGACGCATTTTGAAAGAAAAAGAACTTTCTAGTCACAGCCACGTACAACCTTCCAGCCTTCCCAACCTTGGAGCTTTCTCCCTTTCTCCCTCAAGTTCTACCCCGGAAAACTTGCTAATCTCACAACCCCATGCATCTTACCTCTCCCCGCCTACATCTTCGATCTAGAAATCGGGAGATCGTCGTCAAGGGGGGCTATGTATGTATCCGAACCAAAAGCGGTACAAATCTCGCGCGCGGACGAGCGGCTAACGCAGATCATTCTTCAAGCTATTCTGGCTATGTAGCTTCGGGATGCCTTATTTGCAACTAGTAACAAGTAGTGATTCTCGGTATGCATCTTCCCCATATAAGCACAAATTTTCCCTATGGGGCATAAATAAAGTTTTACTATCCTCCATATATAAATGCGGCTCTTCTCAGGGCTAAGATCGGACATACCTCCGGATTGTGTTAGGAGCAGATCCGCACACTTAGACGGGAGCTATCTGCTTTAGGGCGCTTATTCGTGCTGAATATCGGACAATATGCATACGAGTTAGTTTGGCCCTGCGCAAGAACTAAGGGGCTAATTCCTCACCATCACACGAGCTACTAGGATCTGCGGCGGTACCCGGCTCGTTGTTACAGATATTGTAGACTATAGCATCCTAGGTTAGTAGATTCAACACCATAAGTATTAGGTGCCTATGATATTTAGACAAAAAGCCCAGGAAACTAGACAAGGCATTACGTAACAAGACAGACCCCGAACCAGACCCCGAATCCTACCAGTGTCTCTAGCAGATCGACATCTAAACCGAATACGTACCTCTTAGTAGCTCGTCGACGAGATAGTTGGTGGGATCCTCTAGGACCGTAACTCGGCGAGACTTGATAGTCACCTGAGGTTAGGTCATTCCATGGGGCCATCATTCTACCTACAATTTTTGTTAGCGTGTTTGAAAAGTAGCTCGTCTCCAGGATTTCTAACTATCTGGTTTAGCGGGATAAGTATTCCAGTAACGCTTCCGGAGGTCAATGATGGAGCCCACAAACAGGTAGACTAAACGGCTACTTCTTGACTCGCATCTGGTTCCGAGTTAATGCCGATTTTTCACCTGATATATCACATGGGCATCCATTTAAATACCCTGTATTCCTCGCAATATAAAGTTTGAACCTGCTTTAGTCCTTCCCGTCAATCCTTCCCGTCAATCTTATACCCAATTCTTCACAACCATCGGCCACGTGCGAACCACGTAGGTTAGTATATAACCCGCGTGGGCGGAGACGTCACCGGAATACTTTCTCCGAACCCAGTAAGGAGATGTGTCGCCGCTACACAGGCTCTGCCGGTTATTCGGACCTATTCGAGAGCTACAGTTTCCTATACTATTGTGCAAAAGACGTTAACCTAGGGACTTTTCTCGGAATAGTATCTTAACTTAGCTCGCGCTATTCTTTCCACGAAACCAGGACACCTGACCATAATACTATCGGCATTATGAAATAGAATTATGGATACAACTTGACTTATTCGTGAGACTGGACCGGATTAGACGGCATGTGTGATGGTTTTGGTTGGTGTAGTTGCTATAGAATAGAATATCCGACTTTCGGGGAAACGGAAAATTGAGTTATATGACGGGAATAGACGCGGCAATAGACTATAACAGGTAACTACTAGATCCTTTACGGCATCACAAGTTTAGGTCTAATAATATAATTTTACTTACCTAACTAATTGCCATGTTGAAGTTACATAGCTACACGATAGAAACTGTCTGTTGAAGATAGATTAGACTTCGGTACTTGACAAAGGCACAAGTTTCACTAACCCTTGTAGAAGCCTTGGCTGTGTTTAACTACCAATAATAGACGGAGGAATGACCAAGCTTGGAAAGGGGTCTCAGGCGTGTGGACCCCGCTCCCAACTAATACTAATAAAGACATTCAACAGCCCAGAGCTTCGCTTAGCAATTCTAAGTTAGAAATTCTAACTGGTTGATAAGTCTGCAAGGTACAATACATACACCTTTACTCTTCTGCACTTGAGCGTTTAATGGTCATTCATAAAAGTTACAGGCGCCAGGTGAGGATGATCGGTGTCGCGTCCATGATAAACATCTTAGGAAACATCTTAGGCGACATGCATTTTTGTATTTGGCCTGCCCTAATAGGTAGGAAAGCGAGATCTCTTATAAACAACCCAGAGATCTCTAATCCGTATCAGGTAGCCAGCTATAGGTGGCGTAGCATCAAGGGTACGTTTAGTGATGCGGGCGCGGGGACCCTTGTCTTGCCGTGGGCCTCGCGCGAGCTCCTATTTGATCCAGCTGTCTTGTCAAACTCGGTAACAAGCTCACAAGGCCCGAATCCATACGGATTACAGAACCCCTTAAGACACATTCTAGATGCAAATGCAGAAGGTCTCAATCTCTATTCGGGATGGCCGCCCACATGTCACAGGCACACGCTAGAAAGGAGCCTTTATAATGTTTTGTTCCTGGTGAAAGAAGTCTCGCGACCCCTGGTCATTCTCGACAATTCCCATTGGTGTTTTGTTTGTTCCCCCTCTCAATGCTTTCATGCGCCCAGCCATAAATATCTCCTATTTACCTAAATACAAAGGCGCTCTGCAACAATACATATTATGGTGTCGCGATAGATCCAGATCTAGTCCAGATCTTCATTCGTTATTTGATTCTAGGTATATATACTTAGTGTTGATCACTATATAAATTCGGTTCTTCTTTAAACCACTTTTACAGAGACTATCACGGAAATGCGCAATAATATCCTTATCTCAGCCCTTGCCGTCGCGGCGGGGTCTCTCGCGGCGGACTGCAATGGGCATGCTGAGCTCTGCGATCGACAGTATAGCAAGGTCACCTTCGTGGGGGCTCACAACTCGCCTTTCGTTGGGGTTGGCCCAGCAGACAACCAGTTAACCGACCCGACGGAGCAATTAGATCTAGGTGTGCGATTTCTTCAGGCGCAGACCCAAGAAAAGGACGGATCGCCCCAGATGTGCCATACCTCGTGGTAAGTTATATCTCGAGTCTATTACTTCATTACACGGACGCAATAGTAACATTTTGCGAAATAGCTTATTAGAGGATGCCGGCTCATTACAAGACTATCTGGGCCCTATTAAAACTTGGATCGATGCTCACCCAAATGAAGTTGTAACGCTGCTTCTGACAAACCCCGATGCGATTGACATCACCAAGTATGGCGATGCATTCACGTCAACTGGGCTAGATAGCTACGTCTTTACACCGGATACGACGCTCGGTCTAGATGACTGGCCGACTCTGGGAGATATGATCTCAAGCGGCAAGAGAGTCGTGGTGTTTATGGGTATGAGTTGCCTGTATCATGAGTCCTTCAATTGGGTAAGCTAATAATCGACAGATTACAACATGGACACTTCTAAGGTCCCGTACATTCTGGACGAGTTCGCATACTACTTCGAGACTCCATTTGACCCAACAGAGGATATACTTAGCGGATGCGGCATTGATAGGCCCTCAGGCGTTTCAGCCGACGGTCGGATGTTCCTCGCCAACCATAACCGGAACGTTGAAGTCTTGCCTGATGTCTTAATCCCGGATCTGGTCGAGGCAAGCAATACAAACTCGGTAGAGTCTATCACCGAGCAGACAGACACTTGCAAGAGCAGCTATGGCCGCGTGCCCAACGTAGTCTTGGTGAGTACATACCCAGCATCTAGGCAAGATTGGAGTATTCTAGTCAGCGTGCTTTATACCTAGGAAATTGCTAACGAACGGCCGTAGCTTGATTATGTCAGCCTAGGAGACACGATACAAGCCCAGGACTTGCTCAACGGGCTATAGATCTCTTAAGAGGCGAGATTTCGTGAGGCGATGATTTATCATAACGATGATGATGACGACCCTTTATTTTTGAGCGTTACGTATTCCTAGTTCCTTGCATGCTATGATGATACCCAATTAGCCAGTGGATCATTCATGTCTGGGATCAACGCAGACAACGTTATGGTCTCCGTTAATTTTCATGTATATATTTGAGATTATATTCTCTGAGAGATGCAATCCCGTATTGGTTAGAGTATTTTGGTTAGCGGTCTAGGTATGGTGTGGTGGTATTGGAAATTGACAAATTAAGTTACAAAGAGTATAATTCTCAACTAGATATGCGTAGTACAAAGCATCGATGTATAATCAACTCAATAACATTTTATACTTTACACTTCTATTCATAAGTCCTTTGAAGCTTTAGCTTTCAACAATCGGGTATTCGCTCTATGAAGTGCTGCGGCTTCGTTTGAGATTGGTCTCCACATTGTGTAGGTTCCATTATTAGTAGCAAAACATCGTACAAAGGAACAACTTAGTATGAGATCGAACTTGATTACGCGGTACATACATACAATTTGCCCGACTTTGTTATTAGCGAATGAAGAAATTCGAATTTCTCAGCGTGTAAGTTCATTAAATTAGCCAATCGTAGGGCAGCTATAAATATCATTTTCTTCAACAAGCGCGGGCCGCATTCTGAGCGCTTGGCAGAGGTTGAAAAGTCAACCACAGCCAATCAATATCTCCGCATTACAAGGAGCTTCAAAAGCCCACCAATCAGCGCTCTAGAATTATGACGAAACTAGGGTCGGTACCTTGCCGCCGGTATGCCATCTTAGATCCAATAGAGAGGCACATCACGATGTTGTCGGATATGGAGCCGCACACGCTATGCCGGTATGCCGGGCGAGTATACTTATTTAAAAGGGCCATTGCCGCGGAGAGGAGGAAAGTCAAGAACTCATTACTACATTATCTCTATTGACATTAGCGTTTCCTTTTCTTCATATTTCCGTCTTTGTGGGAAGGTTGCAATTTTATCTATAATCCTTAGTCTCTTACTTAGTCTCTTAAGTACCTTTAACTTGACCTTAACACCAATTATACCCCGATAATATCTTCGTATAGTCAGAAACATGAAGACCTTCAGTACACTCAGCCGGCTGAGCTTAGTTGCCTCTGCAGGTATATCTCCTCTCATCACCCTTGACTCGTATCGACCACTGACATAAAGTAGCTTTATCTCTGTTCGCTACCTCTTCACAAGCACAGGATGCTAATAGCACATCATCAAATACGACCGCTGGCTCGGTCTTTATCTCACCCCCGCGAGACCTCGCGTTCGCACTTAATGTCCCTAGCGATTCTACCACCGATCTATACTTCTCGTTGATGTTTCCGGAGGGAACAAGTTGGGGAGCCGTTGGACTTGGATCCGACCGCATGGCTGGCTCATTGATTCTGCTGGCATACCCATCGGAATCGGGGCAGAACGTCACATTATCACCACGAATCGCTTCCGGTCACTCGGAACCCGTGTACACCCCCGATATCAAGGTTGAAGCATTGGACGGCACCGGACTTAATAACGGGACGTTTATCTTCAATGGGCGTTGTGGCAACTGCCGGTCGTGGTCAGATGGGAAGGGAAAGATCGATATTGCGAGCAAGTCGCAGAATATGATATACGCCACGGGCGACAGTAGCACCCTGAAGTCTGATTCGTTCGACGCGCCGCTGAGGATGCACTATAACTACGGTACATTCACGTTAAACATGGCCCACGCTACGGGTCCGGCGGGTGTTCCGATAATTGACAGGTCGGAGGACAGCACACTGGTCGCTACGACTCAGGGGCTATCGAAGGAAGGTAAAAAGGATGTTGCGGCATTGATGCACGCGATCATCATGGTTTTCGTGTTCGTTGGTTTATATCCCTTCGGCATTTTTGTCCTACGCTTGGGAAGCTGGGTCCGTTGGCACGGTATCAACCAGGGTTTCGCTTTCATTCTCACTATTGTCGGCTCGAGTCTTGGCTTCTCGATCAGCAAGTACTACAATAGGGTACGTGGGCTATTATATTATGAGCGCTGAAAGGCATTGCTAACACACTAGTAGTCTAAGAAGGTCAATACTGCTCACCAGGTTATCGGCATTCTCATCTTCATTTTCATTTTCGCCCAGTTTGCTCTGGGCTTCCTGCACCACCGCAACTTCAAGAAGACACAGCAGACAACCAAGATGGCCCCTATTCATGTATGGATGGGCCGCGTGATCATCGTTATGGGTGTTGTTAACGCATTCCTGTGAGTTTCCCCCTCGCCCCATCTAGGCCAGATAGAATCCACTAACATTTCAACGCAGTGGCTTCCCTCTCGCTCAGGCATCGCAATACAACTACGTCCTCGCAGGACTCATTCTTTTCCTCTTCCCGGCCATGATCCTCATCCTCGTTACGAAGAAGTTCATCCAAAAGAAGTGGAACAAGTCTAAGAACGAACCAACTGGTTACAATATGGAGCCGTGGAACCAACAAAATGGCCAGGCAGGGCAAGGTAACGGTGCCGCGAATCCGCAACAGCCCATGGGGCAGAATGCGAGCATACCGGGCATGAGCACGTATGCGCCATATCATGCACAGGGCATGAAGGCAGATCTCGGACCGCAGCAGAATACTCGGGAATACGTGTAAGGGGGTGGTATGGCGAACTTAAGAGGTAATTACCAAGGCTGTGACGGTATAAAATGCATCAATAGGCGTTTGGGTATCGGATCATTCATTTATACTTGGGAGGGCAAGGGACGAGGTCGGGTCAATTGGGCAACGGGGCGCAACATACATATTAAAGGGTGAATATTAAAGAAGTAATGAAAAGGGTAGCCATTCCCAACCGACTATCAACGTATTTTATTCTTGCTCTTTCTAATTGCCTGGGTACAGGTAGGTACCTGGACCCATAGCCCCTTTTCGATATTTATAATTCTTATAAGCCTCCGGCAACGTTGCGTAGAGATACACAAGTCTCTATCGAGTATATCATTCTCTCGTATTCGAAGGTGCTACATTGCTATTTCAAGATTAGCATACCATAAAACTATTATAATAACACCCATATGGTAGCAAGAGGCGAACGTAACCATTGTGTACGCCTCGGTCGAAAGTATGATACTGTGCGGTAACGTTCTTGTGTCTCGAATATACACTGTCTGAATACCCCCATATGAACCAGCTCCTGTATTCCCACAAAATAGTATCGCGAAAGTCCGAGTAATTTATACTACAATTATAAGTATATGCCGGTATTTAAATAGCTAGAAATTAATTCCAAGACGGAAAGGGAATCCGTTATTACTGAACACGGGGCTTTCAAGGTACGTTACCCTTTGCCCGGTATCTATCAAAGCCAGCTTTCCGGCTATCAGATATTTATACGAGGTAAAATGCAACGCGACATAAATATGCGCCCTATTCTTTAATAAATATCTTTATATGCGCCTCGCTACCTCCAACATGGTATTTGGGGTCAGCTTTAGCCTACCCCCGTGGGACTAATAACCATATCCAGGGGTTTCTGGCAAAATACATAGCCGTGCAGCATTCGTTAACAAGATCCAGAAAAAGTGTTAATCGAACGATGAATAAATTGATAACTACCTAGGGAATGAGACTCGCTCTAAAGTAACCAGGTAGATAATGTGCGCATATGGCCTACTTACGAGCTCGACGGGATCCCACGGCGCGTACCGAAAGGGGACATAGGTAACGAACTATACGAGACAACATCTAGAATTCGAGTATCGTCATCGCCAAAACTAGATGATGGAACCACCTAGCCGTGGATGCAGGGTGACGATACTACATCCTACCAGCAACTACGTTTGCAGCTGACGCTTTGCCCTTTTATCTGCTAATTAATTTTCCATGCTAGGTTGAAGCCTCGCCTAGGCCGGCCTATTTCCTGCGGTCTAGAAACATGCATCTACAGGCTGAATTGAGCCTATATAGCTTCCCGGCGCCTTTAATGGCTCGTTACCAAATGCGCCTACTGGAACCTAGTATTTGGTCCTCGGTCTAGCCACTTGCTGGCGTGTAAAAATCCGTTCCACGACAGCTTACAGCTTTTTGGGCTTCACTATCGCTATTATTAGAAACCACGAGACCATTTAATACTACGCTTCGGTCGCTTACTAGGCAAATTTGAGAGGCTCTTGTCATATCTGCTATAGCTACAAAAGGATAGCTTAGGTAGGTACTCAGCCATTCACCTAAAGCGACATCCTCGTGATCCAGAGCAGCTCTAAGCCGACAGAGCTTGATACCTAGTTCTAAAATGGTTTCTCAAATCTCAAGCTTATGGCTCATTTTAAGCCTCTTCACCTTAAGAGCTCTTGCTGCGTGTGCTAGTTACGGTGTGGATTACGTGAACGGCGGTTCATACGACATCGACGCATCTTCAAACGACAACTTTACATTTACCACTATATTCCAGGGTATAGCAATATTCCTATACGCGGACTTGGAATACACATAAGCTAACGATACTTAGGATGTGATCAGGAGTCTGTAAAGCCAATTCTCATAGATCCTAGCGGCGGTCAACACCCCTGCTCCGCCATAAGTACGACACCTGCCGGGACGCAGGTAACCTCAACATGGTGAGACTCAACCAGTTTTGACTTGGCGTCAACAAGCTACTTATTATCCTTTAGTGAAATTCGATACTCTGCCATGAGTTCCGGGCTATATAAGATAATCATTTCCGGAAGTGCAATTGGCGTTCAAAGAACCATTGCGCTCACAGTTGGTACCCCTGATGTGATTACTATCACTGTAAGAATATAACCCATCATATACTACTATCAGTCGGTGCCAATACTAACCTCACTACCTATAGGCCACGCCCACTGTCATAGTTGGTGTTACCAGCACACCTAACGCAACTAGTACCGAAACCACGCCCGGTTGATTAAGGAATAGAACCTAACATGATCATAGCGATATATAAAACCATTGCCCAAACGCTTACTTCAACCCTGCCACCCGCGACGGTGACGACACCTTGCGATGGCACCACGCAAACACTGACCATTACACCAACGGCACCAACAATTACTAGCACATATCTAATTACTCGAACTGTTACGGACAAGGAAGTTACGAGCTACTCGACAACCACGATAACAAAGAAAGCATATTGCCATTATCTAATACCTCCATCATTCACTATACCAGATCCTGCCCCTACAATTTGTATCGGGCTTGCCTGCCTCCCGAGTGTCGGCGTAACCATAGTACCTGACACGGCAGCGAAGACTGGCAAGGTGAACGCAGTTACTGCTGCTGCTGCTTCTGTAGCCGCTACTACTGTAACGGTCACAGAGACAACTTACACCGTCACAAGTACAAGCGTCACTACGGTTCCAGCGTCGACGACAACAGAGGATGGTAAGCTCAGATAAATACCCCTGTTGAAAGCTAAAGAAGCTAATATACCACTATTAGTTTACCAAACGATTATCGCTACTATGTGAGTGTGGCCTAAACCCTTGCTATACGTACCTAGGTATAGTAAATGTCTAACAGAACTAAAGAACACCCGCCCCGACAACGAAATGTGACGATTCTAGGCCTCCACGTACCGTCACTATCACGAAGCCCTTCGCGACGGTCACGCAAACAGATGTCGACTACACTACTTCACATGTCGAGGCAACTGTTTGGGTCGAGTACGTAATTCCCCCTATTCAATACCTAATTCATCATGTGTATTTCCGTATAAGTACCACAGTATCGCTAACATATTTTATAGAAAAACCTCATATAAGACGTCGACGGATCAGTCAAGCAAGACATCCTGTTCGAGAAACGGAGGATGGTATGGAGCTGATGGAAGTATGCCAGTCACGGCTACGGCCTGATAGGATCACATCTACATAAAATGCCGCTATAGAGAGTGCAAAAGGTACTATCTCGTGAGTACCACGCGACAAGGAATAAAATACCCTTATTGGCTCTTTATTGTGTTATGACTTTATTAGTATCTAGGGATTCTGCTTATATTCTTCCAAATACCTAGATTGCTCTAAGAATATTATAATTGCCCAAGATATATTTGGTGGTTAGATATATAACGTATGTTGAGCTTACCCTCACAGGGTTATTCTTTTATTTAGTCAGGAGTTACGGGGGAAACTCTAATGCGATACTACAGGTGACTATCCAGGTAACCCTTCCCTTCCAATGCCCTTTCTCGCAATAGCACCCTTAGGAACCAGGCCCATTTTAAGGCCATCACCCTTTCAAAAACCAGCCCAGGATGGGTTTCTCTAGGAGGTCTGCTTGCATGCGGAGACCCCGGAAATACTAATCACCCTCCCTTTAGCAGAGAGCCCATCGACAGTCCTTTCGTCGCTCCTCCAAGATCTTATCGGACGAAATATTCTCACTCGAGTGCAATACGGCAAATTAAGATTCGGGAAAGAAGGATAGATCCATTCCACCAAATCAAACCGCTCCGTCTCATCAAAAATCGATGTCCTATGTCATCAATCCCCCGATCCACATCGCATATTATAGCTTCGTTTATTCCGTTGGCGCCTTATTCGTTGTCGTTGCTTTAGCGCTTCGTTCGTTCCGTTGGCGTAATATCCGTACCGTAAATGTAGTAGGTAACTCGATCGATTAGTCAACGTTTAATCTGTATATGCCTCGTTTAAAAACCCCCGTTTGCAAAAAAAAAAAAAAAAAAAAACCGATAGCGGTAAATATTGCCTTTCGACTCAGTCCCTAAGGTCACTAAGGCATACGCCGAAGGTCTGGGTGGTAACGTGGTTCCTCGGTAAGCAGTTAAGCCAGCCATTGTTAATAAGGCATTTATCGTGGGTAGGCGATAAGGCGTTTAACCGAGATAATATTTATAATACCAAGTCGAATATGGTAGGTTCGAATTGGGTAAAGGCGGCAGCAATGTGTAATGACACGCTGGAGTAGTTTAACAACCTACCTCATCTTCTGTTCTTCGATACCAAGTTTATATACTTTGGCGGAAGACGGTATTTGGTTCTGCCAGCCTTCTACCAGATGAATCCTCATCTTTTCGTCGTCGGTCATGTTGACGAATCCGGAACGATCCCAAATTTTGTATTTGTCGGCCAGTTGTCGTGCTCGTTCCGAAAAGTTGTTGTGTGGTTCTCGAAGGTACTCAGGTCAAATATATAACGTATGTTACCACAGTAAGCCAAAGAAAAGGCGTATCGACGCCGCAGTCGCAGCCGCAGCTTTAATCTCATCATACGACCGCGGATCCGGCCCACGAGAGAGCTGTAGCCCACGGCGCGATATCGTATTCTTGTAGATATCGTCCGGTTGCGACTCTCCTTTGTGGCAGTAGTAACACGAGCAGGGCCTAGGACCGGTGCCGTGGTGATCGCACTAATATGTCATAATAACTAGAGTTAGTAATTCCTTTCTGCGTAAAAGAGAACCATGTCTCGAGTATTTGTAGTTCCAAATATCAAATACGTACCCCGAAATTCTTCATATCGCTCAGCAGGCCACAGCACGTCCATAGGAAACCTTGCGGCCAGAACTGATGCATGCGGATGTCGTCCGACTTGAAGTCTTCCTCGTACATACGTTTCAATCGCGCCGACTCGGACGCGACACTGTTGCCCCAACCCATTTCTTCGTCGTTGTCCGAGCAAACGCCGCCCCAGGTGATGAGTTCCAGCTTGCCGAAGTGCGAGCTGCCGTCCTCGCATTTTCGGTACCGGTCGTACCACTCCTTGCCCGCCGCCATATCGGCCCTAGCACCACATTCATACTTGTGCAACGGCCAGTCTTTGTGCTGGCAAATTATACCTGAAAATCATGGTCAGCTTCGACGGGCGTGGCTGCAGGTATTGTCCTAAAGGAGGTGGGCATACTGCAGTAGAAGCTAGCTTTGCATCTCCCGCAGAGCTTGACGACGATGTCTCCCCCTTCTTGTTTTCCACAGACTCCGCATTTTGCATTTTCTTGGGTCTCCGGCATTGTAATACATAGTAGTCTTCTTGTTTCCAATAACCACTTCTAGTTGTCGTCTTTAATTTTACAATGGTACACTGGGCTTTTGCAGTTGATGATGCGAGCATAAGAGGGGAAAGTTTTTGTTACGTAAAAACCTTATGGAAAAAAGAAAGGGGGGAAGAGATTATGTAAGATACATAGTGGCCACTGCGCTCAGGGTACCTATAGAAGAATTGAAAAGGGGGCTTATGTAAGTGCATGAATACAATCGACGTACATAGATACCTACAGATATTTAGGCTTGAGTCCTATTAGTTAGCTTTAACAATGATCATGGTTAAGTCGTATAGTAGTACCTACTAATAGCTACCTACCTAAGTTATCTTCACTTCTTTCTTGTATTATTAACCTTTCTCCTTCCGAAGCATGGCCGCCCTTCTATATTGTCATTGACAGAACGAATCACTCATTAATACTATAGGAATTCCATTATCTCCTTTTACCCATAAGCTAAATCTTCTTTGTATAAATCCCCACGAAATATTGGTGTGGTAATGTTTGTCTTTATTCCATCCCATGCCTTGACAATGCTCGGTTCTCCTTTAATAGCAGTGCACATTATCTATCATGTCGCCACGCGCTCTTGAATTGAATAGCAAGGAACATCACCTGATCGTAGTGGTATTATCCAAAACCTATAATGAATTGTAAAAGGAACAAGACCTAAGGAGGTAACCAAAACAAAGTCGTGCTACACACTAGGCAGTTTATAAAGCTAGGTATTATGGCCTGCGATACCTATGAACCATTCGGATAACCAATACAAGTTAAACAAGAGTATAACCAAAATCAGGAAAATATGTGCGAATACACAATCCCGGCATTTACGTGCGGCTGTCGCGCCGTAGGCCCCACGAAGCTAAACATGCGGTGCGATAACCCTCGTACTAGCTGTGCAGACACACCGTCGATATTGATCTTGCCTCGTCGGTGCGATGATGTCAGGAATCATACCGATGAGTAGGTCGTCTACTATGCATTAAGGGGTATATTTCGAAGGGTGGGGGCTAAAAAGTATAATAATACCTATTAGCAGATCTTTGTACAGAAAGATAAAATAGGGGTAACAAGTTGGGATAGGTAATATCCAGGATGATATAAAAGGGGCGTACAGGCGGGAAGGTAAGCCTGTCAAGGCAAATAGAGGATGATTTCTACAATATCAACTATTTAACTGGTGTTTACTTACTGACGCATTGCGACCCCAATCCTACGCTAGAAATCAAGGAATTACTAGCTGCGCGTCGAGGGCAATTTGTCTTTTGAGATTTGATTCCAGCAGGAGGCTGATTATATATACAACAGACATCTTACGTATGTTTCATCCATCACAACTGGCGCTTATAGTTCCAGTAGTATTGGCAGGAGCCCTAAAGCAGCCCCTGCTCTCTTGGATGAGACGCTGTTCTTCGTAGAGTAACAATGTCGGGGGCCAGATGTATCGTCACACCTATTACCTAGGAATCCTCCCTGTGGCCCCCTTCACTAAGCTTATTACACTCGGTGACAACCACGCCGTGCCTTTGTATCGATCGCCGGCGCCACCTCCCTCTTCCGGACTTCCGGCGTTGCCATCTGACGTAGAGAAGATTTAAATATATCGCAAAGTAGACTCTCAAAAGCAATGTTCAACTGTCTCCAAGTCCTTAATGGCGGGCGGAGTTCCCCCTAAGGATGAGACCTGTTGCCTTGTGCAACTTCGGCAGCGATATAATTGTCAGAAGGATGCGAAGATCGTCGTCTGTAATGTTACACGCCTGACTATTACCAAGTTCGTTAACTACCTAATAGGTTTGATTCGGCGAGGGCTTGAATGAGGAAGGGCCTGGGGGCCATTGCTCAGTTTTACCTTCGCGGTTTTTGCCGGTCTCGTGGGACGGACTAAATGCGCTGGTATTGGGGGAAGAAATATAAATACACTCTCAAGATCCCTCTATTTTTCTGTCTATCGCCATCTTCAAGCACATCTTTAACTACCTACTACAATCAAACTACATCCAACTCCTTCATCTCTGCACCATGAAGTCTTTCGGTCTCTTCAGCATTATAGTTGCCTCCGCCTTGCTTCCCGCAACTCAGGCAACCTGGTGTCAATTCTTCTACGACAGCGGCTGCTCCAACAGCGCCAACGGCGACACCAACTTCGATTGTGCTAACCACAATGTCTTCGGAAGCGGTGGAGGCTACGCCAAGTGTCATGGCACGAAAGGAAGCAAACAATCATGCTTGATCGATCGATGCTCCGACGGGTCATGTGCAAACAGTGAAACATTTAACGTCGCTTCGGACGAGTCCTGTGTCGGCATGGGGGGCGCGGGGCCATACTATAAAATATATTTCGCCTAAAGTCTCACGTGTAAGCTTATTATAACAAGCACAGTACAGTCGAGAAGCTAATTAGGATAGTAGTTGATAACATTGTGTATCATCCAGTGGCGAAGTCTCGAACGCTATAGATTTATATATGTAAGATCCAGTACACCCGCCCATAACCAAACAACCCTGCTGACCCTATAACAAGGTACGGCCCAAGCAAGTAGTACATCTCCGGCTCCCTTCGTGATTGGACTTGTATCCCATCGCTGCACAAAATTCAGGTACCAACACTCTTCTTGATCGATGGAGTACAGGACGAAGCACAGGATGTCATAATGCAGTTATTCTTCAACGAGATCAAGAAATGGATTAAGTTGGGTGATACTGCGCATTTTTCACATGTCGATCAACGGGAGGCGTATGTGAAGCATTTGGGGTCATTTCTGGCGGCCTAAATAGTCATATCAACGCCGCCTAGATTACGAAAATGTCCCCTTTCGTGTGCCTCGTATATGCCTAAGGTTTTTTGCCTTAGGATGTTGTGTTGAATGCGAGTAAAAATTTCCTATTTGGAACACATGCCTTGCTACCTTACAGATAATTTTTCTGCCTTATATAAAGCAGTAAAAAGTGAATGGAATCGGTCTGCATACGCATATGTTTAAGGCTTCTTTATTACTCGGGTCTCGAAGGTACTGGAAGTATTGTCCAGCCGTATAATAGCAGTAAATTCGGGCTATCGTAAGGGTGCTTTCCAGTTTAATAAGGGATAGGTCCCTAATATATAATAAAAATAAAAATAGCATAGAAACATAGTGTGGTGTAAACCTTGGGCTTTTGTGTTGCCCGGGTGGTAACCTCTAATGTTTAGGTATTTTGGCGCATATATATGCCCGTGCTGTTCTAAATTTACTCTAAATTTGATCTAGTTAATTTATCTATAAACTCATCATATCATGTCTTATGCCTCCCGAATGCTCTAAATGTTGACGCGTACATCATATCTAAAAACAAGGTTGAAAAGCATGCCATCCTCATGCATGCCCGTCTTCTTCGTCTTCGTCCCCTTCTAGCCAAATTTCATGTCCATTTCCTTCTCTAACCCAGAAGCTCGCAACTAAACCACACAGAGCCACGCCCGCAAGGCCCCAAAACACCCCGCCGACTACGCCGTGACTCAAGCCAAGACCATAGAGCCATCCGCACATGACCGGGCCAACCGTCCGGGCGAAACTGCTAACACTCTGGCCAAGTCCATGAACAGTGCCTAACACACTAGGGTGCGGCGTGCAGTTATTGACTAAAATCGTCTGGGCGGGGAGGGCAAATGTGCGCCCTGTAACCTGAATAAATAGCACGCCGGCAATAGCAGCCCATATCCAAGAACCTGTCTTCTGACTCGGAGGCGGCGTACTTGATGGCACAACCGATAAGAATGGGATTAAAGTGTATGCGATAGGGAAAAGAAATAAACACATGCGCCACGAGCGGACTGTACCCAAGCGCGATGATAGACGAGGGTATAAGAATAGCTGCATCGTAATGCCAATCACACCCAAGATCGCCATAGCCATGCCGACGGAACTAGGGGGTAAGCCCAGCCCACCCGTGAACCTGAAAGGTAGCTGCGGCTTAAAATCCGGGGGGTCTGGGTTGCTCGGATTGTAAACAGGTGTTGAGAGGAAGATAAACCAGAGCGAGTTAAAGGTGCCGACGTGGAAAGCAAGGAAGAAGTGAGCAATGAACGTAAAGGATACGTTTGATGTAAATATGCGACGGAAAGGAAGTATAGTCGTGTACCTGCGCCTAGATGGCCTCTTCGAAGTGATCGGTGCATTTTCAGACGAATCCCTCGGTGTAACGGGCGACAGCTCCATATTCGTACTTATACTAGAGTCTCGTGAGTGTAGACGCGTATATGCTATAGTCGTGCCGCGTTTCTTGAAGAGCGATGTGAATAGTGATGTCAACTTCCGGCCTATGATAATTCCGAAATCTCGCCTGTCTTGCAAGGCATCATGTGTCTGGTATATGTGAGATAGTAGTTCCAGCACGAAATCCGATACATAAGGTATAACGTACCTCTTCCAAAAACATCCAGCACATTAATAAGGCGATGAACAGAAACCCCGTGCTAACAAGATTTGGCATGGCATAAGGAAATTTCTGAAGGAACTCTATGTTGCCAAAAGTGTCGGGATATGAGCCCGCCGGATCGGATAGGACGCCACCAAGGACTGGGCCAATGATGACGCCAATATTGAACGTCATGGGCAAGATTAGGAATGCCCGGGACTGATATCTGTAAAGATGTTAGGTCCGGCCTGCTACAGAGTCGTAACTAAATGGCAGAACGTACTTCTTCTCGCGAACAATCTCGCTAATCCTATAGTTCACAGTGTCAGCACTGCTCGTAGAGCCATTACAGCCAAGATATTGGAACCTACATAGTCCTCATCACTCCAACGTTGCCGTTAGTTGCACCACCCAGAGCTCTAAATAACAGAGCTTGGGAGAAAGACGTCGAGAAGCCATATCCAAGACATGAGATGACTTTCTTTTACGTTAGCAAGTCCCTCGCCAAGCCTTGTCTAGAAGAAAAGGGGGGAGGCATACGGGTTCCAAACAATCCTATCATGATAACCGTCTTTCGGCCAGCCCAGGTAGAATCGGCAACCCGGCCCCACATCATAGCAGTGAAGAACTGCGCGGCGGTGAAGCTCGCATGTAGGATACCGGCCTGGCTCGAGATGGTAGAGTCCGGCAGACTTGGGTCAAACCATCGTAGCTGGTAGAACATGTATGACTAGGTACCTTATGTCAGCAATTATAGATCATCATCATGCAATATACCTCGGTGAGAGATACGATGGTAGATCCAAAGGGATTAACACCATACCTGCAGAGACGTCTGGACCAATGGCTCACTGAGCCGGGCTAGTGTAATGACCACCAACTGCTTCTTCTTAGGTAGATCCCTCCAAGCCACCACTTTCTTAGAGTCGCTCGGCCTCCGGCTGCGTTCTTGGTAGTTAGCAACCGCCGCGACGTTGGTGTCAATAGTTAGGGTGCCGGCACGGGACGCCACCAGCCGAGTCCCATCCTGCCCGCTCTCGTCTCGGATGCCGAGCCCGGGACCAACCGCAGCAGACTCCTCCTCGGAATCGAAGTCGAAATCGCTCAAAGGGCCCCGGTCTTCTTCCCCGACGTCATCATGATTGCGACCGCTCATTGGCTGTCTCGCCGGCTTAGGAGACAGAGATATTTAGGCCGAGGACCGGAGTATGCTCACGTAAAGGAAGAGGGTCTTATTAAGCATTCACAGTTGACGGAAATTCGGGTTCGGGGCTCAATTTTAAGCTGGACTAAACGAAATAATTTGATACTTGATCGATTGGAATGAATAACGTCCGCTGATTAAAAAACTAACTGGTTAGATAGATTACGCTACATATCTCCGGTGTCACCAACAGACAAAAGAAGAAAAAAAAATCTCGCTGTCAGGTGCGCAGGCCGGGTAGGCCGATATTCTGGGACCGACCTAGCCGAAGCCTACCTCGCCTGCCTCGCCGCCTAACTTTGAGTGGTGGGAGAGTTCCGAGAGCATTTAGGTGCATAGGAATACAATACATATTGAGTGGGCCCAATGAGAGACCGGCGGCAACATATCGATGAGACAATCAACGGTCCGTTGATGCCACGCACTACTTACGAACTTGAGACGTGATTCGCTGGTTTCCAGGATCTAGGATCCAGTAGAGTGGGCTCAGCATCTATTCAAGCCAATCAACTCATCGCTTTATGTAGGAACCTTGCAAGAGTCAAGACAAACTGGAGCTTGGTTCATGACTTTTAACGACGTACACGGGCCGGAGACGAGCATTCCTAATCTCATGCCCTTACATTAGGTAGTATTTCAACTTCCAACATACTATGTATGTTCAACGTAATTGATAGAATATATCTAGGTATCTATCATAAAAAGACGCTGGCTAACCAATGTTCCCCCTAATGGGCCGTATGCTCTTTGGTGCTATTTATGCGGGTGTGGCGTGTAAATGAATCAGTCTCTCCCCAAGTCCCATCCTCTATCTCATGCATTTCTAGAAATCTATATTCCAATTATCATCTCCAAGAAATCCAAACATAAACGGACTCCAAGATTGATTATAAGGAGCCCAAGGCGCCCAGTTACTAGCACCGCTTACTACTTGCGGCTCACCCGGGAGCCCAACCCCAGGTACTAGCGTTAGCTGAGTCGAGAACCAGTGCTTGATCCATTCAAGCTTCGTCGCATACTTATAGAAGCGATCGGTTGTTATATCATCAGCCGTATCCGGTGTGAATTTTACCCCGAAAGTAGCCGCGGCCTCCGCGGCCCTCTGTCCCTCGAGGTCAGTGATGTTCTTGAAAGTTGATATGACGCTCTCCAGCGTCGCCGGGAAATCGAATGTTTTCCGTGCTTCTGCAAGATCCCAACCGTCGATCTCCACTAATAGAAGTCGTGACGCTGCGACCAGGACGAACAGGATCTCGGAAAATGAAGTAAAAGACCGGTATATAAATCCCTCCGTGCCTATTGAGACTATAGTCGCGAAGAATGATCGAGCTGCTTGTAGACAGTAAAGCATACACTGCCGTTGAAGCTGTGCTGTTACTTCGTCTTGTGGTGGAGATAAACTCGATGCTGGTAGATATAACCGGACCAGGACGTAGTTATGCATTGCCCAGAATAATACTAAATGATCGTCAGCACCTAGTGACAGAGCTAAAGTCGTGTGAAAGCCTTACCAAACTGCCTGTGTTCTCGGGCCATATTCGCAAAGAGCTGGTTAAGTTGATTGCGGATTGATTGCATATCCTCGTTCATGGATATGGTAAATACTTTCGAGCGATCCCCTTCGGATGGCATAGGTAGCTTCTCCGATATCTGCTCGACGATCTGCTGAAATCTGACAATTTTATCAAGGATGAAGTCTGTGCCAAAGTCCGTAGGGTGTACTACCGAGTCGAGACAGCGGTCTACATAGTCGCCTTTCAGTACGCCATCTCTCCCAAACTGCGACGCGTTCCTAGTCTTGTCAGCCCATATGTTGTTGAATAGGGGTTCAAGTCGCTTGGTTGCATGCTCACACTGAAAGAAGGTATTTACAACCCAGAAAGGCCCGCTGTTCCTCGGGAGTATGTGACTCTTCCAGAACCGTCGTCATATTATAACTCATCAATGCTTCCTTCACGTCTTTCTAGCAAACCGAAATTTCATATGTTAGCTTTGAAATCTTACCATTCTAGAAGTTTCAGACTTATTTCTTGAGCAGGTCGAAATAATAGGATCATCTCACTCACTGCTATGCGTTAGCCATTGTACATGAAAGAAATATTGGAAACTATCCGGGAAAGGGGATTTTGGAAAACATAATAAGTGAATGTTTATACATACCCGGGTTTACTGCTACTGTCATTTTCTGCTGCATTGTGGGAGGCGGCCGCGTTATCGCAAGATTATGGGCGTATCCCATTGCAAGGTGAGTTAAGTAAGTTATCTTCTGGTCGAAGTAGAAATCATGTTCGCCCCTACATCACAAGTTAGCAAATACATCGTGGAGACATGTGAATATACCTACCAGGCTATAAAAACCAATAGGCCCTGAAGGATGCCTAGATCTCGTTCCTCCATAACCAGCACGTGCTGGCCTACATAGGCGAGTATACTTTTCCTAATCTCGCTTTGCTTCGCGAGCGTAAGGCGGCCCGCCACCAACATGATCGCTCTGAATAGGAGGGGCTTCTTGGCCAGGATTTCCGGGGCGGTGACATCGGGATCAAGGACGACGAAAGGGAAAAAGGGGGTAAACTTTATCTTGAAGTCAGATACTGCATGTTCAGCCTGATCCCAAGTTAACCCAAATCCCGGCTGAGGAATCTTCTTAGCAGGCAAAATTGGAAGTGGTTGCGATGTGGGTCGACAAGGGTTTCCTAGAGCACGTGTAGCTGTTCCACTGTACGGAGGACTTTCCGTCACTGGAGGAGCAGGCGGAGGTGTTATGCTCTCAACAGGTGCATCATGATCCGACATCGTGAACGGGCCAGCTTTAAGCAAGATATGTCCATAGTTAGGAGGCCGCATAAAAGCATAACTATCATTGCTAGGGTCCGCGGGCTCAGTACTACCACGGAACTACTTTAGTAAATATTGACAGGCGAGCTATGTTCACTAATACCCGGATCCCCGGTGTGGACGTAGGGTCGGGATTAGTTTTAATAGGGAACGTACTTCGGAGGCTTAATTTGGCGAGGTCTTCTTAAACTCTTAGAAGTCTGGGGAGCACAGATGATTTTCATTCGCCGGCACCTAATTTACCAAGCTGTCAGGTCCAGAATTCTACTTGGATAGGAGATGCTTTGTGTATTAACCTATCACAACCATCCTCGACTTTATTCTCTTCGAAGTGACAGCGAGCCTTCGCCCTTGTGCAAGGCGCACATGCACGCTGACGCCTTGGTGGACTGGCTGGGCGTTCGGTAGTCTGCTGGCGATTGGATATGTTGGCCATCTTCGCGTCTTAATTGGACCCGGACCAGCCCCGGACGGACGCCGGGATTCAAACAAAGGAGATGAAGGCCGTGCTACCTGCTGCTATGTAGCAAACACTAACCCGGAGCTCTCGAAGCTTGCTAAACAAGCTTTTGTTAGGGCTGAAAGTATTATATAATAAACCCGGATGCTTAGCCCGGCGCTTGTCAGTTTTTAGGTCGGCCAAGGGAGAGAGTAGTAAGTAAGTGAGGTTAAAAAGCTAGATTCCTTTCAGTATTCAGTATTCCGTATTTACTTGATAGGAAGTGGCTTAGCGGTAATACTTCGGGTTGTGATATTCTAATGTCTAATACTGGATATAAGGTAAATATTATCCCGGCTTATCCCGTTTTAGTTTTTTGGGTCTAGAGGCTTAACCCGGTCTATGTCGGGTTATGAATTGCTCCATATAGCGAAGTAGATCCGTCATGTCAGACCGTTAAACCGTTCCAACCAATGATTTAAAGCAAAGACTATTATTATCCTTACCCAATCATACGTAACTATTGGACAAAAGTTGAAGAATGGTATTTGCATGTCTATTATTTTAATCAAGAGAATGGCTTCTGAAATAACTCCTTAACCTTGATAACTTTGCTGTCAATATAATTCAATTCAAAGCCATGTAATCGTTAAGTTTTCACTTGTTATAGTGTTTTACAAACAAGGCACTTCTAGCAAGCTACATAAATACCAAGTAATGAGGCAGGGTTAGAAACTTATATCTAGCAAAACATTAACGTGAGAAGAATATGAAATACTTAAGAATATTTCAATGGGGCTTTATTTAGCTAATGCTGTAGTCTTCCTATATAAATCATCAACGGAGAATCCTATCATCAAAATCACAATGTCAGTATTGTCCCTAATTATCTTAAGGCATTAGATCCTTAGACCACTGAGATTCCCAGGACAAAGGGTTCTTAGCTATTTTAGTGATTTAGCATCAACCAGGTTTGTAATATTTCTAGCCCAACAGAGTTGCGTCCTCACTAATTGCCCGCATTCTTACAACGTTCAATAATTTAAAAGTTCTACTACCAGTAGAATCTTATTCACTCTTGGCTTTCCAACTTCTGGTTAGAATTCTTAATATAATTACGTAATCTATAAGATTGTAAGACACCGAACGTGATGCTCTAATTATCTCATCAGGGACCCTTCAGGGCATTATATAGTGGCATATGGTGTGTACATAAGGCATAATAAATCAAAATATGCTTACTTCTTGCCGTCTGGCTATTCTATTATGATATTCATTTCTCTATGCTACCTACCAAATTTTAAGAATTATGCAGGAAAGCCATTAACTTCACGTTCAGGCAAGTTTAAACAGATTCCAAGGCGTTCCTATCCAAGAACTAAAAGGTAGCTATCTATGTATGCGTATATCATAGCCAAGACTTGTTCCTCTATGTGAACGTACTTCTATGGAATACTCATGAAATGAAACCAGAGGGCATAGCATTGTCAATACTACTGCCATGAGAAGACAAAAATACTTCTTGTAACTGACAAGCATACCATAAACTTAAAGACATGTAATAGTTAAGCTTGGATGTTCTTATACGCTGCTATGGCTCTTATTCTTATGCTTTCTTTGCAGATATATACCACAAATAACACATGGAATCCTTACGAAACAACTTATAAGGATAGCTATTGTCAAAGAGCCTATAGAAGCTACCTTAGTAGGTATGACGGTAATAGCTCAGGCCTCTGTATTCAACTCTCCATCTCCTAAGTAGTAGATCACCCTTCTCAGTTCGTGTCACGTCGTCGATATACCTAGTATTATATACGAACAACATCCTCTCCAAAAGGGGGAGCTTCGACTATAAATCACGAAGAATACAAGCTGATGCTTTCGTTCATGTCTTCACCTCTCCGTCTACTAGCTGACCCCTAATCCCCGTCCCTGCGGATGATCCCCACTGCTGTGGCATCTCTACCCACATCCTCGTCGTCGTCCTCGTCGCCCTGGTGTTACTGATATTCTATGCATACCTGATAATCGCGATGCGTCTACCCAGCGTTGCGTCTACCCAACGTTGCGTTTAACCACCGCTGCACTTTATTTCTTTTTGCCTTGCTAGGCACCTAAAGTTTCCAGGTGACCTGCCCTTACCCTTTCTGCACACTACATTCACTGCCACCTTTTTTCTTTTTTTTTTTCTCCTACACTTTACACATCGTGAAGTGTGCTGCCAATACCAACAGAGCACATAGCCAACCATCAATACCTTCATCAATACTTCGTTGACTATCAGGATTCTTTCTTCATTTCTGTTCTATTGTTTTCCTTCTCGTTTTCCTTCTCTTTTTTCTCGTTTTTCTACTCGTTTTCCTTCTCGTTTCTGTTCTTGTTTCCATCCCCATTTTCACCCTCGTTTGTATTCTTTCTATTCCCGCGCAAACCAAGGGCTTCTACTGGTTCACAATGACGGGGGTAGGTTCCGCATCCTCTTCTGGTGAGGAACCCTTCCATCTTGAGAAGTATCGTCCGGCTTGCGAAGCAGCAAAAGTTCGAGAGTCAGATCAAGTCCAGGAGTCCCCATCTCCTTACGCCCCGAAGTCTTCTCAAAACGAAGACACTACTCACATTCGGCCTGCCCTGACTGGGACGTCATCTAAGAAGAAGCATTTCCTCAACGCCAGCGTTGCAACAGCACTTGGAAGAAGCAAGAATAAAACTGGTCGTGAAGAGCAGGCCGGATTCGGCACCCCATCGTCCTCATCTCGGGGACTTGGCTACAGGAGACTTTCACACAGTGTTGTGGCTAAAATCAAGGGCCTATTCAATGATGACGAAGTGATGCCTATTACTAAGGAGAATATGCGATCACTGAGTGAGAATCCGATTGATCCCCTCCAATCTCTAAAGCTGCATGAGCCGGCACAGCAATCAAAAGTCGACCTCTCGCGTACTTCTTCATTGGGGAGCGCTATCTACAATTACGATCGACATGGAGTGTTGAATGACAACACAACTCAAGTTGGCACATCTAATTCTAACCGACGAAACAGCCTGGGGACGGATAATGGCTCCTTATCAAGGCGGGTTACTATAGACAGTATCATAAGACGACGCAATACGAACAGAGACGGCGAGCTCAACCAAGGGGGCGTGCGCAGGATGAATGATCTTGAAAGAGCCCACCTCGCTCCGAATCTCCTTCAACTGAACAGTCAGGCGGTAGCAGCTGGCTACCGAGATATCTCGGACCGTTTGAAATATGACCCAGAATGGGGAGGAAGCAGCCTCGGACACTGGGTAATTGACATGGCATCAGAAGGTCACTCAATGCACCAACAGGGTTCAATGCACCAACAGAGTGAATCAAGCTCCTCATCTCTAATCGGCGACATACAAGAATTTAAGGATTTCGACGGTGTTTTCCCATTTTCCGATAGTTCATCATCCCAGCGCGAGTCAATCGATTCTGAGGGGTTTCCCGCATTCACTATTGAAGACAGTGCAGATGCAACACATTTCCTTCCCAACCCCACCAATCCCCGTACCTCAGTTAGCACTCGCGCAGACACTCGCGTAGATTCCTGGCACTTTAACGACAATAATTTGTTGCCTGCAATTCCTGCAATTCCTCGCCAGGAACAGTTTTCTTCTCCCGAACCTCAGTCGGAAAGATCCAGTTTTTCGTCCCAACAAGAAACTGCGCACCACAATAGAGGCATTTCAGGACCTGAACAAACCGTCGAACAAGCAAATCCCACACATTCGACATACCTTTCCGACTGGTTGTGTTCCCATTGTGGCTTCTTGAATCTTCCGAGACGAACTGCCTGCCTGCAGTGCTGGGAAGAACGTGCAGAATCTCTAGGCGACATAGGTCGACGTAACCGCCGGGTAACTTTCGCAGAGCCCACGAAATTCGAGGGCAAACACGCTTCAGCCATGGCAGGATACAATGCATCTCTCGTCGATGCATCGCTCATTCCCGAGCCGCTCAAAATCAAGTCTTGCCTCAAGGCAAAGACTCAAGAATCTCAAACCGCCGACAAGAGTACCCAGACTGGGATTCAGGGCTCTGATGGACCGGCTTCTCATCAGAATCAGCAGACCAATGCCACCGAAGCTACCGCTACGTCCAACGAGGCCGAGAAGACCGCCGACGATATCATCAAGGAAGGACTAAAGGAGATGGAAGCTATCATGAACGAGGCTAAGGAGAAGAACGAGATCATGCGAGGCCTGCTAGAGTTGATGGAGGAAATAGTGCAAAAGAAGATGTCCGAGAAGCGTAAGGCTAAAGACTAAGCCATTGGTCGCACATGAGGCGAGCCACGCTCGTATTCACGGATCTGCCAGATGGGCCGGATCACATTTGCGTATCACATTTGCGTATGCGTTACATGATTTTGAGATGGAGAGCTGGAGGATGAGTAGGAGATGATGCTAGGAGACGGGTAGCAAACCACACGGCATGGAAGGAAATGCCAGGAGAAGCCAGTATATGGCAAGATGGCTAGAGCTCATATTACGTACAGGGAATTCTTCACCCTTCTCATTGCCTTTCTTGAACATACAGTTCAATATGTCCGATTTTGTACAATAGCACGATTGAAAACCCGAAAACCATTGAGGATAAAAAAAGGAGGGATGGAACTTTTGGAAGGTCATCAATGTACTTATCTACTTAGATAAGGCCGATAGGAACAAGCAAGGCACAGACCACGTTGCATTCATTCTATAATTCAGGCCACCCAGTGAACGCTAACTTTACCTTAGAAGCAACCGCCTACCCTTAAATCGCTGTCATTAAATCGCCGAACCTTAGATTATCGAGTAAACGAATTCGTGTAGAACCAGCAAGCAAGAAACCACCCAATATGGATCCTTACTCGGCAGAAGGCGAACTGATAAATATTCACAATCATTTCCACCAGGGCCAGTACCAAGAAGTCATCGACTTTGACACATCTGCTCTCTCCTCCGAAAATGCACTACCTGCCCGAGTACTCGCCCTCCGAGCTCGCATTGCTCTAGGACAAGCAGAAGAAGCAATCGCCGACGTTCAAGGAGAATCGGAACCCGAACTGGTAGCAGTGCGCGCCTTAGCCGAGTACAGCTTGGGGAAGACGGATGCGGCTGTTCAAGCTGTCGAGGAGCTTGCCTCGTCAGCCGGTGATAACCAGACAGTCCAAGTTCTTGGAGGGACGGTCCTGCAAGCTGCTGGCAAATCAGAGGAGGCTCTCGCGCTATTATCACAACACTCTGGTAGCCGTAGGTTTATTACTCGACAAGCAATGGCTGTCCGGTCTGAGTACTAATAAGGACTTGTCTAGTTGACGCTGTCGCTTTGATTACGCAAATCCATCTCCAGCAAAACAGAACCGATTTAGCCCTTAAAGAAGTAGCTGCGGCTAGGCGGTGGGCGCAAGATAGTCTACTTGTCAACTTAGCTGAGTCATGGGTTGGCCTACGGCTGGTATGTACGGCATTGAATTGGCCCCTACAATAGCAGAGCTAACGAATGACTTTGTGCTTAGGGAGGAGATAAGTACCAGCAAGCATTTTACGTATTCGAAGAACTCGCGCAAGCTCCCTCTACATCCTCGATCGTCTCCCTCGTCTCCCAGGCAGTATGCGAGTTACATCTAGGCCGCGTCGAGGAAGCACAGAGTGCTCTCGAGCAAGCCGTGCAGAAGCAACCTGAATACGCCGAAGCCATTGCCAATTTATTGGTTTTGTCAATCATCACCGGCAAGGATGCTGCCGCTGTTTCTGAGCTTACAAAGTATGCTTTTTATCGAACTAGCCTGAAAACTCCACGCATGCTAATACAATTTCATTATAGTACCCTAAAGAAAGCTGCCCCTGAACACACATTCCTAGTCGATCTTGAGGAAAAGAGCGAATTGTTTGATAAGGCGGCCGCTAAGTTTAGCGCAAAGGTGTCGGCTTAAAATAGGAAGGGCAGCTAATACAGGTCTTGACGAATGTTGATATATTGGTAGACCTTGGAGACGAGGCATAAAGAAAAGGCGAAAACGCTTTGGTTATGATAACTCTATGAACATGATGAATACCCCATATTGAATCGTCATAATATTGGTTACGTGTCTTGACCACTCTTAATTGCGGGTTGAGAGGCATAAATGATATTCAGCTCGATCTATGATACATCGACATCAATAACCAACCCGACGATTCCTCGAGATATTTCCAAATAGGGTATTCCGAAGTCCACATTTATCAAGTAACATAGCATAAACTTATGATAGACTGTGTTTATCATTGAAAGTTAGGGTATTACAAAAAAGCAAATGTCAAAAACTAACTCAACTTATGTGACATCATCTGTGTCCTGGAGCCGTGTTTTCTAAATCGTTAAACTTACATCTGAGAATTTGAGAGTATTCAAATGCACAATGACGCTTCTCGGACTATAATATGTGAGTGTGCCTTAAAAATGGTATTGCAAGGGGTAAACAACTGCATCTAATCGATGCAGAAAAGAAAAGGGGGTTAGTCGATCTAAGTTGACACGGTTACGAGAAAATACGATACCCCTCATTCACGATGGCTTTCTCGATCCTCATCTACACTATCTATTGACCGCTCGTGGGATTACATATGCTGGGAGCCTCTGGCGATCTCATCGTGCTTCAAACTAACCTCTTTTCGGTATGAAACTTCCGCTATCGCTGCGGCGCTAGTGGACCATCACTCGAAGTTACTGTCCAGTTAGAGAGCCTAGAATTATGTATGAACATGAATTATCGTGGGATTCCTCCCAAAAGCCGCCTATGACATCACTACGTCACTCGGCCTTTCTACAAACGGACACTTGAAGCCTATTATTGCTTACACATGCTGCTTACAGCCGGAACGCAATCAAACATCGTGACTCCTCGGAGCCAAGATTGTTCTGAAAAGCCTGCAAGCTAATGTTATCTACATATGAGGTAGTGTATGTGTGAGTGGGCTTAAGGGCTATTCATCGAATTAGCGCTAAAGAGGCATTACATACACTCCTTGAGAAAAGGAGATAACAATTATCATTTATGGAAAAGTTTCAGAAGATCATCTCGCAAATGAGAGCTGTGGAAATGCTTTGGTTGATAAGACATCTAGCTTAGATGAAGATCGTACACAGTTTCGGTAGACTTGCCACCAGTTTCGAGAGGAATCTAGACTTCGGGAGATGAACAAAGAGGCTGATCCGGGACCGTAAAGAACGGGGTCTCGATCCATATGTTGTGTAGATGATTTTTACAAGGCCGACAAATCAGCAAATCAGGCGGGTAGGCCGCGTCGGACGCTTGCCCAGCCCGTCCACGTCCACGATCTCACAGATTTCTGCAAGCCCCTGGTCTATAAACCTGGCTAAGAAATTTTTTGGAAAAAGCCCGAGTGGACCGGGTGGCGCGCAAATAGGCCTGATAGGTAACACTGGCTATCCTGGAATATGTCAACGTGCATGCCGATAGGACGATGCCTTCGTTCTCTGCCGAACTGGACCTGCACTCCAAATCGGCGCTTGCATGATACCCTTGTAAAAGTTACAGGTAGGATTACATAGTAGGCCGCTGCGTCTGATATGACGATGGCTTCGTTAGACTATGCTTCCTGTCCGGTCTCGTCATCGTGAAGGGTCCTTTGTCCCGCCAAAAGTTGTGGGCTACACTTTTATATAAATCCGTTGTCTCGTCGTATTTCATGGCAAGTTCTTCATTACAAGACAAGACACACAGGTATATCTACCAAACCAAATTCACTATTACTATATTTGTTTCCGTAGAATAGACTTCGGTTCACATCTCCTATAAACCATTAAGACTTTAGATTATATAGGTACACATATATATCAACATCCAAGATGCCTATCGCACTTACACCACCACCGGTTCCTGAGGCCAAACCCCTCGGAGATGCCAAGGCTCAATCCCCAAACAAGAGAAAGATTATCTGCTTTTCAGGTATGGTGCCGTATTTAGACACCCCCCTTTACCTAGACTCGTTTACTAACATGATATCAGACTTTGACGGCACAATCTTCATGCAGGACACCGGACACGTCCTCTTCGACAACCACGGCTGCGGCTCCACACGAAGAGAGATGCTAGACGAGCAAATCAAGACCGGCGAGCGATCTTTCCGGGACGTCTCGGAGGAAATGTGGGGGTCTCTAAACGTCCCCTTCGACGACGGCTTCGAAGTCATGAACAAGTCTCTCGAGATCGATCCGGATTTCCAGAGCTTCCACCAATACTGCCTCGAGAACAACATCCCCTTCAACGTCATCTCCGCCGGTCTCAAACCCATCTTGAGAAGAGTCCTCGACACGTTCTTGGGAGAAGAGGCCTCGGCGCACATCGACATCGTGGCCAACGACGCTCACATATCCGCCGACGGGTCCGAGTGGAAGCCCATCTGGCGCCACGACACGGACCTCGGCCACGACAAGGCGCAGTCCATCACGGAAGCGCGCAAGGAGGCGGAGACCGCGTGCGACGACGGCACGGTCCCGCTGATCGTGTTCATCGGCGACGGGGTATCGGACCTGCCCGCCGCCCGGGAGGCCGACGTGCTGTTCGCGCGGCGCGGCCTGCGCCTCGAGGAGTACTGCCGGGAGCACGACATCCCGTACATCCCGTTCGACACCTTCGCCGACATCCAGCGCGAGATCGAGCGCGTCCGGCTCGACGACGAGAAGAAGACGGGAGGCAGGGGCGTGCCTGTGCGGTTCAACCCGCGCGCGAATCTCTGGCGCAGAGTGTCGAGCAGGAATGCTGTGCCGAGATATGTGCTTATGTCCCCGACTAGGGAGGACAAGATGTTCCTCTGGCCTGAGGCCTTCTCTGAGCTCAAGAAGAACGAGGTCGAAGTCGCTGAGACGCCTGTGTCGTCGGTCCGGGAGCATGCTGTGCAGTCTCAGGTGCAGAGCGCTGCTTAGTTGGAGGGTAATATACCATGGTTGGACGTCTTTCTCGGAAGACTACCTAATACTTATTGCATATCACGGCGTTTATGTTGGTTTACTTTTATTTGGTTGGTATGGTACAGCGATGAGGAGTTACACGATAGCACGAGGCGTTTGGGTTAGAATATACATGTTATGGTGAGGCTTATGGGATACATCTAGATTGCGGGTGTCTTAGTTAAAGAGGGTTGTTCCTATAATAGACGATATTATCGAGTAACCTTGAACTTCAGCATTAGTGCTTGTTTATCGACACGATGAACTATTATCGGTTTTTTACTCTCTCGATCCCATAGCTGAAGTATTTGAGCAATACGTCGTGCCCAGCAGTAGAGGCGTATTGTCTTTATTTGCACTGCCACCCATCCCTCCATCGCAGGATGATGTACCTACAAGTTTGATTTCCTGGTTACGGCGCGTGTCATACGCAGTCCTAGACATTACCAAATTAGTTAGATCGAGCCAATAGGAAGAGCAGGAGTAGCTGTTCTGCTCCCAACCTACGACATCATTCTTTAAACAATCACCGATCAGCTCATTTGACGTCCGCCTAGATTTGATCCCACCTCAAGCCAACCCTAGTTAAGCTGAAGATCGGAAAATCGGAACAAAGAGCATAGAGAACTGGAACATAGCTAATGGTGCGCATTCCGAGTTCCGTCATAGCAAGTTAGTGCGTCCTATTATTATCTTTCCTTTAATCATGGATATCATAGAAGGCAAGTGACGGTATGGTATGTAATAAGAAGGTCGACGGATCTCACGGCAAATGTTTACGTAGTATTTCGCTTTAGTTGCGGTAGACGCGGCATCCTTAATTAGCATCTCCATGTCTGATCGTGCTTCTGGAGCTCTCCGAGTAGCCGGTAGGCCTTGCTTTACCTCCCCCCCACGAAAGCCTTCATCCGATCCGGTACGCGGGTAGGTAGGCTATACGTAGGTAGTTACGTGCCGTTACATTTTCGCCAGTTGGGATTTTCTGGAACGCGGGATCATCGATCGCCGCCGTCCTGCAGCTAAAGAGGCACAGCCCTATTGCCAATTCGAGATACAACGACCGATGACCTACCCGCCTCGAAAATGTTGCTAATTTACCTAGGTAGATACGTTATTGTGCGTGTGATCTATTATTTTATTTAGATTATTGGTATCGGTATCGAGTCTTTGTCTATGTAATGTTAGCACGGGGTTGAGCAACGCACATCTTCGGATGAATTGGGGGCAAGTTTTTGCTGTTATTAGGTACCCAAGGTATCTTCCAGAATCCCCCCGGCTCTAAAAGAAGCTTTTCTAGCATGGGGTTGTTTATGCTTAGTTACCAGGTTCTAAACTAGATCGAGATGAGTTTCAGTTTTATAATTAACTTCATATGTCCGGTGGATCTAACAATTGAAATTTTCCTTTTTTTTTTCTTCTTATTTTATCTAACAAATCTATTTTTACCTATTGTTTAGCGACCCTCGGTAAGTTTACGTTCACATTTGGTTCAAGCTGTCTGCCCCATTATGTACCGATCCGTACGCGCAAGTAATTCATCGAGATTAAGCGTATTTTTATTTAGTGGATCGAGTTAGCTACCTAATGTACCTATGGCTTGCTATCGTGGCAGTGAAGGCGGGGTGATTGCCAGCGTCAGCGGGCTAGCCCTCCCTGCCTCCTGCTCATTTCCACCATCAAAGCTCGAAGGTGCCTGGAACAATAGAATTTCGGATGCTTCTCGTACCACATGAACTCGCGACGCGATTGGATTGGATACCAACACTAAACTACTGCCCCTCCAAAAGAAACTTGGCAATAAGCTTCAAAAGCATATTGAATCCATAACAACTCCTTCTACTTCTTATCCTAGCTTGTTTATTTATTTATTTCTTTTTCCAGTTTTAAATATCGTACCTTAGGTATCCTTCCTCCTATACCATATGGTACCCGCCTATCGGAGCAAATCAAGTAATTCCAAACCAAACTCAAAAGTGGTAATTTACCCCCAACTTACCGAGAGTAGTTCGTCTTGTCCTTAGCCTACCAATCTTACAGTCAATCGTTGGTAGGCTCTAGCAGCTCTCCTTGACATCATCTCGAAACACTAGCGCGTTAGTCCAGGGCATCACAACCACCGAAGGCTGAAAGGGGGGAAGGACTCAACTACCAAGCACTTCCAAGACAGGGTCCAGCACAACGTCACCCTCGTTTGCCCCCTTCTTGTTCCTTGGAAATACAACCTCCCATATTTTGTACCTCTACCCTCTTTAGTCCGACTCTCCTGAAAGTCCTCCACCATGGTTCGCATTATCCCTCAACGATTGAAAACTTATACTACTGGTTCTACCAATTCCACTGCCAATAGCCGCAGTACAAGTCCCATGCCGTCAAAACTCGACGTCGGTGCCGCGGAAGGGCGTAAGGACACGGGGTTGGTCTTAAAGATTATTATACTTCGAGTAAGGACATTGAATCGATAGACAATATTAATTCTAGTCTAGACTACGGATTCTAACCTGTAATGATATAGGCAAGAGATTTAGCTGCTAAAGATCGTGGAGGCACATCCGATCCCGTATGTTAACACCCGTCTTCCTATTCTTAACTCCCGGGGGGGGAAAAAACCGCGGACATTGCTAATAGTCCGCATTCTCTAGTATCTCCAACTGACCTGCGGCGAAACTAAATTTCTTACACACCATGTCCCGAAGACGCTGAATCCCGAGTGGAATGTTGTCTGTACCGTACCCATCACTGGCGTAGAGAATTTACTGCTTGATTGCATCTGCTGGGACAAGGATCGCTTTGGTAAAGATTATCTAGGCGAGTTCGATTTAGCCCTCGAGGAGATATTCTCCAACGAAAAGACCGAACAAGAAGCAAAATGGTATCCCCTTAAGAGCAAGAAGCCAGGCAAGAAAAAGAATAATGTCTCGGGGGAGGTTTTGTTACAGTGCACTTTATTCGACTCAACAGACAAGGATGCGACAGATGCCCAGATCTTAGAAAAGTTGCACTCACTCGCTACCGCCTTATCCGAATCTACATCCCGCAATGATACCCCTAATATGACACCCACGCTTGGTCCGACCTCAACATCCAAGTCCGGTTCATCCCCATCTCCCCAGCTAAGTCAGAGTACCACCGATGGATCACAGGACGATGAAGATGACGACGAGATTCTGGACGACGATGAGACTCCTGAGGATGAGGACCCGAGTAAGCCCGATGCTATAGAGAAGAGGAAGAGACGGCTCAGGATCAAGGGTTTGAAGCGCAAGAGGAGACAGAATCCTTACGAATTCGTCAACGGCGGTAGCGATGTGGTCGGCTTAATCTTCCTTGAGATTTGCAACATTACCGACCTTCCCCCCGAATCAAACTTCACGAAAACTAGCTTCGATATGGATCCCTTCGTTGTTGCATCTTTAGGTAAAAAGACTTATCGTACACGAGTTGTCCGGCATAATCTGAATCCCGTATTCAATGAGAAGATGCTCTTTCACGTGCTGAACCATGAACAATCATACTCGTTTGCTTTCACGGTTATCGATCGCGACAAATATTCTGGGAATGACTTCATTGCCTCGACCTCCTTTCCCCTACAGGAACTCATCGAAAGGAGCCCTAAGGCTAATCCTGAAACTGGATTGTATGACTTGAAGGAACCAGCTGAGTACGTCCCAGTCCAGAAATCAAGGCTCGCAAGACTCGGCCTTTCAAGGTCATCTTCAACGCAGAGCTTGGGCAAAAGCAGGCCGGTGTTACCCAAGAATCCTAGTACGACTTCGGCAATATCCCAGGAGCAGGCGGAGCCAAAAGCAACACCCACATCCATTCCAACTCCTACTTTACTTCAACCAGAGCAAGTGCCAAACCTCAATAGCGGAAACGGAAATAGAGACGCCGAGGGCAATGAGTTTGACGACTCTGATTTTAGTATCTTCACAATCCCCTTGAAGATGAAAAATCTGGACAAGTGGGAGGCTAAGCATAGCCCGATGCTGACCATCCGCGCCAAATATATGCCGTATCCTGCTATAAGACAACAGTTCTGGCGGGCTATGTTGCGACAGTACGACGCGGACGAAAGTGGAGAGATTAGCAAAGTCGAGTTGACTACTATGCTAGATACGCTTGGCTCGACTCTGCGAGAATCAACTATCGATAGTTTCTTCCAGCGATTCCCTCATAAGGCTGGGAACGGGGAACAAGAACTCACCATGGACGAGGCTGTCATATGTCTGGAAGATCAACTAGATGCGAAGAGTAGATCGGCTCCAGTGACTGACAAGTTAAAGAGCATGCTACCCGACACAGAAAAGGTGAAGAATCTGCTAAATCCGACAAACCCATCAAGCCACACTGGTAGCGTCACACCTTCAGAGGAAGGGTCTTTTATTCTTAGTGCAGAAGACTCGACCATTCAAGGCATTACACCTGGAACATCGACTATTGTTGTACCCGATCTCAGTACATCTGGAGAAGAGGGTGATGCGCTGGATAAAGATGACCTGAATATTGACCGTGGCGAGGAACATGTAGTCGAAATCCGAGAGTGTCCCATCTGCCACCAGCCCCGTCTCAATAAGCGGAAAGATGCTGATATCATTACCCACATTGCTACATGTGCCAGCCAGGACTGGCGCCAGGTCAATTCACTCATGATGGGCGGGTTTGTCACGGCAAGCCAAGCGCAAAGAAAGTGGTATTCCAAAGTCATCACCAAGATTTCTTATGGTGGTTATAAACTTGGCGCCAACTCGGCAAACATTCTAGTACAGGACCGTCTAACCGGACAGATTAACGAGGAAAAGATGAGTGTTTATGTACGACTGGGAATCCGATTACTGTACAAGGGATTGAAGTCTAAGGATATGGAAAACAAGCGAAGTGAGTACCTAATCTGATATATAACACAGAAATCATCGCTAATAATGCTCTAGTCCGCAAACTTCTGAAGAGTCTAAGTATCAAGCAAGGCAAAAAATACG